TTGCCTTTTTATACCTTTCTCCCTTTTTTAAAATTATTATTATTAATTACTTTATAATACAGGTGTCCTAGTCACACAGCTAATAATTTTATTAACTAATATATTTTATTTTTAAAATATATTATATTATTTTTTAAATAAGTCTTTTTTTATTAGCAGTGGCATATTATTTATTAAAATATTAGGTACTAACCTTAAAATATATTAAAATTAACCTTAGTTAATTTTTTTTATCCTATAGCTATAATACAAGAATAACTTCCTTATTTTATAACTTTTATTTATAACTATTATTTATAATTACTATTTATAATTACTATTTAAACCTTAAAATATAAAATATAATTATTAGGAACCAGGATCTTGCAGGGTTATAATTAATAAGGTAATATAATAATATAACCTATAAATATAAAGGGTTAATTTTACTTTACTAATATAATTAAAATACTAGGTATACTTTAACTACTTACTAACTACCTATAACCCTAATTTTAATATTTAAACCATATTCTAACAAGTAAATAAATATAAAAAGTAAATATAATTAACAAGCCTATATTAAATAATAAAGCCTAAAAATATAAAAAGTTAATTTTATTTTACTTATATTAATTCTTAAAGTTATATTAGCAACCTATAAGCCTAATTTTATTAAAATATATTATAGTAAATAAATAAGGACAGGGAAACCAAAGCAGTATTATATTAGTTAAAAAATTTTTATAATATTTTACTTAAGCTAAACTACTAGGATGCTTTTTTTATAAACCATGCCTTAATTAATAAGTAAAATATATTATAGTTAAGTCCACCTAGTTTTTACCTTAATATATAGTAATATATTAATAACATGTTAAAATATATATAAGTTACCTTTAAAATATAACTTTTAACTAGTATAGCCTAAACTTAAAAAAAGTTTTTTTATTTTTTAATTATTATTAAACTTTGTTAATAGTCTTATAATTAACTTCTTAAAAATTTGCAAAAATATTTAAAATAGGAATTTAATCCCTATATTTAGCTAAATATTAAAAGCTAATAAACATGTAATAAGTATATTATTTTAATATTATTATTATTAAATAATAAAATAACATTATATTAACGCGGGAAGCTATTTATTAAAAATAAGTATATTAAAAATAATACTCCTAAGTAAATTAGGGATAATTAGGAATAATTAAAAAATAAGGACAGGTATATTAGGTATACTAAAAATATTTAATTTATAGGTATACTAAAAACATACTATTACTATATTAAAACCATCCTGTTATTATATTAAAAACACCCCTTAATTTTTTTTATTTTTATAATTAAAAATTTTATTACTAGTATTAAGCTAAAAGCTTAATAAAACCTTTTTTTACTAAGTAAAAAGTTATTTACTACTAAGTATAAAGTATATACTAAGTTATTAATTATACTACTGGTAAGTAACCCTACATGTAAGAATAAGTTAACCTTTAAAAATTAACTAGTATTAAATTTAACTTTGCCTTTTTTATTAAGTATAAACTTTTTTTATTACCTTTTTATAATTTAGTAAAATACAACCGTGGTAAAGATAATAAAATACCTTTAAATTTAAAACTTTTAAAATCCCAAACCTGGGGTGCCCTAAAAACCCCTAAAACTTATTTTTTTTTTATTATATATTACTAACTTTAAAAGCTTTACAAGCGTGATACTATAACTTTATACTATTTAATAATTAATTAATTTAGAAACTAAGGTTATACTATGGTATTATTATAATTATTATAAAGGTAAGATTAACTAATAAATATAGTAATAAAATTAATATATAATAGTAAAATATATAAGCTCCTGCTAATACTATTACTAATAGGTATATTTTTATTAATATAATAATTAGCTAATATTTTTAATAGTTATACCTCCCGCGTATTAAGTAATTTGCTAATATTTTAGTTAATATTTTTTATGTATTTACCCTTTTACTAATATTATTAATAGTAACCTTGTGTATCCCGGAACAAACCTTATATATTAAAAATAAGGATTTTTAGTATCCTAATATTTTTAATACTTTAAAAATTTTTTATATCTTACAAAAAACTATATATCCTAGGGAATCTTATTATATTATCTTGCGCTTAAATATTTTAACTACCTAATATATATTATTAAGGCTAATATATATGCAGCTATTAAAGCGCCTTGTTATATATTTAAGTTTAATATATTTTAAATTATTAATTTTTATTAATACTTAATATATTTAAATATAACCCTTAAAGGTGCCTTGCCTTTAATAATATTTTTTATATATATAATATATATTTTTATAATTTATTTTATTATTTAACATGTCTTTATTTTTAATATATTTTAATACTTAATATATCTTGCTTTTTTACTACATATTAATTTTTTTAATATACCTTGTGGTTTTAATACGCCTTTTTATTATTAATTAAATTTATATATTTTATAAAGTGTTAATTTTATGTTAAAAACTTACTTACCACATGGTACTTAAGTTATTAATATATTACTAGCGTAATATATAATTATATTTTTTTTATATTAAAATCCTAGAATATCTTACTTTAAGCCCTAACCTAATTAATTAAACTAACTTTATAGCCCACCACTGGTTTACTATTCACTATATTAGCGTGTAAATTAAGGCTAAAGAAATTAGGATGCACTTAATGCCAAATTACTAAATAGTTTTATTTAACTATAAAATAAAATATCTTACTTTAAGCCCTAACCTAACTAAACTAATTTTACACTAGTCTACTATATTAAAATACACTAATATAAATTAAAAATTTTAAATTTAAAATATACTTGCTATGCTAAATTATTAATTAATCCTATTTAACTAAAATATCTTATTTTAAGCCCTAAATAACTATAACCAAGTAATTAAATTCCTAAGCCAAGTAACTATACTTTTAAATAACTACACTCCTAAGTAATTATATTCCTAAGTAACTATATTCCCAAGTAATTATACTTTTAAATAATTACACTTTTAAAACTATATTTTTAAGTAACTATACTTTTAAATAACTACACTTTTAAATAACTATACTTCTAAGTAACTATATTTTTAAGTAACTATATTTTTAAGTAACTATATTTTTAAGTAACTATATTTTTAAGTAACTATATTTTTAAGTAACTATATTTTTAAGTAACTATATTCCCAAGTAACTACATTTTTAAGTAACTATATTTTTAAGTAACTATATTCCCAAGTAACTATATTTTTAAGCTAAGTAACTATAATTAAGTAACTAAATTCCCAAGCCTTTAATTTTTTAAACCCCCGAGTATTTAACTTCCCGGGTTTAAGGTGTATTAATTATATATAAATCTTAATATTAATTAAGTATATAAAATCTAAAGCTGCTTAGCTAATTTTACTAACTTAATAAGTATATTTAGGTATTATTTACCTAGTTATTTACTTAGTTATAAATAAGTTTTTTATATATTAGCTTTGTACTGCCTTATATATATATTAATTTAATTAAAAATAAACTACACCCATGCTTAATTTATATAATATTTTTTTCTTAATATATATTATAAATAATATATTTTAGTTTATATTTTATATATTTATAATAATATATATTAAAACGTTAAATATATACTTAACTATTTAATATATACTTATTATATATAAATTAATATATATATTTTTAAAAATAAAGTATATTTTTAAATAAAATATATAATTAAATTATGCATATATATTTTTTTAAATATATATTAACTATATTTTATAAAAATTAATATATATATAGCGTAATATATTTTTATTTTCTTAATATATATTTACGCTGTTAATATATATTTTACTTTAATATATATTTATAACTTTAATATATATTTCTTTAAATATAATTTTTTAATTATATTAAATAATAATACACATTACAATAAATATAATACTAGTCTTAAACCATTACTATACTCAATACCCCCCCTGCGGACTGACGGGAGGACTCGGCATGCAAACACTCCCATGGGCGAATGATGCCGCGCCACAAGTTACAGTATCCCTGTTGCTCGTGGGTCTGGGGTGCTAGTGGCCAATTATTGGGAAGCGTCTGTTATTGAGTTTGAGTTTGATGGTCGGCGAGGGGTCAGGAATGCCTCATTGCCTGCTGATCACTTCCATCTGGTATCCTCCGCAGACACTCCGGACTCGAATCCCCCGAGTGCAGCAAGACTTGACTCGACATCCCATCCATGGATGTCTAGCCACTTCCAAGATATGATATGCGCCGAGGCTGCTAGCATCTTCTGACTGGGGATAATGATATCACCCTACCCCTACCCTAGCAGGCTGCAATAACCCCCGCCCCTGCCTGCCAGCCCTGGATTGCCAGCCATGGCATGGATCAACAGGGCCAAAGCAGGGGGTTCAGCCACGGATTTCCACCCCTTAAGCGCGGTTCAGGAACAGTTTACTTTATTTTGTGTTCTTCTTTCCACGGTTCAACGCGGAGATACCTCAGTCACAAAATAAAGGTGCAGCCTCCGATCGACTCGGTCACGAGGCTCTTCCCCATAATGATCGGCAGATGGCTTCCCTCCACCCCGCAGCCCCAGGGGCAGGGTCCACGCGGTACCGGGCCAAGAGCAAAATCCATCAATCAGACTGAGGCCACCGGCGCTAGTCACGGACTTGCGATGGACGCGATACTACCGCGGTGCGGGGTGTGCTTGGATAGGAAGGTGACTCGTGCAGCTGGAGCCCAGACTCGAGTCTGGCTCCGACTATGCGGAATGTAGGTGTGGATGTGGGTGTGCCTGCGGGCTGTCATCTCAACGCGCAGAGAGCCCACTGGCACTTGGCTAGCCGATGGAGCTGGAAAACACGCAGACACGCGATGCGGGGGGTGCCAGGCCCAGCTATAAAGGCCTCCTGCGCGCCGGGTGACCCCCGTCGGAATCAGAAGAGAAGGAACTTGAACGCTCGCACAGTCGCACACGCGCGCACAATGTCCCGTCTATCTAGGGCTATGGTCCCCTTGCTTGCAGGTGTCCTCGCGGGCGCCGGCCTCACCGCCGCTGTGACAACCTACGCCGTGCAACAGCCGCCCCTGACCACGGACTGGACGGACCAGGTCGGCACGAGCCCGTGGCCCGAGTATCCGCGGCCGCAGCTGCAGCGGTCGCAGTGGCAGGGCCTGAACGGGGTCTGGCAGTACCGGAATGCAGGCAATGCGGGTGCTCTTTCGACGCCGCCGTTTGGGCAGGATCTCGACACCGAGGTGTTGGTGCCGTCTTGTTTGGAGAGTGGGCTTTCTGGTGCGTGCTCATCGCCTTCTGTCTGAGTAGCTATGTGTAGGTGAAGTGCTGACGATGGTGTACAGGCCTTCAAGGCCAAAACCTCTTCTATTCATGGCTCTCTACAAGCTTCACTGTCCCCGACGACTGGCAGGGCACCAGTGTGCTGCTGAACTTCGGGGCTGTCGACAATGAAGCGACGGTGTTTATCAACGGGCAGAACGTGGCTTTCCACCGTGGAGGCTACTTTGAGTTCACGGTTGATGTGACCGAGTATATCGACTTTGGGGGTTCTAACGAGCTGTACGTCCACTTACACTTCCTCAACGGTACTGACATGTGCTCAGGCTTGTCTTCGTCTACGACCCCACGGACACCTCAGGGACAATGGTCCCTTTGGGCAAACAGACCCTCAACCCCTCGCACATCTTCTATCGCCCCTGCAGCGGCATCTGGCAGAGCGTCTGGCTCGAGTCTGCCCCAGCGGAGTATATCTCCAAGCTGGACATCAACGCTGACATGGACGGCGAAGGTGCGTCCAGTCCATAACCAGCGAACCCTACTGACATCTCAGTAACCGTAACCGTCCACTCCTCCAGCAACAGCAGCAACCCCGTCGAGATCTCCGTCCTCGACGGCTCGGACACAGTAGCAACCCACACCGGGTCCGCAAACACGCAGTTCACATTCACAGTCGACAACGTCAAGCTCTGGTCCCCTGACACACCCAACCTCTACAACGTGACCGTCACGCTGGGCGACGACACAGTCACCAGCTACACCGGCTTCCGGACCATCTCGAAGGGCGAGGTCAATGGCGTGGTCCGTCCGCTGGTCAACGGCGAATTCAAGTTCCTGTTTGGCACGCTCGATCAGGGATTCTGGCCTGATGGGCTTTACACGGCGCCGACGCGCGAGGCTATGGTTTATGACTTGCAGGTCCTCAAGGATCTGGGGTTCAATATGGTGCGGAAACATGTATGCCATCCACCTGTCTTCCCTAGATTCCCTTCGTTCAGAGCGACGTAGGGATGGCAATGGCTAATCAGTGGCAGATCAAAATCGAGCCCGCCCTCTTCTACCGCGCCTGCGACGAGCTCGGCCTCCTCGTCATCCAGGATATGCCCTCCATGCCCCTGCGGACCCCAAACGCAGCGCAGCATGAAGAGTTCGCCCGGCAGCTCGAGCTCATGATTAACCAGCTAAAGCACTATCCCAGCATCTACACCTGGGTATGCCTTCTCTTCTCCCGTCAAACCCCGTCCAAGTTTCCGGCAGTAACTAACAACAACCAGGTCATCTACAACGAAGGCTGGGGCCAGCTAAACAGCCAGGAATTCGCGCTGACCTCGCGCGTCCGGACCCTCGACCCAACCCGCCTCGTCGACTCAACCTCCGGCTGGAACGACCACGGCGCCGGCGACTACAGCGTACCCTTCCCTTCCCCATCCACCATCCACATATACCCTAGTATACCTATCTAACAAAACCAGGACAACCACCACTACGCAAACCCGCAATGCGGCACGCCCTTCTACTCCAGCCCCAGCATCGCCTTCAACCCAGATCGCATCGGCATGGCCGGCGAGTTCGGCGGGATCGGCCACAACGTCTCGATCGGCAACCTGTGGAACGTCCAAGCCGCAATCGACACCATCGCGCAGACGTACGAGATCGACGAGAGCCTGGAGATCTGGAATTACCGCGCGCATGTGCTGCTGAGTGAGTTGACGGAGCAAGTAAGGCTCTTTTCGTGCAGTGCGGCCGTTTGGACGCAGACGAGTGATGTTGAGGGCGAGGTTAATGGGTTGCTTACGTATGATCGACGGCTGCAGAGGACGGATGGGGAGCAGTGGAGGGGCGATATTAGGGGGTTGTATGAGGCTGCTAATGAACGGGCGTAGGGAAGGATCGTGGGGGACGGGGGAAGAGCTTGGTTGGGTTTTTGGCTTTTAGGGTTGAGGTTTGATTCTCCATTGTATATGATGCTACTTCTTCACTTCAATACTTCTTTACTTTGTCCCTACCTACATATATATACACAGATCTCCGTAGACAAAGGTATTCAAGGTACTAACTTAATCTGAAACCAGTCCGAAAGCTCCCAGCTACATACCATCCATCCATACACTACCCACCCCCTCCTCCTCTCGCAAAGGATCACTAAATAAACCTCCCCTCCCTCCCCAACCACCGATCCATCGCATCAAACGCCGTGCGCACCGTATCCCCAAACTCGCCCGCGTACCTCTCACACGCCGTACACGTCTCAATCGTATGCTGCGCCCCCTCCACAAACGCAATGCTCTTGTCTGCCACCTTGCCAGCAGCAAGATAGATCTTCTCCGCGTTCAGGTACTCGTAGTGCCCCGTGTTCCCCATCGTCAGCAGCGGCACCGTTATACCAGATACACTCGCCTCCGGCGCCGTCTGCGAGGTGTTCCACTGCACGCCGGTGATCCCGGTCGCTGTGACTGCGAGTTGCTCGGGGAGTATGCGGATCGCGAATGTCGAGAGGAAGCGGCTGATTGTTGTTTTTAGGGCCCCGGAGTAGAAATTCGTGCTGTCGGTGGGAATGCCCGCCGAGGGGACGCGCACGGAATGCACGATTTGCGTGCTTGTTTTGTTGTTTTTGTGCAGGAGCGGCCAGGCGTGCGTTGTATGCGAGAGGTACTTCGTGTCCTGGGATATAATCTTGTTGTTGAAGCCGATGTAGTTTGCGTCCGCGATCAGCAGGCCCTGATCATCCGTGTACGAGGCGTTCCCAGACTCAATGGCCGCATTGCGGGCGAGCGCATCGTCCAGGATCGAGTTCCAGCGCCGCGCAACGCCCCCGTAGAACAGGCTTACAAACTCAGCCGTGTAGTTCGCCCCGTTCTCCGTCCACCCGTTCCTCGGGCTATACAGGTCCAGCGTCTCGTTGACGCCTCCGGAATCAATAGCCGGATTCAACGAGAGCAGCGCCATCGTGCTGAGCCCGTAGTTCGCGTCGATCAGCAGCACCCCGTCGGCCGGTGGCAGGTTGGCCATGGCGCTCGAGCACGGGTGGATCTTCTCGGTGCCGTTGCAGGCGGCCGCCCCGTTCTCCGCGACGTCCTGGTACGCGGCCATCATTGCGCCGCCGCCGCTGTGGCCCCAGAGCACGACTTTATCGACGGTGTCCAGGTCGCGGAGGAACTGTACGCCGGTCGCCACGTTCGACAGCATGGTTTCGAAGTCGAGGTCGTTCATCAGCCCTGTTTTGGACTGCGCGTTGTTGAGGCAGAGGGTTGTGTAGCCCCGGGCTGGGAGCTCGGAGCATGGGTAGAAGGTTGTGTAGTCTTGTTCGGCGTGCATTACGAGGATGGCGATGCGGGATTTGGCGTTTGGGGTCGTGGTGGCGGGCTGGAAGAGGCCGCCGATTACGCCTGTGCCGAAGGTTACGAGCGAGGGGATGGGCAGGGACATGTTGCCCAGGGAGGTGTGCGTGAGTTGGGTTGGCCATTGGGTCTGGATGGTGCTGGCAGTGGCAGTGGCCACGCTGCCCAGGAGGGCCGCGAGGGCGGAGCGTTTGATGGAGGGCATGGTTGCTTGGTTTGAGAGAGTCAAGCAGGTCGAGGGGTATGGTTTATAGGTAGTCTGTTCTCCCTACGTGGGAAGCATGAGGTCATCGATCTCGGCTTGAAGGTAAACATCCCTATGCCGGAGTAAACCCGACCTCGGACTCGACCTCACTTCCAAGCTCAAGCTCATATCCGCATGTGCCGGCTCCAGCTGAGGCAACTCCACTCCGTCCCGCATCTCAACGGTGACGGTGGCGTCGTACTCCTACGCGCGTATAGCAATGCACCCGACTCGGCCGGGATCTGCAGATACCACTGCATGATTACAATTCTGCAGCAACAAAGACACCGATAAACTGGCATCCATGGCACCTGGAACAGGGTGTAATGCAGGTACAGTCCCGAAGTGGCAGCCAACCCCGAGCCCCGAGGTAGGGTTTGCGGAGACTAAACCCTAAGCAGTCGCAAACCCCGAGCTATGGGGTCTGCAACACCTGCGCTAACAGGCGGCCCTGACGATCTTCAGGTTAATGCTAAGTGGAGGCTGCATGGATGTTTGGGATTGAGGGGGTTGTGCATTATAGTGAGATCCTTAATCTTGGCTTAACGATGCTTGACAAGAGCTGCTGGTGGTGGTTCCTATCGAGAACCTCGTCGGTACACCCAAACACATCAAAAGGGAGTCGTGTCCGTATCCCGTTGGATTAAGGACGTCGAGATCCAGGAATTTGAAGTCCTGCCAATATTGTAAGTTTGAGCATTTCAGAAACTGTCTCCGGAGTCCGAGCAGCTACAGATATTATGTTAGCCAAAGGTGGAGATCTCTTATTTTAGTGGAGTTCTTATTTATCAACGCCTTCACATGCCACGTTAGTATAGAAAAGTAAGGCGCTTAATACCTTACTATTTTAGTAAAAAAATTAGGTTATTAATAAATTTTTAAAAGCTTAAAATATTTATATAAACCCCTAGGTAGCTTTAGCTTTTAATAAATAACTTATTTTTTTTTATTTTTTTTTATAGTATTTAATTAATAGCTTTATTAATTAATATAATATATAAAGGGTCTTATAATTATAAGCCTAAATATTAACTTAATAATTTAGCTTATTAAATTTTTATTTTTTTTAAATATTTTAAAGTTATTTATATTTTTAAATATATATTTTAAAGCTGTACCAAGCCTTCCATAGTTAATTATTTTTTTATTAAATTAAAATAAATATTAATTAATTTTTAACTTTTATACTTAATTTAAAAGTTATTATAAGCTTTATTAATAATATTATAAGTATAAAAGTTATTTTTAAGTCCAGGGATAACTAGCTAGCTTAATATAGCTAAATTTTTTACTTTATTTAAATAATAAAAGTTTAAAAGTTTTTTAACCTAAATATTTTTTAAAAAAAAAAATTTCTTTCTTTTTTAAGTTACCTTTTAAAAATATAATTAAAAAAGTATTTAAAATATATAATAAATACTAGCTTAATATTAAGTACTATTATATTAAAGTTTAAGAAATAAATAAAACTATTTAAAAAATTATTATTATTTTTATTTAATAATTTATTAAAAATAAACTTATTATAAAGGTTTTAGCTAAATTAAAGTAATAGTTTACTTTAACTAATTTTAAAATTAAATTAAAGGTATTTAATAACTATTTTATAGCTTTAAATACTTTAATTTAATAAGGTAAAATTAGTAATTAGTTTTAAAACTATAAAAACACCTACTAAAAAATTAAATATTTTAATTAACCTAAATTAAAAAATAAAATAGTTAATATAACCTTTTTATAAATAATTAGTAAGTATTTAAACTTTTATATAAAATAAAATACTAATTAATTAAATTAAAAAGGTGCTAATTTAATTTCTTACCTTTAGTTTATATTTAAATATTAATAATATTTTTTTTATAATTAATAGCTTTTTTAAAAACTTTGCTAGAGTAATAGCCTTTATAATTTTTAATAAAAAATTAAATATTCCCTTTAAAATAGCACTTACTAATAACAAGCCTTTTTATTTATATAATTATTTTTAAGTAATAAAATAATATTAGTACTTTATGTAATTGCGTAAAAAGCCATAATATAAACCTAAAAAAATATAAATAAAAAGGTTAGTAAAGCTTTTAATAAAAATAATAAATATAATAAGAAACTTTAAAAGGTAAGGGCTAAAAATAAATAAATTTTTAAAAATAAAAAAAAGTTAAAAAAAAAGCTTAAAAAGCTTTTTTAGCTACTTAAGTTATAATAAAAAAAATATTATAGTTATATGCTTATTATAAGTATTTAAAGTAATTTAATACTTTAAAATACCTTTATTTTTAATACCAGTGCCTTTATTTATATTTATAATAATTTTAATTATTTTACCTTTTTTAATTAATTAAAAAAAGGTAATATTTAAGTAAAAAATATAATTATTATTATTTAAAATATAAAATTAGTACTTTTTTATCCCAAGGCTTTAAATAATAAAATAATACCTTTTACTTTTAGTAAAGTAGCCTTTATACCTAGCTTTTATATTAATATTTTAGTAGCTAGGCCTTTTAAAAAAATTAAATATTTTTAAAATTTTAATACCCTAATTACCAAGAATAGTAAACCAGTATTTTATCTTAAAAATTATTTATTTAGCCTTTAAATAGTTAAGTTTAAAAAAAACTTAAAGCCTTAAAAAAAGGCTAATACTTTAACTTAATAAAAAGTTAAGACCTTAACTTAAAAAATTTATATTAAAAAAAATTTTAAAGCTTTTTACTAGCGCCTAGGCTATATTAATAATAAAGTACTTTAATACTTATTAATTATAATTAAAAAAATTTAAATTACTAGTTCTTAACTACCTTAGTAATATAATACTTATAAATATAAATAGGCCCCTTAATAAATATTTAAAAGGCTTAAAAATCCCGCTATTACACTATTTAATTAAGTTTATTTTAACTTAATTTTTATAAAAAAAGTAATAAATAAAAAAAAGTAAGTAATTTACTTTTATAATAAAAATACTAAGTTTTACTAGGCCTATGCTTACTAAAAAAAAGTAAATATAAAAATATTATTAAGTAATATACTAAGCTTATTTAAACCTAGTTTAGTATTACTTTTAAGGTCTTTTTTAGTAATTATAAGCCTATATTTAATAATAATATTTTTAATTTTATTATATTTTAAGGTATACTCCAGAACTAGTCTACTTTTTATACTTTTTTTTAAAATAATATAGCTAAGCGCTTTAATAGTATATTAATTAAAAAAGTAAAAATAATAGCTTTTTATAAAAAAATCCTTTTTAATATATAGCCCTAGGTTATAAAAGCCATAGCTTATATTAATAATTAAATTTTTATTAAGCTATTAAATTAAAAAATACTATAAAAAGTACTTATTAGTAAAAAACCCTATATTTTTAATATTAAAATACTAGGCTATTTTACCTAGGCAAAACAATCCTAGGTAAAAAGTTTTTATAAAATAAAACTAAAGGCTTTATTAAAATACTTACTAGGCTATATTACTTTAAATATTTAATAAATTTAGTTTTTTAAAAAGCAGCTTGTCCAAGCCTATAAAAATATTATTTTTAATAAGTTTAAATTATATAATTTAAAGAATCCCTTTTTTATTATTAATATTAAAATTAAGTTACTAGAGCCTCCAGCCTAAGTTCTTAATATTTTTTTAAAACTATAAATTTAAAAAAAATTAACCTTAACCTTAACTTTAATAAATTTTTTAAATAAAAAAATAAAAATAAAAATATTTTAAACATAAATAAGCCACGGGTGGTGAAGATCTTAAAAAAAAAAGGTATTAATAATAATAATAAGTATTAAGCAAGAAATAAGGCTTAAAATACTACTAGTAAAATTAAAAATACTACTAGTAAAAAAAGGCCTTTAATTAACTAAATAAGTTTTTATACTTACTAATTTTAAAGCTAACTTTTAAACCTTATTATTATAAAAGGCTTATATAAAACTTGGCCTTATAAATAGCTTTAAAAGCCTATTTAAAAAATTTATAATAATAAATTTTATATTTTTAAGTACCTTAATATCCTTTTACTAATTTAGTTAATAAATAATTACTTAAAAAAAATAAACAAGCATGCCTAGCTTTTTTTTTTTACTTAGCCTTTAAGCTTAACGCGCTTAAAGGGTAAAACTTTAATAACTTTAACTTTTTTTTTTAAAATATTTAAGCGTAGGCATAAATAATATAATACTAATAATTATATATATAATTTAAATTTAAATAATACTCCCTTAAATAATTTAAATAACTTTAATTATATTTAATTTACCTTTTCCACTTTTTATTAAAACCCTATAAAAAATAGCTTTATTAAAATAATTTACCTTTTTTTTAAGCGCTGGAGTAATTTTAAAAACTATTTATTTTATAATAAGTTTTTAAAGGCTTTAAACTTTAAGCTAGAAATACTTTATAAAATAAAAGCATAAAAGGTAGTAAATAAATAAAAAGTAGGAATAAATAAGCTAATTTTTTTATTATAGGTTTTTACCTATAAATTTAATACTAATAGCTATTTTATTAAGGCTAAAACCTAAATTTATATATATAAAAATCTAAAACTAAAATTCTTTAAAAAAAAATTAAGTAATAATTATTTTAATAAGGGTTTTTAAAGCTCTTATAATACTTATAGTTACTTTTAACCTTAATTTTAATTAAAAAAATACTATTAACATGTTTTTTAACGCTACCCTTAAAAAGGTAGTATATTTTTACTTTTTAAATAATTATAAGTAGCAGGGTAAGTTACTAAAGGCCCTTAAGGTTATTTATAAACTTTAAAAGTTTTTTTATTTTTAATAGCTTAATTTAGCTATAATACTATAAAAATTTAGCTTTATTATAATTTTTAAAAAAAAGTGCCTTTATATTAATAAGTTTATAATTTTTTTTATTTATATAAATAATATTATTATTATAAACCTTTTTATTAAAAAAGGCCAAGTTACTATAGCTACTTTTAAAAAAATTAGTAATAAAGTATAAGCTCTAGTATTTTAATAAAATAAAATAATTTTTAAAAATTTAAATTATTTAAAATAAAAAAAAGTATAAGGTTTAGTTATATTAAAACTCTTATATTAAAGTAATTATAAACTAATTTTACCTAAATATAATAATTTAATTTTTAAAAATACCTTTTTTTTAGCAAGCTTTATCTAAACTTTAGTACTATAATACCTTAATAAATTATAAAAATAAGGTTTAAAGTTAGCTTAGTTAAATATGCAAGTATGCTTACCTATTTAAATATTTTTTATATTATTAATTAATTATTAAAATACTTAATTAATCCAGCGGATTATTATTAATATATAATAAATTAACTTATTTTTTATTTTTATAACACATGCTTTATAGCCCTTAAATACTTTAATTTAAATAGCCTTAAAAATAAGCTTATTTTAAAGGTATATAATTTTTATAAGGCTTACTTTAATATAATTTTTATTAATTAATTTAATTACTTTTTTAGTGCAGGCTATATTTACAAGCTATATAATAATTTAATTAAATAAAAAGTTATAAAGCAGTACTTAATTATAACTTTAATAATTAAAATAAAATTATTAGCTTTATTTAAAATTTTTAAAGTAACTTATTAATAATACTAGGTTTTTAATTTAATATAATTTAATTTTTAATATTATTTTTTAGTTTAATATAATAATAAATAAACTATTAATATTTTTACTAGTTTTAATATTTAGCTATAATTAAAACTTTAATATATTAATATTTATAACTTATAGCTTTAATAAAAAGTTTAATATAAAAACCTTAAAATTAAATAAACTTTTATAAATTAAATAATTATAAATAGCCTTACTAAACTACTTATTAAATAATAATACTATAAATTTATTAAAATACTTAGTTTAGTAAATATTTTTAGCCTTATTTTTAGTATTTAGTAGGTGTTAAGGGGGTGTGTTAGCTAAAAGTAAAAATTTTTTATTTTAATAAAGTTTTTATTTATTAACGCCTTTATATACCATGTTAGTATAAAAAAGTAAGGCGCTTAATACCTTATTATTTTAGTAAAAAAATTAGGCTATTAATAAGTTTTTAAAAGCTTAAAATATTTATATAAACCCCTAGGTAGCTCTAGCTTTTAATAAATAACTTACTTTTTTTTTATTTTTTTTTATAATATTTAATTAATAGCTTTACTAGTTAGTATAGTATACAAAGGGCCTCACATATTACCATGGTGGGCCTGGTTGCATATGTACGGATTTCTTGATAGGCATTATTCTGTGATGACTAGATGGATCCATGTTCCCATACAAACACATGCAGTGGAAAATAATAAAATACACAAACAGGTCTGGCCAGGCCATCCTACTCCAAATCTATAAATCTATCTAATGTACACCACTATCCCAGCATCCACCCAATCCTCCACCATCACCACACCCTCACCATCACTCACACCTAAAAGACTCAGTGACATTCCAATCCCCCCCAACATACCTCGCAACAGCGGGATACGGACAAAGCGTCCTCTGCGCCAGGACCCCGAGGGCCGGCGTATCATCCACAAACTTCGTCGCGACCAAACTCCCAGGCGCAATCCCATCCTCCACCCACCCCATAAGCGCCAGCACCGCATCATGCCGTCGATCCCTGAACCCGGGCACACCGTACACATTATTCCCCGCCAGCGACCCCGCCTGGTTCGCAGCGGCGATATACCACGGCGCATTGTGCACCGACCCCGTGCAGTGCTGCATCCCGGGGATCAGGAAAAAGCGGTAGAAGGAGTCGACGTCCACGCCCAGGGGTTTCAGTGTGGCAAGAGTCTGCTTGTAGTAGTAGATGCTGCTCGACGTGGGGATCTCGCCGTCCGCGAACCCGTGGTAGTGCAGGAGTTTGCCGCCGCGCGCGGCGAAGAGCCGGATGTCGAAGGCGGCCGCCGTCGCGTTGCCCGGGTCCAGGGCGTCGGAGAGCGCGATGGTGCCGTAGTCTAGGTCCTCTGCGGCCCAGGTGGGATTGTTGTAGACGAAGTCGCGCGGGTATGCGATGCCGCTGGGGGAATCGACCTGGTCGTCGGATGTGATGATCATCTGGGAGACCTGGGCTTCGGAGCCCCAGGCGAAGGACGGGAAAATGAAGGTTTGGTTGGTGTCGACCCAGTCGCCGTAGACTTTGTAGAGGGTCTTGATCTGGGCGGCGTTGAAGCAGGAGGAGCTGTTTGAGGTGCCATCGCAAAGCAGCGTCTCGGGCCGGAACTCGCACGCGTACCCGTCCATGATGATGTTGTCTTTGACTCCGTCGGCGATATCGCATTGCTTCAGGACCTCGGTCGCGAGCACGTCCATCAGGTCGGACGTGATATGTCCCGGTCCGTCGTTGGGGAGGTTATCGAGCGCGATCTTGAGGTCCCAGTTCTGCTGGTGGGTTGTCCACCATGCGCATGCGCCCGCAAGGACGCCGTCGAAGTCCTCCGGGAACATCTGCACTGATTTCAAGCCCTGTCGGCCGCCCGTCGAGCATCCGGCGTAGTACGAGTAGTCGATGGAGGCGTTGTAGAAGGCCTGTGTGAGGGTCTTTCCGAGCTCTACGCTCCCGTGCAGCGCGCGCCAGCCCCAGTCTGTGCGCGTCTCCGGGTTATCCAGCGCCCATGCTGCATCGCCGGCTTCGCGCACAGACGAGTTGTGGCCTGTGTTTGTGGAGACCACCGCAAAGCCGTAGTTCAGGCCGGGCGCCATGTCGTCGAAGGCGATTTGACCTGTGAATCCGCCGTTGCCGTAGGCCATGTACCGCTTGTTCCAGGTGGTCGTTGGCAGCCACAGGCCGAACTCGTAGGAGGAGACGGGTGAGGAGCTGACGTTCACGTAGAGGGCGCAGTACTCGGGTAGGCCGGTGTAGTTGTTCATGGGGCCGACGAAGGTGTCATTTTCTGTGAAGGTCCGCGCGTAGACGAGGCTGGCGTTGGAGGACAGGTAGGGGGTGAAGAAGGAGGGGTCGCAGCGGCTGGCGAGGGCCAGGCTTGCTGGGAGGAGGGAGAGAATATGGGCCTTCATGACTGCAATAGTGCAACTGAAGATGATGAACGACATGGGGAAAGCTTGCTGTGTTTGAGGTTTTATAGTTGAGCTGGTTGTATGCGGATCGCTGCTTGCGCGGTCCAGTGGAGCCCGTCCGTTGTTGCAGTTTCAGCATCTCGGAGTTAAGAACCATGCGTAGGCTTATGGGATTTGTGGAGTACTTCGGTCGAAGATATGGGGCTGTCTTCTAGAAACTTGATAGTTGATCCAAATATCTTGCTCGGCCAACGTTCCGGGTCAGGTGTTATACCATAGTATCCCGCCTCGGGTCCCCCCTATCAAGCGCCCTATCATGCTATAAACAGTGAGTCCAAGATAACACTATACTCCGTAAGAACTTGTGCATTTTCAGATGGCCCTTTGGCTTGCCTAGTAGATAGTGACTGGGTAAGAAGCTTCCTCGCTCCTCGCTATGCATGAAGGTGAACCGATATATATCCTGTATATCCTTCACCATCTTCCTTATGAACGAATCGACACACGACGAGCCCTAGATCAATTTACCCGTGAAGCTGGGACGCGCAAACAGTGCTTTAAGTATTCTGGCCTGTATCCGATGTGTCGTTCTTACTGCCCCGAGATCCGAGTCCTGACAGAGTGTCTAACCCTGCATTTATGATGCCATGAAGATGGTCGGAATAGGAAGAATCAGAATCAGCGTCTTCTGATGTCAGTGGCCGGGCCAATAATAATACTAGCTTAGCCATAATACTGAAGTCTACAGACCAGACGCCGTATAATGCCTTTTCCGATGTTTTCTGCCTTGGTATGTTAGGTGTAGAGGCGGCTCGACGTTTCGTTTGTTTGGCGCAGCTCTAGGGTTGAACTGCGATTTTATATAAAGCGATGGATCACGAATGGATGGGCATCGATGTTTGCACGTGGATATTATGGTAGAGGCCCTGTATCCCATAGTCAGGATGGAAGCAGACGGCCTGGAAGCTGGCCAGCAACACGAGATACCTATCACAGCAGGCGAGGGTACAGCTGAAAGGTTTCTCTCCCACCTATAGGAAGCATCGGCCAAACTACCCAGTCCATGACTAGCAAATATTTTGCTTTTTCTGTACAACCTTAACAGCGAATTCCCTTCAAGGCGAACCAGAGCGGGGGCGGGGTAGGGTAGGCTCTCAGCTATCTCGAGCAGCGGCACGGAGAGCCTGGCTTTTCAACCTGTATCTCGCTCTGCGGCGTCTACAAATTCTCCCTTGTTTCCCTGCTCATCCCCGAGAGTTGGAATATATTCACCGGAACTCCCGAGCGTAGTGTCCAGAGAACGTATTAACCAAGCGCCAAACCACGGCTAGTGGGCTAGTGGCAGGGGTACGGATTCCCCAGCCGGATCGCAAAGCCACAACTAATTAATCCACGCTATATTGGGTTACATTACGGACACGATGTTATCAGCCCGCAGCAGCGTCTTTGAAGCCGCAAGCCGAACACGCGAGGAAAATCCCTGGCTGCAGAGTTTCCAATACTACGTCGACAAACTGCGCCAGGTGCAGACCACATACAAGGTCTCGCTAAACGGGGACCCTCCCGACCTCGGGCACGCACGGCACATCTGGCTGCTCTGGGACTATGATCGCATCTGGGGCATGTTCCATTTCGGAGCTTCGATGGGTGTGATGCTTGTTGATCCTGGTCCCACACTGCCGGTGAGCGATGATGAGCCGGGGCGCCGTCTTCCGTTTGCCTGGCGTGCAGTTGACGCGTGTTACCCGCATAAGGTGCACTCGGACCCCGAGCGCAATAAGGGCATGATTGTTATTGATGTGCTGGAGGGGACGCTGGAGGGGTATTTCGATTTCATGAACGGTCGGGGAGATGGTGGGGTAGAGGGTCGCTGTGGGTTTCGCGCGAGGCAGCATCGTGGACCCTCGGTTGTTCCTTATTCTTTGGAAGATGTTGTGCGTGATTGGAATCGGTACGGGAGGGGAGTGGCAGAGGAGGAGATGATTCGTCAGGAGTTGGATGAGGATGAGTTGGAGGAATATGAGCGGAGAAGAGAGGGCAGGCCTTCACTCAAGAGGAAACGGGACGACGATGAGGACGATGGCACCAGCGGTGAGTGGAATGACGGTGAAAGTGACCAGGAAGGGACGGGAAGGGAAGAATATGGGGAGGAAAACGAGGGCTTTGAAGCTGAGAGCGATGACCCAGACGACGGTGAAAGTGATCAGGAAGAGACGGAAAGAGAAGAATATGGGGAGAAAAACGAGGGCCTTGAATCTGGGAGCGATGACCGGGACGAGGATGAAAGTGACCAGGAGGAGACGGGGAGCGATGGCGACAGGGATAGTCAAGATGATGAGGCTGCGAGCGGCGATTGGGAAAGCGATTAAGACGTCGATAGGGAGCAATGAGCATCACAATGTCTTGTCTCATGCAGCACGGAAGAATGTCAGAACCTTCGGTATTAAGAAGTGTCAAGCCCCAGAACCACTTGCCCGTCCAATATACCAGCCCAGTAGTGCCTTTGTAGCCGACGCCGCAGTCGCAGCCGCAAAGTGCTGCCAGTCCTTGTTCTTGTGGCTATCGGCATAGTCGCAGACGCCCTTGACAACGACGCAGGGCAGTTCATCCCATACCCCAGCGCCCTCCATCTCGAATGCGATAAGATCATGGGCGGACGCCAATTTGTCGCGTTCCTCCCCAGACTTCATGACTGTGTCCCCAGACCCTATCCTCCCAACGAAGATAGACGGGGCCTGGGCCGCTTTAGTCTCGCCGTCTTTCTCTAGCTGCCGCTTGAAGTCGATTTGTTCTCGACTTAGGACCTGTCCCGGGTCGCAACAGGCGTCTTCGCATGAGGCGCCGTAGGTTTTGGTCTCGGCGCATATTGAAACTTTCGGCGTCTTCAGCGCGGTTATAAGAGAGGCATGTCTTTTGTGCCGGTAGTCGGGCTTGAAGAGCCGGTCTTTCGATGCCCCTGGGTATTTGTACTTAGCGCCTCGAGGCTTCCGAGAAGTCCTGGCTTGGATGTCTTGGAGGTGGCTGACGGTCAGCTCCTCAAGCCTCTCGCGTCCGACATTCGTCTGGAGCATTGCAAGCAGGTTGCGCACGTTCTTGGGTGCTCCACTACCGCTGTCCTCGGCAGCGTCCTTTGGTTCGAATTTGTCCGGATATCGTCTGCCAAAATCATATGGCACGATGCGCCTGCTGATGACAACGTCGCCTAGCAAGAGTTCCTCGCCGTTACTTGGAAAAGGGACACCTCCGCATATTCCGGTCAAAAGAACGAGGCTTAGAGCTGGGTAGCTTGACCGTAAATGGGCCGCTGTGCCTGCAGCTGCAACTTTGCCCATGTTGGGAAGTAGAAGAAGGACCACATTGAATTTCCCTATGCGGGCATTGGTGTATATGTTCAGGTCGTTACTTCCCCTACCGTAATCACCATCCCAGAACTCGTCAACGAGGGCGCAGACAGCGTCGAATTCAAGTGGTAGCGCACAGACGATCGCAATTTCGAAGTCACTTCGACTCGCAGGCCGAACAGACTTCGCGGGATGCGGTGCCGTAGTTTGTCGCGGTGGCGGCGTGACCGGATCAGATCGTCCAGGGTCGACTGACAGTTTCTTGGAAATATGGAGCTCAGAGACGGAATCTCGTCGCTTACGCTTCGAGGTCTGAGGATTCACTAGCAGTTCGAGGTTTTGAACAATCTGCTCGTGAATGGTCTTCCGGATGGCGTCGCCAATGTTGTCTGTTGATTGATGCTGGGACTTGCGCAAGGCCATGTGCAAATAGAGACAGCCTTCCACCGCTCGGAGGTAACTTCCCCCTCCATCTCTCTCAGCCCTGTCAACGAGATCGCACATCCCGCCCCAGTTGGGAAGGTTTGCTCTGCTTTCAGGATAAATCTCCATCGATATTTTCTCGCCGTTCTCAATTTCAAGCAACAGCTTGGCGAATGACAGTAAAATCGGGTTTCCGGGCCCAACTTCACTCACTGATTGGGACGGCTTGGAGTTCCGAGTGCTTGGTCTGAGGGAAATGTACAAGGAGCGGTCGCCGTGCTGGGCTCGCGAGGACCGGAGGAAGTATATACTCTCCGGCTTCCAGCTATGCGAAGCAAGCTCGATATCATCGTCGAAAAACTGCATCAGGCATTTGGCCAAGTTGAGGGCGAGGATCGCCTTCTCTCGGGAGCTGAATTTGTCCACTGCGGCGCCTGTCAAATAGTCGCTGGGGGTGATTCGTGTCAGAGTCTTTTGATCGAGCAATTCCCCAAGCGTCTCTGCGGTGAACCGTGTCGCGGATGAGAGAATCCTCGGCATTGCGTCGGAAACGTCGAAAGAGCCTCGCTCGTCGATTGACAGATATATCGCTCTGCCCAGCGTCTTTGCCCGTTGGATTGCTGCGCATATCCCGTCATCCCGTCTCTCGTCGGCCATGGCTCTGTTATAGTCAGGTACGACTCCGGAATAGCTCAATCGATGAACGTACTGGTATATCCCGCATTTGGCCTGATGCCAGCCATGTTCATCCAAGCAGCAGGAAAGAAACAAATCCAGGGGAGTATCCCACTCATCCTGCACCTTCAGCTTGATCTCGTGGAGCCGTCCACAATTGCGCTGTCGGAGCTCCTGGAACAGTGTGCTAACCCAAGCGCTTGCATGTCTTCCATGTAGGCCCCGGCTCGACCATGGTTCTTCCTGGCAAACATCAAGGGGTGGCGGTGGCTTCAATTGTAGACTCTCCTGTGGTTGTCCGTCATTTGCAAGACGCTCCAAGAGCTCTTTAGTACGAGCGACACGATCGAGGGCAATGCTCCTGAGCTTCTCTTCAGGCACTCGAAAAAGCGACAAGCCTTGGCCGTTGAACAGGTTGAATTGACCATCGGTGGTGCTTATGAGGATAAGCAAAGACCCTAGCTGTGGGTGCAAACTTCCGAGCGCTATGAGATCGGTTTTTGCAGGGCCATGTAACCCCTCGAGTCCGGGCCCTTTGGTCTTCCGCTTGTCCAGATCTTGAATTAGGTCTTGGTTGACAATACGGTCCAAGTAGACAGGAGGTCCTGTGCTCTTTGGTCAAGGCTTTCGGTCTGATGATCTGGGATATGCGAAATCAGGGGGATGATTGTGAAGATGTAGCGTAGATCCGCCTCCAAGAACGCCGCGTCGTTCTGCAGCTGCGGGGGCCGCTCTGCGCTCCTGCCATTCCTCGAGAATCTGGCTAGTTTGCCTGTCAACTGCGCTCGGAGGATATGCAGGCTCTTCCAGCCGGCTGACTTGGTGGTAAGCATGGAACATCTGCCCAAACGGCTCTGTCAAAGCGTTGTCATCGCATGGTTGCGGTATGATCGCATGTTGGAGAGAGCCTCGACCACAAGAGGAATCCGGAGTCCGCCCAAACTTTCCTCCGGCTGACGTGATGGCGCTTGTCTCCAACTGATCGCAGCCTGTCGCTCTTTCCTCACCACAACTTCGGGCCATGGACGGCGTTGACCAGGAGGAGCCGATCTTCGACCTCGCGACGGAATGTGAAGGCCTGTACGCATCGCGGATCTCGATCCTCAACGACGCCGGCGATCAGAATGCCGCGAAGGTCGTCTCCGATCTGTACCAGCGGTTCGGGGCTTGGGCTGCCTTCCTGGGCGTTTTCGCCGAGTCCAATGTCTGCCTCGACCGGAGGCTCCAGCGTCATGTCGAGATCCAGGACCAGGTGCTCCGTTTGCTGGACATCATGATCAGCAATTTGACCTACTGTGTGTCACCCTACACCATCTTTGCAAATTCTAGCACTAACAGGAGCTTTAGTATTCGAAGGCAGCGGATCGACTGAAAATGATACCGAGAATGTCTTCGGGACCGAAATCTTACAGCAAAGTACAAGTGTGGACTTGCAATGCCTGGACGCTATCTCCGGAGCGCTTGACAGGTTGAACCAGATAGGCACGGCCATCCGACGGTCTTCCGTGACCAGCCAGACCACGAAGGCCAGAATCTTTGCCGAAACCTTCGACTTCAGGTCCTTCGACCAGGTGGCGTGTTTATGCCTAAGGGCGCTGTATCCCGACACCAGTGACAGTCTAGTGGACCACCTCTCCCGGTCCATGACAGAAACCTACGGCCTATTTCTCCATCGCAAAAGCCGCAAAGCACGCCTCGAACTGCCGCGAGCATCGCCACATGCGAAAGGTGTATTGAACGTGATCTCAGAAGAGCATCCCGGGACTGTCGACGCGGATTCCATGGACATTGACCTGGAGGCTCCCAGTGTCAGCGTTGAACTGAGCAATAACAATCATCTCGCCCCTCCTAACCAAGTCAGGCGCCCCCCTCAGTCTCAGCCTACCTCCGTTGACACCAAGGAGCTCAAAACCCGACTCCGGAAGTTACTTGGTCCTCCTTCATCGAACAAGCCCCTTTCCATCCTCGCTAACCAAGTAAAATACCCCCGACCGGCTAAAGAGAGTCTTACCTGTGAATGGTGCTTCAGTCCTCTGACAGCTGATACTCTCGAGAAGCTCAAGTGGCAGTAAGAGCTTCAATGTGTCATTCGCCGCATCGTGACTAACGCTCATACCAGGCAACATATCAATGAAGACTTCAAGCCATACATTTGTCTGTCCGAAAAGTGCCCGAATGGTACACCGAGATTCGCCTCATCCCATGAATGGTTTCAGCATATGAGTTCTACACACAGCTCGAGCTGGCATTGCGAAATCCATGCATCTTCCTCATGGGCTTGCCCTCTGTGCTCCGAGGATACTACCTTTTCAACTTCTGAGGCCCTTGCGCGGCATTTGGAGGGTTGGCACGATGGCATTTTCAAGGCACATCAAGTGAATTCGATTGTTCGGCAGAGCATATTCCCAGTGACACGGCCGAAGTCCACATGCCCCCTTTGTTGCTTTCCTATGGGTGACGACCAATCACACAACGGTCGAATGGCAGAGGAAGATAGTCTAGCGGCGACTAGTGTAGCCAAGCGCCTGAGGACCGAAGCTGGATACACTGGAATGAATAGCAGCGAGGTCGATGCTGAGACACCGCCCGTTCATGCTAGAACCGTTGCAAGTCATGTGGCTGCTCACCTCCAAAACGTCATGCTTCTTGCATTACGCTTGATATCCATACAAGGGGCGCAGGGTGTTTATTGCGAACATCAGAGCAATTCGTCTGATACCGACTACCCGGCCTCTTGGATCAGCTCCGACCAGAGGGACCTAGACGGAGATAAACTCGATACGGACTCCGAAGACGATGGGCCAGCGCACGCTGACGATTGTCTTGACAACAATGAGCTACCCACACCAGAACACATCCCTGACTCATTGCCCATGGATTGGACAGACATCCTGCCGAGTATTGTGCCAGGCGTCTCCGCGGACGAACTTGCCACCATAGATCCACCAGAATCCGGGAAACGAACACTGCCGTCAAGCGGAAACGAGGATGAAATCCGATACCATCTTTCAGGCCGTCAAGAGATTATCAAGAAGCTTCTGCATTCGGAGTTTGCTTTTGGAATAGATATGACTGTACTGGCTGAATTCTACAAAGCGTCGGCGATGGCGCGCAGTTGCCCCGACCTTTCGCCAGAAGATATTACAATTATCTTCCGCGGCTCAAGCCAGCTGCTAGACTTCTCCGTGGACTTCCAAGAGCAGCTTGCGGATGCGGCGAAAAGTGTCTACGTCCGGCCTGCGTCGGAGAGGTGGCCCCGTCGCCCGGCAACTGAGAGCGAGCCACAGTCCACTAATGATGACGAGTCAGCGATATCAACAGCATCATTTGTAGACACAGATCGATCAACATTTATAGGCGCAGCGTTTCTGACCAACGTCGCGCGCTTGAAACGAGTTTACACGGAATACTTACATTCCCGAGCGGCGGCCGACAAGCGACTGCGGACTGTCGAAAAGCGTTCCGAAGTGGCCAAATGGGTCAAGCAATGCGATGAGAACGCATCGCAACAAGGATACCGCGAGGGTTTCCTCTCCCTGCTTAGAAGACCCATGAAGCACCTAGTGAATTACAGCCAGGTGCTTGACAACTTGCTTTCTGCCACACCAACGGATCATCCAGACCAGAAGGCTCTTCTTGAGGCGGTCCAAGAAGTCAAAGCCCTCCTGAATGCTGTCAGTACTATTGGAGAGGAACATGGTGCCAGTAGATCGGAGTCGATCTCGCGCCCTGGAATTCTCAAGGCTCTCAACTGGAGAATTAGGAAACCCAGCGTTGCTGCACTTGAGCCAGATATTGAATTCACACTCCTCGCTCGCAGATTCTCCGATAATATACCCCGGATACAGTCGTTCAAGGACCAAGTGCAATTTATCTCAGCAACAAATCCCTTCGCCGAGATCATCGATGCAATGGTGGGGTTGGGCGTTATAACCGGCGTCTCACCCTTTCCCAATAGGAGTTCCCCCATTCAAAGTTTGAGTAGGACAATAATGAAGTCTGTAGAAGCAGTGTACTCAGTCCATGTGCGCATGACTTCATTTCCCTTATATACTGCTTGACAAACACTAACAAGCTATACAGCGAGACATGTTGAAGAGCCGCGTCGTCCATCCCTTGGCTGGTCTTCTTGAGCTACATCAAGGTCCGCGGAATGCCATCGAGTCCCGCGCCAACTTCCTCCCGCAGTACACCGAATTCACCACCCTGAAGCGACAGGGCAAGAGGACGGGGAGGAGAATCACGGAGCAAGCCGAGAAGTTCATGGCATTGGACGAAACTCTGAAAGCCAAACTTCCCAGGCTTCAATTCCTTACCGCACAAGCCTTGCAATTGTGCTTGACTAGATTCACCCAGATCCAGGCTTCCTTGCTGCTCGAGATGCGGAAGACCCTCGAGTCGTGTGTGGGGCCAAGTCAGGGTGATTTTGAGACGATAGTCCGGGGTTGGGAAGCAAGAGACAGGCTTCCGGAGAATCAGGTGCAATCTCTCGCGATTTGCAACGGGTCTCTCTTGCCTTGGTTTCCCAACCTCTTGGACCGCGCCCCGTCAACCCAAGAACGGCCTCCTTTGGCGGACTATGCCACAGTGACCGACTCCTCAGCTGCGCCTCCCGTCCTTCCTGAGGTACCAGCCCCAACTCGGGTTCTACCTTTGCCACCAGACCCTACAAAACCATCGTACCCGAAGCCAGCGCATGCTTCGGTCATGTTCGTGAGAGCGCTGTATGATTACACCGCAGATGATGATATGACTCTGAGCTTCCGAGAGGGGGACATCATTCAGGTCCTTCACACCGTGGACACCGGTTGGTGGGACGGTGCCCTCAATAATGTCCGGGGCTGGTTTCCCAGTAACTATTGCAGCGTGATCCCACCTCCGCCGGAGTCTGAGGACCAAAACGAAGATAACCCATATGCGAACCCAAATGACGGTGAGGACTTCAATGAAGCACCGAGATTGTACCGACACCCTGCAGATACTGGCCATTCTCTTCAAATTCCACCCTACGCAAGAACCGACCCACCCAGTGACGAAGAGGCAGGATCCTGGATTCCCCAAGCCACCCCTGACGGTCGTTTATACTATATACCCCGCCCTGAACTACACGAGGTGATAGAAGTCTACCTGCCCGATGTTGGGGTCGAGCGTGCGATGAGGGTTCTTTGGCGTGCCGCTAGTCTCTATGAATTTGGACAAGGAGGGCGACAGGGGTTTCGCGACTATCCGTATCTCAATTATGCGCCAGGTGAGATCTTCGATGTTGTTTATGAAAAGGGTGATCTCTGGCTTGGTTGTAGGCAAAGTGACCCTACGAAAGAGTTGGGCTGGATCTGGTCGAACCATTTTGCAAAGATTCCTTAGTCCGGATTATCCACAAACGCTTCTGGGCGCGTTTGTCATATTTCCATGACATCCAGCTTCTTATTGGGAGGTGACAAGGTCTATCAAGAACCCGCACCGCACCTGCAGGGCACATCGCGTCGCAGCCTTCGTTATGTGACAGGCACTTGGACCATCCACATTAGCAACTCATACACAATATGCGCCACCGCCATGCCCGTCGTCCCAGCCGTGTTATCATACACCGGCGAGAACTCCACCACATCGCCTCCCACAATCTTGATCCCCGCCGCAGCCAGACCCCTCAGCACCTGGACCATCTCACGGGTCGACCAGCCTCCTATCTCCAGAGTCCCTGTTGCAGGTGCATATGCTAGATGCGCATATATCAGCTCTCTGGTTCAATACTGAGACCGACAACGACAACATACCCGGATCCAGTGAATCCACGTTAATGCTAACATAAACCGGCATATCTCCCACAATATCTCCGACCCGCTCAATAATACCCTGAACCCCAATCCGATCGATATCCGACGCCCTGATGATTGAAAATCCACACCGCGCGTCATTCTCCAAGTCCGCGGTAGCATCGAAGAGCATCGACCGAGTGCCCAGGTGCACGTTTGCGTCTGGTAGAAGAGCACCCTCCTCGGCCAGGATATGGAACATGGACCCGTGGTTAATGTCGCTGCATTTCGAGATGCCGCCGCCCAGGACTTTCGGGTCCCAGGAGTCGAGGTGCGAGTCGAAGTGGAGCACTGCGATGGGGCTTTGTTCTTGTACAGGGCTCGGAGGACGGGGAGGCCTAGAGGCGTCGAAGCGCTACCGTCAGCACGAGAGCATTGGTGCGGAATTCGAATAGGATATGAATATGCGTACTAATAGTATGATCCTCTCCAATGGTGATGGTCCGACGCTGCGTTCCATTATCCTTACTGCTTGTTTCGCCGGACAGTATGGTCTCCATGCCATTCTGCAGCTGCTTGATGGCCGCCAGCTTGTCGAAGGGGGTGTTTGCGATGTCCCCGCAGTCGACGACCGTGGCCCACGAGGTGAAGGGGTTTATGGAGGGGTTGTCGGTGCTGCGACATTGGGTCCATGAGTTTTGTCACTTGTGAACGATTGTGTAAAGACCTGCGCACCTGTATCCCATCAGCGGGTTATACCTCGTCGAGCTCGTCCTAGCAGCCGTAGGGCCGAACCGTGCCCCAGGCCGAAATGATACTCCTAGATCAAAGGGGCGCGCCGACAACAGCAATGTCAAAGGGGTCCGAGTTGTCAGAGAAGCAGTCGCGCTGGGGGAGATGGCCGAACGTGGTGCTGCTCTCGAACGGCTCGTGGTAGTCGGGCACGTCATCTTTCCAGCCAGAGGTCAGGGTAAACCTGTCCTGGACGCGGCTTTGCTGCCCATTTAGATTCTGTTGGCGACAGAATCGGAGTCGCTTTGCAGGGGAGGATCGCGCAACAAGCCCAGAAGACTATACGGGCAGCATGCATCACCGCAATAAACGTTGAGGAAAGTTGTAAATGCAGTGTGCTATACAGCCGAAGAAGACGGCTTGAAGGGTACGGATGTCGCGTTATATACCTACTCTCCCCTAGGGACCTGCTAGGCGGGTGGAGACCGTGGCCTTGGACTTGGCTAATCGGGGTTTCGAGATAAGAGCACTTTTACCACTTTGAGGCAAAGGAAGGAGAAGCTGGAGCCGGGGCTAAATCCATGCATATATCATCCATCTGGCCATTGAGATCGCGCCATAAGCTTTTGGTTCACTGGAGATTATCTCAGTAGCGCACATGACTTGTGCTAAGATCTTTCTGAGGTCTGGTGGCCTGTCTTCTTCGCAGTGATGGACATATGAATGCATTCATGCTATCGGTCAACGTAACAAGGTAGCTAGAGGGCACCAACCATTTTATAGCGCAGCAATCTCCAATGCTTTGCATCCTCGACCTCCAGCTTATCTAGTTTCATCTTGCCCAGGTAGGCCATAGTCCAAGGTCGTCTCCTGGAGACGTTAGGTGGGTATCAGGGTCCGGTCTCGAGATCAAATGGATATCTCAATTGTCCCAACTTTCATTCAAGATGATACCTATGATACTCGACCGTCTCAACCGCAAGCAATAACCAGACTCTTGTTTCCCGTAAAACTTGATTAGACCCATCAATCCATCCATCCCCCAACCTAATCACCAAAGCATCAACAGCGGCAAATAAAAACACATCGGCCCCGCGATGACGCAAAGGATAAAAGACGCCAGCCTCTGCTCCTCCGGTGGCGCGTACCAAAGCAAAGCAGCGTGCACAGCCAATATGACAATGGCTGCAGCGGTCAACCTCACATAGCCCAATTGGCATGAGATTGTCAGCCTGGCTCCGACTCCGGGCAGGTTCACTTCTAAATAGACGGCTGGAGCTAAAGTACTCTGCTCTGCGCCTTGTTTGGCAGTGGGGGAGACAAGACTCACGCAGCACGGTATCACTCGATAGACCGGCCTGGAACGCGGAGAGGATGAGGAGGGCAGCGAGGGCGTTCGAGCACGTTGCGGATCTGGAAGCTGGGAGGCGGATGGATAGCGATGTTAGTGCTGGAGTGCTTGTTCTGCTTGGATGATTGAGGAGGGCGGGCAATTGCAATTGCATGCGTACTGCAGGTGCGCGAGGACGGCCGGTTTTGCCCTGGTGGAGGCCGAGGCCGGGGGGCGGAGGGTCTTTGTCTTTGTGTTTTGGTCGGTGAGAGACGGTTAGATTGGGATGGCATGGCTGATGATGTTGAGTTTTAGTTCTTGGTTGGTTATAAGGGCTCTGGAGGGAGAGGAGATTGCGTGTAGGTAAGTCAGTGGGGATTCGAACCGGGGCAGTGCGGATTGTTAAGGGTCTGTGCCTAGGCTTCTTTTCTGTTAGGCAGAAGCGTTCTTTACATTTTCCAGTGCCCTGACCGTTTGACTAAGCAGCTGGAGTGGTGAGAGCTATGCAGGTACAGGAATATGGTCAGACATGATGGACAGACTTCCAACCTTGACCAACGCCTATCACCGCAACATATAGATGGTATGCTACCCTAAGCTTGCGAGCTGACGGTGACGGCCCGATAAGCAAGCGCCACCGGAGCCGGGGGCGCAGTCTCGCAAGAAGAAGATTGTTGCTGTTGCTTCATCTTGACTCGTCCTCCACGCTTCCACTGTCCGCCTAATCTTAGCTGTCCCAGAGAGCCCTAAGGTACCATACCTAAGGTTCGGAACCTCCAGGCATGTCGGGGGCCTGAGAACATCCCATGGAACGAAAGGTATATCAGACCGCGAAGCACAGGTCGACTCTGTTCGATATCCTACAATCATCCTGCCTTCTCACAATTCACTGAGTCACTGAGCCTCCAAAAAAACAGTATCGCATTCATCCACCCTCGAGCCTCAGTCTCGCGCCTTTCATGTTCATTCCCATCCATCCCGACCAGCAAACACCAAACCCAACCCAAACAGCCAAAATGCACCTCACAACCCCAATCTTCCTCACCCTCGCCGCCCTATACGGCCAGTCCCTCGCCAGCACATGCACAAACACCTGGACGTCGCCCAACCTCCACCACGACTGGAGGGTGAGCGTCCCCGGGGTCCCGAACATCCCGACCGTGTGCGGAAAGCTCTGGAACCAACTCGGCTGTCCGGCGCCCAGCCGCACGAGCTGCGGGGGTATCGACGGCGCGCTGGCGTGGAAGTTTACGACGGGGGTTGGGTGTAATGCCGGTGATGTTGAGGCGGCGTGGTGGAGGGCTACGAAGAATGAGTATGGGGGTATTGATTGTTGATTTTTGAAGCAGGGAGATCCCAATGGATGGGAGGGAATTCCAGGTGACGGGGCTGGAGAGGGTTGGGACGGGGTTCATTCATCGGATCTGGGTAAGGGGGGAATGGCAGTTCGTGGAGGAGTGATGTTCTTGCTTTCCTGCTTTCTTGTGTCGGCCTTTTGCTCATGTTTCTCTTCTCGTGTTATGCTCCCTACCGTATCTCCTAACTATGGATGCTATGCCTTGATATGCTAGCCAGACCACCAGGAATATGACTGGCTGCCAGGAAGCTCAAGTTCAATGCTGGAGACAACAGAAAAACAATGACTTCCTGCTTCTTCCCGTCAGTGCCATGCATGTGTCTCGCCCATGCTCATCCTAAACCATCCATCGGTATACCTACCAAAGTTAAGTAGCCACCACGATAACGTAACAACATATTGAACATCGAACCAGCGGACACTTCTTCCAGTTCCGCGCCATCTCGCTCGCCGTCCTTTCTCCTTGACTCGACTCGCGTCTCACCTTCCACCCACTTGAAAGTTGACAGGAACATCACCTCTGCCTCCTGAGGCTGCCCCGGGGTTACAGTAGTACCTAGTACCTAGTAAGCCGCCACAATCCACAATCCACGGGCCCCAACGGCACCGAACAAAGAAAAGCTTCGACGGTGAACGGCGACTTCGACCTCGGGGTTCTATCATTGAAAGAAACGGCGTTCATCAGCCCAGCCCTGACAGGCCGCGACCCGCTAGACAGCTGGATGGACCTAATCTCCGCAGATAGGGTGGGCATGGGGTCGGTAGCGTACCGTGTCCTTTGTCAGAGGGTGACACGGCAAGGGGACACGGGATATTCGTCAATCAGGGCGGGATCTCCATCGCGTAGGGTATACGTGGACCCTTTGTTGCAGTCGAGGAGGCGTGCCCGTGGCGATGCAACCTGGAGTCATTTTGATGCTTGTGCATTGGGCTACTAGTAGCTGCCCAGACGGGGCAGTCGGGATTCGAAAAGCGAGGAGAGGAGAGGAATGACGGGCGTAAACGAACATTATCTTTATCTTTATCTGCGATTGTGGTTGTGGTTGTGGTATCTTCGCTCTTATAATACAAAGGAAACTTGAACAACATACAAGCATGGTATAGGCGTATAAGCAGATGGGAAGCAGTGGACCAGCCGAGGAGCAAACCAACAAAGGAAAGGGGGGGAAACAAACGACATCGCATCGTACCCTGCCAGTATCAAGACCAGCTCATTACCAGATTACCGGACACCACCATCCTACGCCAGCATATACCCTTGATGTGTATGTGTATTCGGTACCGACAACTGCGCCAACTGCCGCTGAAGCCGTTGGTTCTGGCCAAGCAGATCCTGCAGAAAGTCCGCCGTCCGAAACAGGACCTCCCTCTTCGTCGAGCGCGAGCTGTTCTCCAGCCCGGGAACCATGCTATACAGCTCCTCGTACATCTTATTCTGATGCAGGCGCCGGTTCCGCTCGGCGATGATATGCAGCAGCCGTCGGCGCTTCTTGCCCGTTATCTTCTGCCCGCCTCGCGCTAGGTCTGCGAACTCGGGCGATTGCTGGAGCAGGTCTTCTGGGTTGTCTGAGGGGAGGGTCGGAGTCGGAGGCGTCGGTGTCGGTGTCGGTGTCGGTGTCGGTGTCGGTGTCTCGGGGTCGGGCTGGGGTTTTAACTTGGGCGTTTGGCTCGGCGATGGCGTTGCGCTTTGTGAATCACAGGCTGGCACTTCTTGCACCTGCAGTCCGTATAAAGGGGCTGGGTCTTGCTCGGCTTTGATTTCGGGCGAGGATGCTGGGTCCGGGTGGTAGCCGTTTGGGCCGAAGGAGACGTCGGATCCCCACATGAGGTTTGGCTCGGGGGTGGAGGGGGCATAGTGGGTTGAGGGGAGGATCTTTTCATCGTGTACGGGGTGTTTATAAGTAAAGCCATCGTCGACGCGGATGAGGACGTCGCTGATCACGCCGTTTACGAACCCGTCGTATTCGTTGTGGACGTGTTGTATTGAGTTGAGGACGGGGGTCTGAGGGAAGTATGGGACGAAGGAGACGGCTTTGGGATGTTAGTGTCTAGGGCTGACTAGGTGGGCAGTCTCAAGCGTACCAGGAGAGCATCCGGCATTGGGAATCGTGTAGTATGGCGGCGGTGGTGGTGTATAGGGTGCTTGTCTGTAGATCGGGGCTTGTTGGATAGGAAAATGGGACCAGGTCCGGTAGTCTGGTTCGATCATACTCATAGAGGCCATGGCCATGGTAGGATTCAATCGCAGTTGCGTTGACGGCGGGGATATAGACTATTGACGGGCGGAGGACCGATAGGCAGGGCCACGAGGTAAATGTGGACGATGTGCAGTGAAGTCTGGTATGTGGAAAGGCGGGCAGCAGGTTATATAAATTTGACGTCAAAAATAAGCAAAGCCGGACCCAGCAGGCCAACCAGATCAAAGTGGAATAAGTCCCGACGCCTGCCCTTTGCTCCCAGGGCGACATGCCCAATCCGGACGAAGAGGGGAGATTGCCGTCGCCGGATCAGCCAGATTAGGGCCAAAGGCTTGACTGCCAATTTAACTGTGCCCACTGCACTTTGCGGGGCAGACGGTGGTCCTGAGTTGTCTGGCGCCAGGGGACTGGAAGATGGAAGGACAAGGGCCATGATCTGCGAACAAAGAGCGCAACAAGGGACTCGGACTCACCTGCCAGTGGCAGCTAGCATGGGCGGGGTCTCATCAGGACACGGCCAGGGGTCTGTTAATCTGTTTGAGATGGATCCTGGCCCAATTCCATCTCCCAGATTTTCACGCCAAAGGGATCCACGGCGATCCGCCCGTCGAACATCCGCTGGCCTGGGCCTGTCTTTCGGTGAGGATGATTTGGAATCCGCTACGGTTGATAGATCGAGCAGGAGTTGATTTGGACACCATATGGCCCGTCCCAGGGCGTTCCTCATTCTGTATGACTCTGTCAGACACTCTGCAATGCTCTACTTCGGCTCCTGCTGTGATGTCAATGGCGGTCGACTCGGACACAAAACAACGAGAGCAGCTAATGCACATTCAAAGCAGAGCTAAAATAAAGCAGCCAATATATGGCTTGATGAGAGTGGGACCAACCTGATCACTGGAATCAAAGACGCCTGGAACACCAGATCCCCTGTTCCGATCCACGATCTGCCAGCCCTGCTGCCCAATTAGGCATTTGTTGCGATCGTGCAGCACCAGGCGTATCATCGATGCCTTCATCCTCCCAACACAGCAGGATGCGCAGAACTGTTATGCGTATGCATCTTGACAGATGAGACTGAGTACAATGCTCATTCATCACTCTTGCTCTCACTTTCGACCCCTTTTGACGAATGCAGTCCGACCGTTGTTGGACCCGCAATCGCCCGAGCTCGGAATTAGGGCTTGTCCAGTCAGGCCCCATTCTCTGCACAACTGCCCCCAGCAGGGAATTCTGAGTACGGAGTACGAGAGCACGGCTGTCTGGACTCCTCAAGGCACGTCTAGATCATCGTTCACCGTGCTAAATCCAATGTGCTCATCCGCCCCACCGTTCGATCGGCCACTTTCCGATGCCCACTTTCGGCAATTCCTCCGGCGCTGCCTGAAGAATTGGATCCCATCCCAGCTTTAGTATGATGAGCTTCATTTTACTTATCTCAAATTCAGTCACCTCCTGGAGGCTCCTTTGTCGCAGCAGCTCTTGCGCAATCTGTATAGCAGTGCGACTGGGAGTCTCGAGCATGGACGTCTCGGGATTTGAAGACCCTCTTTCTCCGCGTCGTCCCTGAAACAAACGGCATTTTCGCCGGCTAAGCTTTCAAGACCCTTGCCCGTTTCGCACAGTATGTTGTCGACTGCGACTGATTGCTACCTTGCTGTGACGTCTTCGGCTCATCCTGGACAGCGTGGTCTGTCCAAGCCGTTGTGTCCGCGACAGTAATATCATGCCGGAACAGTCCGCGGATACCTACTCGATACCTTCATGTTGATACTTCACGCAATGTCCTTGAGCTATTAAATCAAGCCTTGTCCACTGTCTCAGGATAACTGCCGACCGAACACCGGAGCAGTGCACAACTCCGTCTGGACAATGACGTCCGTGCTCGACGGGTGATACATAACGGCCATGGGGAATGGGGAATGGGGAATGGTCTCATGCTGAGACGTTTTAGACCGTGCCTGTCAGTGTCATGCGACATGCCCGCAAGCGGAGGGGCTAGTGGACCCGTCCACGACCATTCTTCGGGATTATTGTATGGATTCGAACGGACACTCAGAAGCCATATCGCGCTCTATGTAGATGGAGGCCTGTGCTGAGGGGAAGCTGTTCAAGGCCATAATGCGGGTCAGGATGAAGAATATCGCTTTGGGGGTCCATCCAGCTCAGAAGAGATACCGTGGTCTGTCCGGTATCTCAAGCCGGTTCGCTTTATTGGAAGTTTAGAAGGAGTAGACAATCATCACCGAGCAACGGGGTCTGGAGACAAGGCAAGAACGACTCGCCCCCGGCTTTCCTCCCACATCCGTCGGGAACTGAACCCTTAGCCGGAGAACCTTGGAAGTTGAAGCGGAAACGGAAAATGGTAGACAATAACCACCCCATCATCAGGACATCACTAAATGTCTCAAGCCCGTCTGGCATAGAGTAAATAGTCTAATCTCAGCAGGACCATGGCGAACAGCCATCACGTTGATGATCGACGCGGGTATATTGACAGATGCGTATGTTGTCCCGCGTGGCAAGCCCGCATGCCGAAAACATTGGGCGCGGATCGTTTTTGAGGCTCGCTGCCAGGTTCCAAGGTTCGCGATGGTAAGCTCTTTTGGTGAATGGTGTCATGGCTGGATTTCGGGTGATCGCCAGTACCTGTCGCGTCTCATCTGGTTTTCCTGCTTGTGGAATTGTCCAGCTACATGATCTGTTGACGTGCTCTGGAATTTTCGACCGCATGTTCCAATTATCCGTAGCTTGGTGGCTAGGGTTGAGTATCTAGGAGTATGAGTAATATAGATGAACTGTATATACCCTAGTCTGGCTTATTTTGTAGCATAAACCATTGATTCCAAGCTTGACCTTACCTAGGTAGCAATCCTAGACGCGGAGCGAGTCTAATCTAAGTGTTCTGCCATAGAGGATCATTTGCTTTCAATGTCAAAGGCCTCGAAAAGACGATGAGTTGGCATAGTTACGGTTCTTGCCTAATCAAGGTTGCTTCTACTCATTGTTTCGTAAGTTGGTCTATTAGGGCTCATGGTCTGTTTCTACCTCTTATCCCCGAGCTTTATCTAACCAACAACAAATAAATTTCTAGGACATCACCAATTATCCTGGCCATTACAAAGTAACTAGTCATACTATCTGAGAGTTAATCTTTGATATTATCTTTTTACACACGGTTCTTGGCCCATTATTGTCACGTAGTTTATCGGGGCGAGCGAAGCCAGCAATGGGCATATTTGGCTATTAATATAAGATATAACAAGATGGCAACAATGAGCTGATAGGTAGAACCCTTGGAATTCCTTTAGTTATTACTGCGGTAGTAAAACGTGGTTGAGAGAAATGCTTGGTACGCCACAGCTACTTTGAACCAGAATATATATTTCGACGAATACAAAGTACCATGAAGTAACTGGGTTGTTAGAGGCCCAAAGCCATACAAGGACAGTTTGTCTTAGTGTAGTGCCTGTTTCTTAAGACATGCATATCAACATCTAGAGGGTTGCCATCAAAGAGTACACTGGCGATGTGTGAGCCACATTGATGCTGTCCTGCAGGGTCTGATTGTGAGCAACGGCTGCGATACCACCCGGTACCAATATTACGCACTGCCAAGCTGTCAATGCCAAGGCCTGTGTAACATACGTACGCGACTGCTGTAATAACCGCTGCGTCATCTTCCTCCTAATTGGTCAGCAGACGTATCCCTCTCGGACTCTCCAATGAAAGTGGCTGTGCGGGGTAAGTGGCTTCGAAGACGGCAAGGATCGGCTTGACGCCCCACCGCTGGAACCAGTGGCGAGGCGCGGCAGTCCCTGTTTGCCTTGGCGCCTGAGGCGTCTGCCGGCTGAGCCACGATTGAAAGACTCGACCGCTGACGCTCGTCCTCAGTGTCTCATCCCTTCAACCTTGCTTCGCCAACCCCTCCTCATCGCCTGGTGCGCTCCTCTCATCCGGATCCCCATTGCAAAGTCGTCATGCGGGACTTGCCACCATCGACTTGCCAGGAATTATCATGATAGCGTCGTTCCTGAATCTGACACCGGAGTGAATCCTGGGGGTGGTGTTATCGCTGCTGGAGCCCGGCGGAGCATGCGACCAGACCATGTCTGGAGGCCGGCCACTCAACCTGTACAATGTATACTTACGCATCAAAGGTGCGATAGAACCTTTTTCATACTTGTCACATCCGCTAACGGTTTGTCGTCCTAGACCGCTACTGGGCTGCTCGCCAGCCCGGCTCTCCTCCAAATGCGCACGCCCGACCGACTCACCCGACCGGATGGCGCCCGATCCCCCTACGTCCCACCTACCTCACCCTCATCGCGTGTCTTATGTTATTCCTGTTGATAATCCTCGAAGCCTTGAGTCAGTATAGCGAACGGACCGGCGGACTTCGCTTTTTCGAGGATACCGACGATCTCACCAACTTCGAATCGTTTGCCTACAACTACATCCCCGTTATCGTCGCTCTCGTGCTTGCTACACTATGGTCCTTTATCGATTTCGATGTACTGCGTTTGGAGCCGTACTTCCAGATGGCTCGGCCGGAAGGCTGTCCGGCCACCGTCCTGTTCATCAACTACAACTTCGGACAGAGCTTCATCACACCGATAGCGTCTGCGAAACGGCGGCATTGGCTGGTACTTTCGGTTTCGCTGGTTACGCTCCTTATTCGCATATTTCATCCGGCGTTGCAAAGTTCTCTCCTCGAATTACGGGAAGTCACAACCATCTCGGATGAAAAGATGAAAACGTGGTCCAAGTTGGTGGACTTATCGACACAGGCTCGCTGGTTCGCGGCCCAGGAGAATAGCGAAAGCAGCAACTTCGAAGCCTACTTTACCGACAGTACCGGCCTTCAACAGACCCGCTCGGGGCAGTTTGCCGTTGGACCGGTCCAGATTCCCACGGATGACCGGCGAGAGACAACCGTTTGGTCGCTCAATCAGACAATTTACTGGACCGAGCTGGACTGTCAGGATTTGTTTACCAGCAACTTTTCTGTTAGCCACAACGAGACGGAGTCCTGGCTATATTGGGATGTACAAAACGTACCGATTACTGGCCTGGGCGAGAAATGTACATTGGATTTTTCCTACGACAACGTGCTCTTTCCGAACGTCGATTTCTTGCAGGTCCGATATTGGGAACCGACGTGGTCTGATACACCGTTCACTGGCGCAGAAAGAGCCTTCGTACCCGACGGCTGTGATTCGATTGATCTTTACGGTGTTCTACTATCCGTCAATTCCTCGTCTTTTGGTGAAAATGCCATTAGCAGTGTGGGCGACGAGCTGACATCGTCGGCCACCATGTTTGCTTGCAACATCGAGTACTTCAAAGGCGAAGCGGAGATCACCATGCACGCAAACAGCTCGATCACGAACGCTAAAATCTTCAACGGGACCACGCAGGAACTCACGCAGGAAGAGTTCAACATTGACTCGTTCCAGAGCTTCCTAGCACATCGAGCCCTGTATACCAGCGACATGCTCTTCATCACGACAAATGAGACTACCGGAGAGCGAACGCTGACAGAATTGCCCGTAATCAGTCAGTATGTCGGCGACACTGAACCCATCCTAGTACTCGACTCGTCCAAGACCATGAGCTCGGACGAATTGACGGCCAAAGTTACAAGAGGGGTCAAGCAAACGTTTATTCTTACAATGAGTCGCTTGTTCAATCCCGATGTCTCGCCTACCACAACAGCTGCGCTTCGTTCGACAGGCCAGGTTTCGCTCGCGATAGTCGCGGCCGTTGCCCGTTGCGCAGAGACTGTCTTAGGAATTGGCACCATTCTCACCCTCATCCTGCTACGATATTACCACAAGCGGCCAAATATCCTCCAGAGCGATCCGGGCTCCATCGGCGCGATGTGCAGTATGTTGACTGATGTGTTTGGATTCAGTAATGTTCTCGCCGACCCGCGTGCCGGCTTCCATCAGTTCTCGACACGCCAACTTCGTCGTCTATTCCGAGATTGTAGGCTGCAATGGTACCACAGCCCTCTCGGAAGCCGCCTCGAGATTGTCACGCATGATGGTGAGTACCTTTCCTTGTTTGGAAGTTCCGTTCTAACCCGTCTAGGCAACCCGGTACGCTTAGACGAACAAACGCGAGTACGGGCGGACCCTCGGCCTCATTTCCTCGTCATCCCAATCTTTATCCTTGAATTTCTGCTCCTCGCCGCAGTCATCGTTTTGATGAGCCTTGTCATCTCGACCTTCGCCAAGCAGGGCGGCTTCCAACATCTCAATCAGTCGAGCTCGAGTTTCCTCCAAGTGGTTTTGTCGTTCCTTCCGTCCGTTGTGGCCTCAGCGGTTGGCGCGCTCTGTACATCAATTCATCGGAACTTGAGCGTTCTTGAACCCTGGGTTCACCTTCAACGTGGTATGGCAAGTGTAAGCACGTCATTGACCATGAACTACTCATGCCAGAATCCGTGGACCGTCTTACCGAAAGCCGCCAAGAACCGGCATGTCCTCCTGGGTCTGATCTCAATCGCCTGCATCGCCAATACCGTGCTCACCACAGTTGCAGGTGGGCTGTTCACGCAGCAGCTTACCGAATCAGCTACGGGGACCGACACCCTCTACGCAAATTACAGCCATTCCGTGTTCCGCCAGAACGACTTTGCCGCCGACTTTACTGAGTATGACTTGATCCAAACAAGCATCACCAGTGGGGTGCCGTTGCTTTCCTGGACTAGCTCAAACCACTCCTTTGCTCCCATTGAAATTCGCGACCCCGACCAGGACTCGACCTACAGCGCAACGACTTTGGGCGTCGGGGCAGATCTTGACTGCCGAATTCTGTCCATTCCGGATAATCTGGTTTGGCGAGACGATGGCCCGTACTGGACCTACCACCCGACCCGAGAGCCGGAGCGCGAGTGCTGGGTCAAAATGACCCCGCCCCATGATCCAAACGATAGATATGCCCTGTCGATCAACTTCTTCTCGCCGATCGCGAAGGAAGAGACGGACATTTGCCAGACGTCGACGGTGCTTGTTGTGGGCCGATGGAATTACACCGCAGCGTCCGGTATCACCAACAACAACACGGTTGCCCTGCACTGCGAACCGGACCTCTTGCTCCAGAACTTTTCAATTGTATTTGACCATAAAGGTCAGATCCTCGAACACTGGCAGGTCCCGGACAGCACGATAACATCCGGCAACATGTACGACAACGCGACGATCAGTCTGGGGCAGTTCAACAAGGTCTTTGCCGCCATCCCACAGAGCTTCTACGGCGCGTCGAACGATACAAGCTCAAACTACGTCTCGTCTTACGACTGGGCTGGTTTCCTGGTTGCTCTCCTGTACAAGCGAGACATCACGCCCATCACGCGCCTCGATCCCGACCGGTTGATGAACCTCTCGCAGACTGTATATCAATGGGTCTACAGCACATACTTTTCCCTCTGGAGGGAGATTTATCTCTTGCCCCTCGACGAACCCATTGTGGCCGAGAATGCCACCGTTATATGGAGTGCCTGGCGGATGGAGCCATCGGTATCCTCGTTGGTCATTGCCATGACGATCATCGGTCTCGACACCATCGTAGTCCTGATTGTCTTCGGCACCCGGCGCGGTAGATTCAAAGGACCTCGAATTCCCCGATCCATCGGCTCAATCATCCCATGGATCGCCAACAGCCACATGATCCACGACTTCGACGGCACCTACGGCTGGACGAATGCGCAACGACAGACGCACCTCGAGCGCCTTAAAAAGCGATACACGTTCCGCATGTTCCTGCGCGAGGACAACGAGTGGCGGTACGCCGTTGACGAGGAGCCGCCCGTGGCCGCTACAAAGACGACGCCCCCTTCTGACACAACGACTGTAGCAGCGAAGCCGCCGGAGGAAATCGAACTCAGCGTAATAGAGAATCGCGAGACGCCGCCGGGGGAAACGCCGCCTGAGGTTCGGGTTGAGGGTCAGATTGCGCGGCCGGAGACCCCGCCCCCGGATTATGAGGAGGAACCTCCACCTCCGGCTGTGGCTGTGGCTCCGGCTGTGGCTCTGGCTCTGGCTCCAGCGACGTCTGAAAGAAATGAGCCTGAGACTCGTGAGCAGGACTCGCGAGCTACGTGATATGACTTGACTGTATATAATAGACATGTGAGAATAGGAATGGATCTTGCATCGGTATTCGCGGTTGTTGTTCCCGTACTTGGTATCGTCCTATCTTCCGTCTTTGCCTACTCGGAAGGCACAGGTTCACAGGGCGTAACAAACCCAGTTCTCCGCTTGAGGAAACTTGTCCATCATGTCTGACCGTGTCCGGATTTCTACCGGCCATGTGCCTGAGGAAATTGCGATGCCCTTTAGGAACGAGGCTTTCACCAACAAGGGCCTTACGTATTATGAACTTAACTTTGAGAGTCATTATCACCACGCTACCAGGTGGTGTGCAAGAAACAAACTTTTCTCATGACTTTAAGTATTCCCAACCTGCCTTGTAGACGTTTGCTGCACTTGTCTAAAGCTTTAGCATGACTTCAGGCGTAGCATACCGCTGCCCCGACATGGGGTTGTACGTCCTAACAGCAGGCCAGATCAACCGCCACCAGCCCTAACCCTCTACAAGGCCCCGCCCTCGAAAGGCTCCAGAGGCAGGCCCAAAACAATCGGCTTGCTGGCCCGCTTGCCCCTCGAGCTTCTGCACGAGATCCTGCTCAGGATCGACGACACCAGCCTCAACAAGCTCCGCCTCGCCAACAAGAGAGCTCGCTGCCTGGTCGAGTCCCTCCCCGCATACGCCCTGCTCCGGACCCACGCCCTCGAGACGCTCCGCGCAATGGACGCAGCGCGCTGTTCCTCCTATTTCCCCATCGGCGCCCTCTTCACCGAGTTCTGCCACCCCTGGTGCCGGACCTGCCGCGAATTCGGTCCCCCCCTGTACCTCCCCACGCCCACGCGCTCGTGCTGCAAATGCAACGCCCTCCGCCGCGAGTACCAGCCCAGCCTGGCGACCGATCTCTTCTGCAGGTACGCCCTGTCGCGTCGGGAAATCAGCACCATCAACGCACAGCCCCACCTCCCCCTCATCCGCACCACGTCGAATTGCCCCCCCTGCCGCCTGACCCGGATCGCGGACTCCGGGCAGGCCCTGGCGCTGGCGGTGCGCATCCACGGGAGCTACGAGGCCGTGCAGCGCGCCGCCAGGGAGCGCGAACATTCCGCCGCCAGGGAGTACGAGCGCAGATTGCGCAGATGGGAGGAGACTCAGCTGATGGAATGTACGTTCCCGGCTCCGCGCCGTCCGCGCCGTCCGCCGCACGAACGGGCCGCAGGGCGGAGAGACGAAGATGCAGAGTGGCGTCTCCGCGCAACGGTCGCGCTGCCGTACTTTGATCGGAAGACACGGATCGTCGAGACGGGGGTGTACTGCCGGGCATGTACGTACCATTGGGAGGAGGGAGAAGCCGATGACTGGCAAGCGGGGCCGTTGGTCTTTCATCCGCATCCGCCAAATCGCGAGGCCAGATTCCGGGCATTCTTGGAGCGGGATATCCCGGCGCATTTTGCTGTCTGTGGGAATGTGGATCGGGGGTATGATTTTTCACAGAGGGATCCGGACAGTTGTCCCGGTCGGGAGCTGGATGGGGAGGACTTTTTTGTGTTTCCTGGGGATGGCGATTGATCCATGGACTGGTAGGGTGTCGGATGGAGGAAGACTGCAACTCTTCTCTTCACAATGGGCAATGTTTACATCCGTTTGGCTGCTTGATAAGTACCAAAGCCTACGGTAGCTCAGGCGGCCTGCCCAGTGCCCTCTAACAGCATGGATCAGCTCCTCTCTCTCCTCCAACCCAACACTACCTTAATCCTAACCATATGTGCCGGTATACTCCGACGGGTCACATATCGCAAATTTAGGTTGCGGGATGCAGTGGGCGGACGGTGAGGAACCGCGGCTATTTCTGAGATGTCCCGGGATGTTGTCGATGAGACCTGGATAATTTACCCTCCTCCCGTCGAGGTCGTCGGGGTTGGAGACTTGATTGTCTGTCAATTATCAGCAAGGGGATGCCGTAACTTGACCAAGAGTATTATATGCATATGGTACGTGTGGAGGCGTATGTAGTCCATCATTCCCTGACACCTTGCAACCCTTGATAGCATGCGGCAAAGCAAGCCTGCGGTACATGAAGACTAGGTCCATTACAACTCGCATCAAAAGTCTGCTAGATATACTATACCTATCCACCATACCGCTCAGCGTGCGGAAATAAGGCAAGCTAAATGGCCTACAGTGACATTGGGCAACTTATCGGACAGTTCGTGCCTGCCTAGAATGCGTCGGGCTTTCTGGATCTCTAGGACAGGCATAGAAGGCACATATCTTTCGATATTTATATCCCAAAATATGAGACCGAAATATGAATATGAATTGCATAATCATCCAAGTATTATCGCTCAAATTCCACTTGCAAACAACGCGGAAAGGAACACAATAAACGCAATAACTCAGTAGGAAGAATCAAGACTATAAGTTTAGCCATTGAGCTCTACATCAAGGTGCATCCCCCGCCACCACCTTGGCCTTGGTCACCCGCACTTGTTTCTGTCGTCGAACGAGCTTTCTCAAAGGCCTCTCCAAAAGCTCGGTACTGCGATTCGGCGTCGTCTTCTGTAGGGGTCGCTATCTCCGACATCTCGGTAGAGAACTCCGCGTCTGGGTCAACATCCCCTCCATCCCCTCGCAACTCGTTCAGAACCTCGTTTAAAAACTCATTGTCCCCTCCCTCTGTCAAATCACTTTCGGTTAAATCCCGAGCTCGCCAATAAAAGCCTCTTTGACGCCCGTATCCGACCACAACCGGCAGGTCACCCAGCAACGTGACAAGGACTTCGACACCGTCATCTGTAAGGCGAAGCGGCGTCACGCGAATGATCGCGATAAACATGCCAAGGGCTCGGATGAGATCCCATAACATGGTCAGCAGGCCTTCTACCAGCCTGAACGGGAATGTGACCACATCGATAATGGCAGAGACGGCCGAACTAATCCAGTCAAAGCCCCCTGAGCCGGCGTTCTTGATTGCGCCGGGATTTGTCAGCGCAAGTTGACCTTTGCTATCAAGGCGCCCAGCACCGTATGTCAGTGCATTGGTGATGACGACTTCATTGTATTTCATCTGCAGATGCTTCCCGGCAGAGGTAGCGGGAAGAGGGACATGCCTGCGCAGCTCCTGCACAATGAGAGGGGGTATGGTGTATTCCTTATCCTTAGGATACAGTCTCCCAATCATATCGCGGGCATTAGCTCGCCTCTCTGCCTTTTTCTTTTTGATATGCAGGTATTCATGCGTCGGCTCCCCGTCCTCGTACACGCGGCCGTGGTAGTAAACCGCCGCGCCGCGTTCAATGAACGGCGCCCATTTCTTATCCTTGATCTCTGTCGCATTTTCATCATGCCGGTTCATTGAACGGGTTGTCGTACATTCATCCCACAGTGTGATGACAAATGTAATGAAGGGTGAATACTCAAGCCCACAGAAGTGCTCCAGGAACCCGACTCGAGGGCCCGCTGACAGTCGTTGGAGAACTGAGTGGTCGCTGGATGGACGAAGAGGACACCAGCGTATGTCACCGAGTCTTTTGTGGCGTCAAGAAAGCGACCTATCTCGCGAAGAATGTCGGCGTTGTTGCCGCCGGTTTCGTTGAGCCCGGGGGTGTCGACGAAGAGGTAGAACTCGCCGTTGATGTATGCGTGGCCGAGGTGATACTCTTTTGTCACTGGTGACAGAGGAGGCACTCGTCAGCGATCTGGGTCAAGGAGTATGTATTTGAGAACAATGTTCCAACAAACCTGGGTCAATGCCGTTTGCTGAATGTCCCTCCTGTCCGGTCAGGTCTTCAAACAGGCTCGACTTGCCAGATCGAAGATGCCCAAGGAGGATAATCACTTTGGTGTCACTCTGCTCATGTTAATGTGCGATCTATGATCTGGAGGTTGGACCTGGTGCGTACCTTTCTCAGCGCGTATCGCAGAAGCGCCCTTGTCACGCGCTTCTGAAACGCTTCACGGGTTTCAGACTTGGGCTTCGGGAGTGGAATGCTAGACGCCGGAGTGGGAGCCATGATAAACAGATTCAAGTGATTGACTGTTGTTTAAGGGCCGACAGATTTGCTGTTGATTCTAAGATGGAAATTGGAGTGCGCGGGGACTCACGCAATTTATGTCTGGCATACTGTCACACCTGCGAGGCTGCCATACTGCAGCGGCAAATTGAGGGCCTATCAGCAGATCCTATTTGCCGCTGCGCCAGCAAGGCTGTTTCCATGGCGAGGCTATGTTCTCAGGTTGAAGGACAGGCGAAGAACGATTGGAGTAGCTGTTGTTTTGGGCTGAGAGGGAAGGGGAAGATAAAGCAACAGCGACACGCCGCACTGCGGCGCAGGAATTGATAGGGAACGAGCACCCCATTTCTACCATCTGGCAACTAGACCTCAAGGCTGCGGTCTTGTTATTTTTGGACTGTTCAGGGTTGGAACTGTCCGATGCTGATTGGATATCTGACTTCAGGTGCTGTCAGAGCGAGCATCTCATTAAAATGTATGGCTCTGGTCTATGGAGAAGCAGTCTAACTCCCCATTACATGTGAAGATCAGTTGAGGACGCGGAATCCGGTAGACCAGGACAAGTACTTCACTTCCTGCTAGTCCAGCTATCCATCGGTCTGTCATAGACAACCTAGCTGGGCGGGTAAAGACTTCAGCCAAGAAGTCCATGCTTTGTCTATACCGATACCCATGGATACCCTAATCTAATCCAAATCCGTCCCCATGGCCACCCCCCTCGCAGCATCCAAGTCCCCCTGCAACCTAGCCATCTTCCCCTCAACCCTCTCCACGCAATCCGGACCAAGCGGTAACCTCAGCACCTTCCCCTTAAGACTCCCCGCCTCCCCAGTCCCAGTGACAACCTCAAACACCCTCCGAACCGCCTTGGCCGGATCCCCCCTCTGCCTCCCCTGCGCAGCCTCAAACTTCCCCAGAACAACATCCACTGGCCCACCAATATACGGCTCCGAAAGCGGCACCTGCGTCTTCTGCACAGCAGACAGAAAATTCGTCCGGAACGCACCAGGCTCAACAATCAAAACAGAAATCCCAAATGGCTCGACTTCCCGCGCCAACGCCTCGGACAGCCCCTCGAGCGCGAACTTCGACGCCGCATACAGACCGCACGCTGGCTGGGCGTCCTGCCCCGCAACACTGCTGACGTTCACGATGGTGGTATCCCCGCGAGCGCGCAGCGTCGGCAATAACGCGCGGATCAACCGCAGGGGGCCAAAGAAGTTCGTTTCAAGCTGCGCGTGGGCTTCGGCGTCGGAGATGTCCTCGACCGCGCCGAGGAGCGAGTAGCCTGCGTTATTGACGAGGATGTCGATGCCGCCGGAGAGGGCGTTTGCTTTTTCGACGATGCCGGGTACGATCTCGGGCTTTGTGACGTCCAACTCGAGGATTTCGCCGCCTGCGCTTTTGATTGCTGTGACAGCAGTGGAGGACTTGGAGGCGTTTCGCACCGTCCCGATGACTTTGTGGCCGCATTCGAGGGCGAGGAGGGCGAGGTCCAGCCCGAAGCCGGAGGATGCGCCGGTGATGAACCAGGTTGGGGACATGGTGTGTTGATTGGGGATGTGGTGAATAGATGGATTGTATTTGGACTGCAGTTGGGAATTGAAGGCTCTCTATATACCTCCACGATGGAGATAAGGGCGCGGGATTTGTGCAGTTAATTCCGCTGTCAGCGCCACGTGGGGGCCAGCCCGGGCGTTACGAGGCTCTTACCCTATTTGGTAGGAGTCTCTTCTGGCATTTCAATTTTGGAGAAGCCCTTGCGTCATCCAGTTTAGCGTGAGTCACATCGTGGGGACTGGATGTATACCCCGCATGGTGCTCTCCAGGCGGACCGAGACCGTCCAGCAACTGTAAGTCTTCTAGGTAAGCATGACCAGCCTGCATTCCGATGACGATTGGACTTCCTCGAACAACTACGATACCTTGCAGCATCTGGAAGGATGAGCTGGAGTGGGCAGCGGGGTATAATGTTAGACGACCAGAATTGAGGCTCGGGATTGCCGGACAAAGCCCTGATCACGGATTTATGATCCGGGGCTGCGATAGCAATGCGGACTGCGGAGTATATATTTCTATCGAGTCTCACATACTCCGTATGATCGATAATCGGCAGTGGTGCAATCAGATGTTTGTGAGGCGTCAAGTTGGCTGATGTGATGAGATTCATGGATGCTTGTAGCTAGACTGCAGGTGTAGTTCGGAGTACAGTAGAGTTACTCAAGATTTGAACCTCGCTGGGCGTGGTATGTAGGGCATTCCATCGAGAGCCTGAGCTTCAGGGAATTGAAATCCGAGGATAATTCCGGCTCTGTACTTTGTACACCTGCATGGTGCACCGCATACGGCATTCCGTGAAGAGAAAAAGCAAAGAGCAGCAGTCTCCACAGCGCATGAGTCGGGTTTGCTCTGCAGCTGCTTCACCGCTAGTCCTGGCGGCCGTTTTTTCAGTCTCTCAGATTCAGGTTCAGGTTCAGGGTCCGGCTTGTTTGCTCACCAGGAGTTTTGACATTCCGTGTGGCAGGCGCCGGACTCCTCAGAGCATAACCCTGAGTATCGGCGATGGACGGGGCTATTGAGCCTGGATGGTCTGGATTGATGCTGGCGGGGCCACTTTAAAGCCTGGACTGAAGCTGAAGCCTGGCAAATGCAATGGCCTACAGTTCAGACAGATCTGGGGAAAGCGTCCATGAGACTGGAGAATGAGAGTAGGTATGCAATTGACAAATCAATGGCAAACAATCCAGAACGTAATGGGCAAACCTTGTTTGATCTCATTCCTGACCATTCCGGATGAACAAGTTGAACAACAGAGAGCAGAATAGCCCTAGTTGGAGCTACCGGACTATCTCCTCCACGCCATCGATTATACGGAGTATCCCCAAAAGTCCTGCTCCTTATCATGCAGATCAGCTTCTTTGTGCGACTTCTTAACCTTGGACTTGTGACACTGGCAGTGGCTCCAGCATCTTTCCTGCTGTCCGTGCCGATTCCCCTACATCTCATCCTTGTCGAGCAACAATGGCCACCCCCGTCACATTCATCTTCGAAGCCCTCGAGTCCGCCGGCAAAGCCTGCGAGCAGAATGAAGCCGCCTCCTGCTATCCTATCCTGTATACCAATCCTGATTCCCCTATATTCAATCCTTGTCAAGCAAGAATAGCTACCCCCGTCACTTCCATTCTCGAGCCCTTGGTTTCCACCGGAAAAGCCTACGAGCAGGATGAAGGCGGCTCCCGCGAAGCCCTGATCGACCGTCAAGCAACAATAGCCACCCCCGTCACTTCCATCCTTGAATCCCTGGCGTCCGCCGGCAAAGCCTACGAGCGGAATGAAGCCGGTTCCCGCGAAGCCCTAATCGAGCTTGGCCGCGCCCTGGTGACACAGCTCGAGATCCCGTCCGAGTTCCTGCAGCGCACATTCTGGGCGGAGGTGAGTCTGCCCTGCCCTGCAGGTCCATCAATATCAATATGCAATCCTTCCGTCTACCCCCCTTCCCAAAAGGCCGTATACCACTAACAAGCTTTGCCCATCCAGCCCGCCCAATCCGCCATCATCCGCATAGCCGTCGACACGCACCTCTTCCAGCACCTCCGCGCCGCCGGGCCACACGGCCTGACACCACACTCCCTCTCCCAGAAAACGGGAATCGACGTGCCCCTGCTCTCCCGTCTAGCGCGCCACCTGGTCGCAATGCACCTCCTCGCCTTCAGAAACGGGACGTTCCGCCCAACACCGCTCTCAAACGGCCTCGCGGAAGAAAACTACCAGCACAGCATATCCTTCTGCTACGATACGGCCCGGCCATCCTTTAATAACTTCCCAGCCCACTTCAAGAGCCGCGCGTATACCTCTCCAGAACTGGGGAGCTTAGACGGACCCTTCCAGGACGCGCACGCCTCACCACTCCCCTTCTTCGAGTGGCTGGTCGCGAACCCGCCGAATCAGACGCACTTCGATTCCTTCATGAGTGCGTATCGCGCGGGGAAGAGGAACTGGTATGAGAGTGGGTTTTATCCCGTGTCTGAGCGCCTGATCGCGGGATTTGATCCCGCGATCTCGGACGTGCTCCTCGTTGATGTGGGCGGCGGGCGCGGGCACGACGTGCTGGGCTTTGCGGCTGCGCACGCGGACCACCCGGGGAGAATCGTCTTGCAGGATCGCGAGGCCGTCATTGCGGGCGTTCTCTCCACAAGCAACAGCAACAGCAACAGCAACAGCAACAGCAACAGCAATCCAGACCAGCAACTCCCCTTCACAGCCCTCGCGCATGACTTCTTCACGCCCCAGCCTATCCTCCACGCGCGCGCATACAGTCTGCACTCAATCCTGCACGACTGGAGCGACGAAGACAGCATCAGGATCCTACGGAACCTTGTCCCCGCGCTGAAGAGGGGGTACTCGCGCGTCCTGGTGAACGAGATCGTGCTCAGCGAGGAGAAGCCCACGCTGGCGGCGACGAGCATGGATCTGATGATGCTGGCGCATTTCGCGGTGCGCGAGCGCACGGAGCTCGAGTGGGCGCGGATACTTGGCGCTGTTGGGCTGAGGATTGTGTGCGTTTGGGCGTTTCCGGGCGTTGCGGAGAGGGTGATTGAGGCGGAGTTGGTGTGAGCGTACCTACCTAGGTTGGTTGGATAGTTTGGGATAGGTGTGGTGTAGGCCGGGGGGGTTGGTGGTTTTGAGGGTGCAGGGGGTAGATGGATGGGTTGGGTTGGAGTCTGCTTTACTGGTTTTGATTGCGTGTATTATTGCTTGCTTGGGTTTCGTGCTCTGTAAAGCCCAGCTCTACCTAAACTAGGGTGATTGGTGATAAGATGAAGCTGGAGGTGCACACTGTACAAAAGTACCTGTCGGTTTTCGGGATGCAGTATCCATGTAATGAGATCGTTCCAGCATACCCCCGGAACTTGAACGTTAAGCCAATTCGCACGACAAGGGAACCCTGTACAAGCTTGATTCCATCAATGTCTAGGCCGAGAGGTACGGTGCTGCCATACCTAAGGTACCTGCTACGGGGTACTAAACTAGGGACTCACTCGACAGTCCCGTCGCCAGCATCGACTCGGCCAAAAGGCAAGAAAGATCGGAATGAAAGGGCGGTAGTCAAGCGTGTCAATAGTTCAGACTGTAATGAGTCCATCTTGGAGCTATCTTGGAAGGTTGGGGTACTTCGACTGGAGGCGAGGATCAACGCCTTCAACTTTGATCAAGTCAATAGTACGTATGTAGTTACCCGTGTGTTTGTAAAGAAGTGATACAGCCAAACTGTCACCAGCCAAGCCCATGATTGAGTTTGGCGTGCAGGAGGCCCAAGAGGCGGAGTTTTTGTTGGCCATTCCCACCCGGCGTTAGAAGTCCGCTCAGCACGGGACACGGTCGCGTGCATGCAGAGCTGGAGGAAAGGTAAATCAACAGCCAGGCAGCCAGGCAATTTCCGGAGTAAGGTCGTAAGTTGATAACCCGACCCTGACTCGCAATCGAGGTCTTCAGAGTTCAGACAGGGATCCCGATCCTGCCGGCTAAGGTCCTCGAGGTCCAAGGGCCAAGGCTGCAACGAGTTTCCGGGCCAAACGCGCAAAGGCAAACTAACTATGGAGCCAGCAGCTCCATCTCATTTCAAGCCCTGTTTTCAGATTGGGCCCGATTGATTGGGAAGCTTACGGCCCGCAATGGAGCCCTCGCCCAATGTTCACTATGTGGACCAAGCTACTGACCGTCTCATACAGAATACCTAATCTTCTCCAATGTTTGGGCTTTTCTGCTTGAAGAATACCCCTTTATGTCTTGGACCTGATGCCCCATGGCCGATTATTGTGACTCTGGTATTAGTAATAGGCATGCAGGTGGCGTTGACCAGTGCTTGTCGAAGGAAAGGCTGGAGGAAGCAGGTCCAATTTCAAGCACCTGGAAAAAGCAATATGGATGCCAACAAATTACCTATTGCGCTGTTTGCAGACTGCACGGGCTGACCCTGCAGGAGGCAGCCTGAACCGGATTGATGTGCTGTGACTGCAACAACAAACTGGGCTATGACTTTTCTTTTCGTCGGGTCGGCCGGATTATATCTGCAATCAGCATCCCGTTGTCATTCTCCATATCTCCGCCCTCAGCCCATCGTCAATCCAATCTGGGCTGGCCGTGCCAGCACCGCTTCCGACATGGCCACCATAACCACCGACGTCGACTTCACCCAGAACCGGCAGGCAGAGGTACACGTCGTCGGATGGGTCTTTACGGGGATTGCGATCGCAACGGTGGGCTTGAAGGTCACGGCGCGGCATCTGGTGCACCGGCTTGGGTGGGATGACTTCTTCATCTTCTTTTCGCTGGTGTGTTTGCCCTGCCTATCTACCAATGTTCCATCCACCCCATGACGGCAACGCTGACAGTACCAACCAGGCCCTCAGCATCATCGCCGCAGCGCTGGTCTCGTACTCGGTAACCCTCGGACTCGGCCGCCATACCGCCGCGGTGATCGCGGAGCACGGGATCGAGAGGGTCAGCTTGACGTCCAGGTGGCAGATACTAGGGTACCCGTTTAACATCGGTTCGTCTCCTCTCATCCATGTACCGCCATCCCCATGGACTAGGCACTAAAAGCAGTGGTCACGGCCAGGCTCCTTCTCCTTCCCCAACATCTCCATCGCAATCCTGATAAACAACCTGCTGGACCCAAACCCCCTGCGCTCGCGCCTCCTCCTCGGCATGTCCATCATGCAAGTCGTCTTCGCCATGGTCTCCATCTTCCTCATCTTCCTGCAATGCAGACCCACATCCGCACTATGGGACCACACGATCGACGCAACCTGCTGGGACGAGCGCATCTTCTACGACTTCAGCTACTGGGTCAGCGCGTACACGACCATGACGGACATCATCCTAGCGATCGTGCCGATCCGCGTGTTCTGGAAGCTGAAGATGCGCCGGTCCACCAAGGTCGGCGTGTGCGTTATGATGGGGCTCACGCTGCTCAGTGCGATTGTCACGATTGTCAAAGCGACGTATTTGCCGCTGTTTACGGATCGGCTGGACCCGTGTATGTCTCCTGTCCCCGGCTTGTCACTTCTCCGAGAAGATATAGATGGCGTGGCTAATGTAATGTCCGCAGTGTACAACGTCACCCCCCTCGTCATCTGGGGCCTGATCGAGCAGAACGTCGTGATCGTGGCCGCGTGCATCCCGACCCTCCGCCCGTTCTTCAAACGGGCGTTTGAGTCCCGCGCCTCCTCGCATCGATCCAGATCGAAGTCCTCCTCCTTCGGGTCCGGGTTCAAGCTGTCCTCGACGCCGCGGGCGAAGCGGTATCTCACGGACACGGAACTGCTGCAGGAGACGCAGGTCGAGACGGTTACGCATCGCGATGCCGGATTGGTGGTCGGGCTGGGCTTTGATGTCGAGGCGGGCAGTCAGCGCAGCCATTCGTCGCAGCTGGGGATCTGGCAGACGAGGGAGGTGATTGTGGAGAGTGATGAGGAGGAGGAGGGCAAGCGGGCCAGGGAGATGAAGAGCGTTGTGGCGCCGAATTTGAGATGATTCTCTTTCCTCTTCTTTTTCTTTCGGGTCCGTGTACTATACCTACTAAATCATGACTGGATGACTATATGTTTACTTTGATGGCCTCGGGGCTTCTCCTACCGAGATCCCCGCACTCTTTCCCATGGATTTAAACGTCACTCCCTCATTTTTATCATGCATCCTGCAACCTCGCAATGGCAGACTCAGAGCAGGTTAATGTCCTTCTCTACGGCCTCGGAGCGTACGTGCCTTCCCGTATCATATTGACCCTGCTGGCTAACTCCTGCAGCATCGGCTCCTTCTACGCCTTCATCCTGCACCGCTGCGACCGCGTCAAATTGACCGTCGTCGCGCGCTCGAACTATGACGCCGTCGTTAAAAATGTACCTCTCTTCTACTCCACCGCATTACAGAGAATCCCCATTAATGAAAGCCAGGGCATCACAATCGACAGCAAGAACCACGGAAAGCATACATTCCGTCCGGACCGCGGTGCGTCATCCCTCCTCCATCTATAGCACTACATCCATGCATACATCAACGGCGATAGTCGATGCGCTCCAGCACCCCCAGAAAGCACGCGCAAACACTGACGTGCGTGCAGTACTCCGCACCCCCTCCGAATCCTCCTCGCACTACGACTACATCGTCTGCGCGCACAAAGCCATCGACCCCCACGGCGCCATCCTCCCGCTCGACCCAGCGATCAGCGAGAAAAGCACGATCGTGATCCTGCAGAACGGCGTCGGCAACGAGGACCCGTTTCGGGAGAGGTGGGCCGGCGTCACCATTATTTCGGGCGTTGTATGTCCATGTCCATGTCCATGTCCCCCCGGCCGCATGAAGCCCTCCATCCGTGATCCAATCTATATTCTCTATGTCTAGATGCGGGGACTAATGCCAGCAACGCACGCAGGTCTGGGTCGGCGCCTCCCAGCCGTCTCCGGGGGTAGTAGTCCACACGGGCTCCGAGCACACAGAGCTCGGGCTGTTCGCGAACGGCACGCTCGATCGCGCGCTGGAGGAATCGCGCCTGAACGCGTTCGCGTCCCTTTTAACAGCTGGCGGGACACATCTCTCTGTATTTGAGGATATCCAGCCGCGGCGCTGGGAAAAGGTCATTTGGAACGTCGCGTGGAATGCCATCACAACGCTCACAGACCAGGACGTGAATTGCTGGCTGGCGTCGTCGCCCGATGCGATCCCCTACACGCGCCGGCTGATGGGTGAGGTTATTGCCGTTGCGAGGGCTTGCGGTGTGCATGTGAAGGATGGACTGGCGGATGGTCTTATTGCCAAGGCACGGGGGCTGGGCGAGCTCAGGACGAGCATGCAGGCGGATCGGGAGGCGGGGAGGGAGATGGAGATTGAGGTTATTCTGGGCGTGCCGGTGAAGAGGGGACGGGAATTGGGGGTTGATACGCCGTGTCTGGAGGGGCTTTATGTGTTGCTTAGGGCTGTGAATGGGCGGATACAGCGGGCTGAGGGGGGGAAGTAGGGCTTCTTACCTAGTAGGCTTCGCATACTTCCGTGGTGCAATCCAGCATTAACCTACCATAGGATGGTAGGTACTTAGTGGAAGCCTTTAGTAGCGGTGTCCTTAGGAGATGGATCCATGGTTGATACCAACGGCATGCAAATAGGGTATGTTGCAGAACGATGCCCCCGCCCCTGTATACCGCAAAGCCCCAAAAGAGGCACGAATTCGTTGCTGTTTTCATCGGCTTCTTCTTTAGAAACAGTGCGGCCAGATATGTCGGCTCGAGCTGGCAGGAGACCCTTTAACAGTCAATCCGGGGGTCTAGACAGGCGTTTCACAGCAGCCCTGCTGACTGGGTAATATAGGATTATGTCTACCATGTCAAACATCCAGGGGTGGACCTCTATTTCAACCCTCTAGCCCAGGGAGGTTACAGTTGCACTCATCAACATTGAAGCATTATACTGGTTCTGTATTGCAAACTGTAATATAAGGAGGAAACGCGCCCGCGTTGGCGTCAACAGTCCGGACCCACTCACCCCTCATTCTTACGGGAATTTTGGAGCTTTTTTTGAGGATGACAAGTTGAGACGATTATGGATCGTAAAGAAAACCATACAATTGGGCATCAGTGCCTCCTTCCTCCTCGGGCTCCTGTAGACGGCGCTACTTGAAGGAGCTGAGTCGGGTGAGTTAGGTGATTTATATCTATTATCATCCGCGTACCTATTGATCCGAGAAGCGCATGGGATGTTGGAGATATGGTGTTGATTCTGGGGCAAGAGCCACGACGACTGGATCGGTACTTGCCCACGGCTGAGCAGCGGACGTTCACCACGCAGCTCTACTAGGATCCGCGGTCTGCAACAATCATCCGATAGGCGATTTGCATCTGTTGAGAGGTCCGTGCAATCTACACGGTCTGTGTTAGTGGGTATCGCGAGGATTGATAGAAACTTGAAACATACATTCTCCGGCTTGAACGGCTCGAAATGATTACCCCGAGTCAGCAGGACCTCGATCTCGCGATTGAGCAACAGCCCCCACGCATGGTTATTCTGGTCTCGCGCAGCCCTATCCTCGAGGAATGGATAGGCGGTGCCACAGAGACCCGTGGTGTCGAGGACATCTTCGCATTGGACCATCACGTATGGGATCGACTGCGTCAACGTCCAGGTTGGCGTGCGTGCATCGGCCCCAACGGCGTCGACCTCCACGAGCGCGTACTCGGCAAGCAAACGGGCATGGCTCTCGAATTGCGAGGCCAGGATCGACCGGGCGGTCTGGCTGTTCCTCCGGCTTGCTGATCCTGCATCGGGCAGCCTCGAAGCGTTGGAGTTGGAATTCGAGCTGGAGGTAAGCAGATAGTCGATGACGCGCGATGGGAGGGGGTCGTGGTCTACGGGGCAGGGTGCATCGACCAGGATCACGCCGCGCACTCGAGGTCCTTGGCCCGCGGACAGCAGCTGCCGGGCCACTTCGTGAGCCAGTACCCCGCCGAATGACCAGCCTGGATATGGGATTACGCAGTCAGTAAGTCTGTTCTAGGAGCCCTGGAGGGCGTGAGCGCCAAGGGCAGTGGAGTAGGGTGTCCATACCTCCCAGCACTACTTCCCCTCTCTGTGTTTGTGATACTATTGATGCAGCGTAATGCGTCGCCATCTCGACCAGGCTGCGAGCCCAGTGCGGGCCTGCCGCCCAAGTTGGATTCGCAATGCCATACACGGTGCAATTGGCGGCGCCGAGGTTTCCGAGCCCTTTGTATACGCCCACTGTCCCGGCCCCGTCATGGAACAGGAACAGCGGGATGCGATCCGCTGAACCTCGGGATAGAATGTCTATGTACACAGGTGGGAGAGACCTGGGCTCTGACGCCGGCGTCATGTTGCCGGGACTGGACCCGGTTGTTAGGGTTGTTGTTGTTGGCGGCGGCGACAACGGTCGCATTGGAGAGGGTTGAGTATGGAGCTGGCGCTCCAGGTCTGACAGCCGCCAGTTCGAATTGATTGTTTCCGGTGGAATGCCATGTCCCAGTCTGTGTGCAAGGGCTTCGGACAACTCGATTGAGAGCAGAGAATCGACACCGAGAGAGTGGATCGGGGTATCTGGAGTTATGTCACGTTCTGGTACGCCGGTGATTGCATGGAGGGTGGAAGTCAGCACATCGAGGAGTGAGGGTTGAGGAGACGACTGGACTGGCGGGCCAGGGATCGGCTGTCTACCCGTTTCCTCTGCGTCACAATTGAAGGATGCTTGGGGCGGATCTTGCACATTTGAGCTACCTGCCAGATGCACAGCACGCTGCAAATCTCGGACAGTTTGGGCACCAATTACCCGCGCCGTCTCGACCTTTGCGTGTGGGAGGACCTGGGATATTTGCTCACTCAGCTCCAGTCTCATCAGCGAGTCGATGCCCAGTTCCGAAAGCGACGAGCCGGGTGTGAGAGCTGGTAAGGGTATTTCGCAAATCTGGGCTACAGCCTGCAGAAGGGTGTAGTCCACATCCGTATGCCTTGCATGCACAGGACATGTCCCACCCGCTCTGGACTCAGCGTTGGCACGCGGAGAACCAGCTGCAACCCGCTCCAGGTGCCGTCGGAAAGATACGAGGTTCAGTTTCTGGAAACTCATCCCTTCCACTGCTGCCACTACTTGACCCTCGCTGTTCATGGCATATGCCTCCCCGACCAGCACCCCTGCGCCGGACGGAAGAAGACTGCAGTAGATACTGCATTGCTGATGGGTCCCAATTTGCTCAGTGAGCATCCGACAGGCTGCGACCTTGCTACATATATAGGCTTCGCTCGGTTCAGCCTGGATGTTTGCGACAAACCCGGCTGCATGCAAGAGTGTATCGACAAAGACAGGCGAGGCGCCTCTCTGCATGCGTACGGGCTCGACAGGAGACGAAAAGGTGCCGTGTGCTTCTAGACTGCCTTCCACGACAGTAAGCTCTTGCAAGGTCTGGTAAATGTCCGAGTAGGCGACAACGCGCGGGAAGATGACGTTGTAAATCATTCGCGTCTGGAAATGGTTCTTTTGGTTGCGTTGTGCATGGAGATGACTGAGTTGGCGTTGCACGTAGGCCGCCTTCAGATTCAAATACCCCTGCGTCGCTGCGTGGGGTTCGTATGCAACTCGCCCGGAGCAATGGGACACCGCACTGTCGTCTCGGGCTGTGTCCATGGAGTGGAAGCTGAAATTCCGGGCATCGATCGGGGTGCTAGGATCTTGCGGGAGACCTTGGGGAGAACCAGGGCTCTCTAGCATCAATTGGATCACTCTTCCAGGGTCCGTGTCAGTATGCAAGAGAGGCCGCGAGAATACCATTTCCTGGACCACGGGCAAATACTCCCGCGGTCCGCGTGCGAGAGGGTCAACCGTGCTGGCTTCAATAAGCATCCCATGATAGACGGACGCCGGGCACAATGCATGGCCTCCAACCATATGTCCGGTTATGTACCTTGCCACCGCGGCAACACTGATCTTTAGGCGCAAGACGGACGGATCTTCGCGACTTGGCAGGACATCTTCGAGCAGATGGAATGCCAGTGGGGGGTCGCTAGGCGGCGGAGGGTGTCCATCCAAGTCAGCCCCAGACCGCTCCCTATATGGGATATATATGGCGCTTTGCTGGAACGGATAATAGGGCAAATCAATGAGCTTTGCATTGGTGCCGGCAAATACCTGGCGCCAGTCGATGTCGCGGTATCGCACGGCCAAAGCGTTGAGAGAACTACACATGGTGACCCAGGGATCCTGGCTCCTTCGCAGCGATGGCAGAAAGAGAGTGTCCAGCCCGGAACCTGAAAACGCACTCTTCAGCAGGGGAAGCGTGAGGGGCGAAGGTCCGATTTCAATGAAGCTCGGGCGACGGAGATCAGCATCCTGCGAGATGGACAACAGCAGGGCCTCAAACTGAACCATGCCGCGGGTCTGGTTGACAAGATATTCCGGGGTTAGATCGCGAAGCTGCAGCTCTCGTCCAAGATAGGAAGAGCCCATGCGGAACCTGGCTGGACGGAACAGTAGATTGCCGCAGAACTGTTGCAACGGCTCCAGCATCGGGTCCAGGGCTGCGGAGTGGAAGCCCATGGGGACATCCAGGCGCTTGCAGCGACGGCCGTCGCGTTGGAGCCTTGCGGCCAGCCATTCGAGGTCGTTTATACCCCCTGAAAGAACCAGCTCCGTTGCACCGTTGAGGCAGGATATCTCCCACGAGGCGTGCACGCCTTCCGGGGGGCTTGGGAGGGCGTGGTATTCAGCGACGGAGAGGTTGCATGCGAGCATCCCCGTGCGTCCCATCTCGCACTTTTGGGCCATCAATTGAGCGCGGAACGCCACGAGCGAGAGTGCGTCACGCAATGAAAGAGCACCACTGACGGCCAACGCAGCATACTCGCCCAGACTAACAGAATGAGCCCAGCTCGAGGGAGACAGGAAGGGCGGACTTACCTGTGCCCAAACACAAAGTCTGGCCGAACGTTGAAGGAGAGCCACAGGCAAGCCAGGCCGTACTCGACAACAAAACACGAGAGCTGGGTTAAGATCAGCGCGTCTTTCGCACTGACACCTCCAGAGGCGTAGGAGTCCTGCAAGTATGGCGTCACTCTCCACGGACCGAGAGACTCGAGGATCGCGTCACACTCTTCCACCGCTCGCTTGAAGACCGGTGCGGTTGAGAGAAGAGCCTTGCCCATGCCTGGATAGGACCCGCCTTGCCCGGAGAAGACGAAGACCACCGGCCGTTGCTCTGCCGGAGACGTATCGGTCGCGATGCTCCCACGTTCCAGGTTCCTCAGAAGGTCCTCTGCGCTCTGGCTTACCAGAGCGATTCGATGACTGTACGCCTGTCGTCTGGCAGTGGCTGTGTAGCAGAGATGTCCCAGTTCCACGGCTGGCGTACTTTGAAGCATTCGAATCAAGTCAAGCCGGTACCGCTCGAGGGCGTCGGGGGTCTTGGCTGAGATGCAAAAGTTGTATGCTGCTCGTCCTGTACCGCACTCGCGGCCTTCCACTTCCAACGGTGGTTCCTGGATGATCAGCGCGCCATTCGACCCGGCTGCGCCAAAGTTGTTGAGTAGGGCTCTTCGGGGGCGTCCTGCCGTAGACAGCCACGGCAACTCCTCTGTTGCGACACGGAGATTCCTGCATTGAGACGCAGATAGAACGGGACTCATTGCGCCAATCCCGACCTGCGCGGTAATCTTGCATTTGGACATCATGAGCAAGATCTTTGCCAGGCCCGCCGCACCTGATGCCGCTTCAGCGTGGCCGATATGGGCCTTGATCGAGCCAAGGTGAACTGTCTCCTGTTGCCTCGAGCTCTGGCGCCCGCCAAACACCGACGCGATGCTGGATATCTCCGTCGCATCGCCAGCCTAGAACTAACATTCAGCATTCGTCTCCCATGCCAGGGGGCAGGCGCTGCGACAAACCTGGGTTCCGGTCCCGTGAGCCTCAACAAAGGTGATCGACCCCGGCCGATATCCGGTTCTGGCAAGCAATCGCCTGAACAGCTTGGCCTGGGTCGGACCTTCCGGGTGGGTGATTGACCTGGCAGTGCCGGACTGGTTGACCTCGACTGCCTTGATTACGCCGTAGATGCGGTCGTCTTCATCGAGGGCGTCTTGCAGCCGCTTGATGACGAAGATCCCACATCCCTCAGCACGGCTGTAGCCATCGGCACCGGCGTCAAAGGCTTTGCACTGCCCTTGCTCACTCAGGAAATGAGCACGTGCGAGCCCGAGGAACATCTGGCTGTCTGTTAGATTCCGTTTACCGAGGGGGTGGCAAGGGGAGAGGCATGGAATGCATACGTCGGGGCTTGTAATAGCGTTCACACCTCCTGTGATTGCCGTCGCGCAGTCACCGTTCTGTAAAGCGCGGCAGGCCTGATGGATGGCCACTAGAGACGAAGAGCATGCCGTGTCGACCACCATCGACGGTCCACTTAGCCCAAAGGCATAGGAGAGCTTCCCGCTCAGGAACGCACGGAGGGTACCTGACGAGAGGGGGATTGTCAGCGGGTCGATGTTTTAGATTGGTTTGCCTGTGGGCTTCTGAGAGATCCATACCAGGCGAGTAGTAGACGTCTATATCGTCGGCCAGATTCTGGACGTAGTCGTCAGTGGCGGCGCCGATGTAGCAGCCGATGGCGTCTCTCTGGAAGCACGGCGTTGTGTCAGGGACATATCCCGCGTCATCAAGGGCGAGTTTCGTTCCCTGCAGCAAGAGCTTCTGCTGCGGATCCATCGACTTTGCTTCGCGGGGGGAGATATTGAAGAAGCCATGGTCGAAGAGGAAGGGGTTATCGAGGAAGTTGCCTGTGCGGGTGGACATGGACCGTTTGGATCGACTGTCAGAGTAGTCGCTCACCTTGAAGCGAGTCTCGGGGATCTGCAAGGCACGTTACGAGTCATCTATCGGGACAATCTGGCAGATAACACTCTATAGGGAGGGTACCTACCTCTTGCAAAGCACTCAGTCCGTTCTCCAACGTATGCCAGAGCTGTTCTTTGGTAGCCCCCAATGGGAAATTCACCGACATCCCTACAATCGCAAAGCCATCACTATCTGAAGGTGAGAGTTCTTCCTTGCCGCCGTCGACAATTCTAGGCGACTCTGAATCACTATCACCACCAGAGCACCTGGATGCATGCTTCAAAAACGAGTATGATCCAGGGCCAATGGCCATCATTGTTATATCTCCGGTACTACCAGAGCTGGATTTCTCTATATTCGCCCAGGCAGTTGCCCAGTTGGAAGCGTCGACCAGAATACCGCGCACAATATACTCAAGCAGCGAAGTGGCTAGCTGAGTCTGGTTGGTCAATAGCTGTCCATCTGTACCAGACCATAAGGGAGTCACTATGTCCGATAGTTCGGGAAATGCAATGGCTCGTTGTTTGGCATCTTGGAGAACGGCGTCCATGGCAGGCCGTTCCCGGCTGCCGCCGTGGTAAAGCGCAAAGATTTCCAGGGGCTCACACACAGCCCCAGACGGGATATACCCGTTGCGTAGCCGTTGCAAGAGTCGGCCGTTCCCAGTAATACTTAGCAATGTACGGCCAGAAACCCAGGAGAAGGAGCCCGAGGGGGCGGCAGCGCAGAACCCGCAGCGAGGGCGTTGGCGAGGGCAGAGGCCAGCACAGCGCCAGGCGGAGCGGGGGGAGGCGAGCTAGGGGGCGCGGGGGCTGCAGTTAAACAACAAGGTGGCCACTGCAAGATCGAAAGTTAGTATATTCAGCGGAGCGCCGGCGGACCGCCACCGGTCAGCAGCTGTTAAAGCAGGAAGGACTTACTAAATTATCACCCATGACCTTACTGTATATTTTAAAGGCGCCCATTGGGCGCAAGTTGTACTAGTTGTCGCCGTTGTCGCCGCCCAAAAACTGATTAAAATTAAAGTTCTTGAAACCAACGGGGGACTGGCGCAAAAAGGAGATCGGGGATGCCAAGGGCTTTTAAAGTTAGCAAAAACACCACACCGGAGGGGTTCCACAACTATACCGCAGTGGGAGTATAAAGGGTAAAGGTAGGGGCATTTTAAATTGCTGCAGTTGTAGCTAGGCGCTTTTTTTTTACTTACTAGGAAGCCAGGGCAGCGCCCGAAAGGGCTTTTTTTTTAACTATAATAAAAAAAGGGTGACTTTTTATCTAGCAAAAAGTTTAATAAGCTTAGGAGTTTATAAAACTATAAACTATGCTATAATTTATGCTTTTATACCAGGCATTATTAAAGCGCCGCCTTTCCCCTTTTGGTTATAAATAAATATTGTATTTTATTTAAAGTGCTATAAACAATAAGAATAAGACACCAAATTTAATGCGTTAAATAACACTTTAATAGAGTTAAGAATAACAATAATAAAGCTGTGTTTGGTATTAATATTAACAATAATAGTGGCGTTTTATTATTATCTTTTTTTAGTTTAGCGGCGGGTCGCGGACAACCCTTTAATTAGGGGAGGAAGGAATTGTCAGGGCTAATGTTTTTTTATTTAATGTTACTAGAGCTGACCCACCGTTGGTCCGGAGTTAGCGCCTTAGGTGACCTGAGCTTTGGCCTCAGGCCGCCAAGGCTTGGCATACCTTACCACCACGTCGGGCTATATAACTTAACTGGGTTGTTGGCGTTCGGGGTCTTGGCCACTAGTTAGGCAAGGCTGGGGTAGGCCCTGAGTATAGGCCAGAGTAGGGACCCGTGCGCAGAGTATTTAAACCTATATTTACTTCCTAGTTAGGAATAGCTTGAGCGTAGCTTGGAGGTTTATAAAGGTGGCCTCAAGGCCAGCCTTCTTCAAGATCTCCAAGCAACTCTTTCAGTGTCATCCAGCGGGGTTCAGAATACTCCATTCTCATTGGTCAGATTCCTTTGTCAATATCTTCATCGTCAGTAGAGATCTTCGAGACTTGTCGGTCTTACAGTTAGAGTTGCTTCCTAGAGACTCAATGTCAGCCAGTCCAACGCTGCGGATGCGCTGCTTACACTCTCGAACAGGCTCAAGATCCGTTGCATTTCTACTTCCTCGAGCCCGACCACTGCCAGAGACCAGGGATAGAGTTGCCACTCATGACTTTCAAGCTGCGCACTCAACTGGCCTGCCCGATACCCAATCCAAAACGCCAGGCGCACAGCCTCTTTGGCCCATGATATGAACGCGGTGACATCTCGACTACACGCTACAACCACGGCCGGGAGCATCCCCGAGCAGAGCCCGGCCAGTTCTGACCTAGTCTCGTCCCGCCCCGCCTGCTCGCTATGCAAGTATTGGATCAATTGGTGAGTGCAGAGAACGACGCCCTGGATAACAGGGTTCTTGTGGTACTGCTCGGGAACGGAAAGCAGATCGAACGGCGTCTGGATTCCGTCAAGGACTGCCCAGGAGGGGACGGGACCTAGACTTCTCAGGTGCAGCAGCTCGCTCAGAAAGGCAGCATGGCAGGATGAGAGCAGTAGAGATACTGTATCAGAGGCGGTAGCAGCCCTCTTGGAACTCGACGCAACGAACCGCGAGAAGAGCGACCGGCTGCCCTGGCCACCGAAGAATGTAATGTGCCGCATTTTCTCATGTACGGCGATATCTAGAATGATATTGTGACGAAAAGGCCGAACTTCCCAAGAGCGCAGAAACGTATATCAAGGAGCGACGCGAGTAGGTATGAGGCCGACCAGGCTTTGAACTTGCAGTGCAGGGCAATAGCAGGCTCTCGCTAACTACAGGCGCCGGCCCCTCTATCATGTGGCGATGACGAGTATGCAATACGCCCCATGTTTGCACCTCCGTACCAAGCACGAAGTGGGGGAAATGCCAATGCTTGCCCAAGGATACGGTATGGACTAGCCCGGTCCACTGCGCCATCCCAAGCCAGTAGAGCGCCGCTTGTGTATAAGTAGATCTCATTAGAGCCGGACCATGGACCCAGTTTGGCCAGTTTATCGTGCGCTCGCTCGCGACTCGAACCATCCATGTCTCCGCCGCCCAAAGCCATTATCCTGGATCTCTGGGACATACTTCTCTCCCGGCTCTCCCCCACCAGCGCCCGGATCCCCCGCGGGGTACTGAAGGACGTCTTCTCCTCCGATATATGCTACAGCTACGAGTGCGGCAAGTTGACGGATGTCGAGTTCTGCCAACAGGTTGCCGTACGACACTCTCTAGATGGGGCTGACGTGGTGGATATCCTGCAGCAAACCAGGAAGATAGCTATCCAAGACGAGAGCCTCATCCAGCGCCTGCGCACCCTGAAGAACCAATATGGCAAGGATGTGCATTGGTACGCAATGCTCAACATTGCCGGTCCAAACTACGCCGTTATCCGGGATGCTATTGCGGAGTGGGCAATCTTCGACCGCGTCTTCACGTCCAGTGACATAGGTATGCGCAAACCTGACCTGTGTTTCTACAGACATGTACTCCACGAGCTTGGACAGCATCCAGGGTATGTGGTTTTCGTCGAGTCTGACCCCGACAACGTTCTCTCTGCTCGATCTGTCGGCGGCCGCGTGGTTCCATACGAAGATGCCTCTGGCCTTGCACGATCTCTACATAATCTGCTGGGAGACACTGTCAAGCGAGGGCACGAGTTTCTCCGTGCCAACGCAGGGCGACTGGACAGCATTACAAATACCGGCGTCACTATCAGGGACAACTTCACGCAGCTTTTAATCTTGGAAGTCACTGGAGACCGGTATAGTCTCCCCAGCCAGGCACATGAGACTCTGTAAGCTGATGATCTCCTCCACACCGCAGTGATCTGATCTACCTGGAAGAGCACCCGCGGACATGGAACTTCTTCATAGGTATGCCTGAACAGTATCTGCGACCTCGCGTCACGACTCCGTGACTAACCCATGCCTACCCTAGGCCAGTCCCTACTCACCACAACCGCATACCCGGACGACTTTGACACCACATGCGCGGCATTGACCGTTCTGAAGCCCGACCGGCAAACAGCGTGTTCAGTCCTCGACGAACTGGCCAGCCATGTCAACGACGACGGTATCATTCTGGTACGAGTGCCCCCATCCCACCGGTTTCCCCAGCCCTAGCGAAGGCGTTTGAAGGCTCCAATGCGAGTCGAACCGGCTAACCCAGACACCCCGGCCAAAAGACATATTTCGACCGCAGCCGCCCGCGAATCGACCCAGTCGTCTGCGTCAACGTCCTGCGAGCGTTCTACGAGCACGGCCGCGGCCACGAGCTGCAACCATCCCTGCACTGGGTCCACGAAGTGCTCAAAACCCGCGCCTATGTGGACGGCACCCGATACTACCCGACCGCGGAGGCCTTTCTATACTTCGTGGCGCGTTTGCTGCAATGCACGCAGGAGGCGCTCCTGCAGCGGGAATTCTCCGATCTGCTGCGCCAGCGGGTTAAGGAGCGCATCGGGAAGCCCGGCGACGCGCTCTGCCTTGCGATGCGCCTGCTCGCGTGCCAGTATGTTGGAGTTCCAGCGGCGGACGCGGAGCGGGATGTGGCTTCTCTTCGCGCGATGCAGGATGCAGATGGCGGCTGGGAACCTGGGTGCGTGTATCGGTATGGAAAGACGGATATCAGGATTGGGAGCCGGGGGCTGGCTACGGCGTTGGCTGTCAAGGCGCTGTCGCAGGCAGAGGATGCTGGGAGGGCTGGACGGGGCGGAGGCGAAGTCAACCGGGAGAGTTTGACCAGTCTGGTTGGTATCCCGTCGGGGCTGAAGACGCTTTACTGGGGGCTTCTGGGATGGGTGCATTCGTATCCCAGATGGGCTAAGACTTCGCCTTGACCACCCGGAGCGTTGGCGAAGAGTGCTTGCGTCTAGGCATGAGGGTTTAGATAGGTACCTAGCTAGGTCAGTGGGTCTGAAACCGGCAGGAAAGGATCAGCCTGCATCCAAGGGGAGGACTAGATCAATCGGGAATAACCAATCAAACCGTTCCTCTCTCATATTGCGGTGTAGTCAGTTGCCCGTCTACCGGGCCCATTGCAGGGATGGGGATGGCACTGATGGCGTGTTCACAATACACATACACGTAAGTCTTTCCGCCCACAGCTCCACAGCACTCAGGGAGTAGCACTCTCAGTTTACTATGGTACTAGTAGTCTGGAATGCAGCAAAAGACTCCACTACACGGGGGAAACATCCAGGCGTTAAAAGGGTTACATTATTATCCATCTGTACTTTTATTAATCTCGGGGCTTTCTCGGGTATACTGGGCCTGTCCAGTGGGGTCCGTGACAAAACAGGCTTGATAGACAAGGAATGATAGCTAGTAGTGCCCTGCATATTTCCAGAGCCACCCTGGGACTGCTCCGGAGTACTAGGGTACCTAGGTAGGTAGATCATATTTGATTCTCGCGCCCAGCTCCGTACTCAGCACGGAGTAGCCCCCATACCATGCATTCGAGTATTTTAGTGACTTCATAGGTGAGGACAGCACGCCCTATGTCCCCAATAACAGAGCCCGACATAGAGCACAGAGCACAACCATTGGCTATAAAAGAAACAGCAGTGCACTACGTACTCAAGCAGGCACTCACAGTCAAGAACCGAAGCGAAACCCACAAACAGCCATCCATGAGTCCGTCGGAAGCCGACAAGGCGCCCTTTCGAGGGACAAGGACCCTGTCTCGGTTGCTCGACGCCCTGGAGACCCAGCTCCACCACCTGTGCACGCGATCGCGGCTGTTCACCCGCAAGAACTGGCAGTACTGCTGCCTCCTCAGCGGCCAGCTCTCCTTCCTCTGCGCCTTCCTGGTGCTCGTCGCCGCGGACTTCCTCCCGCCAATGAAGCCGACCTGGTCCGCCGAGCGCGTCCACGAGCACTACTTCTCGCACAAGGAGGGCGTCCGCGCCAGCGTGCCCCTCCTCCTCCTCTCCGGCGGCCTGTACCTGCCCTTCGCCGCGCTGCTCTCCAAGCACCTGCGCCAGATCCCTGGCATCGACCCGATCCTGCCGGAGCTGCAGCTCGCGGCGGGCGCGGCGGGCATTTTCTCCATCATGGTGCCCGCGAGCTTCCTCGGTCTGATCACCTTCCGCGACTACGGGCCCGAGTTGACCCTGTTGATCAGCGACCAGTTCTGGCTGAACTTCTTCCTCCCCTGGCCTACGTTCCTGATCCAGGCGTGGACGGTCGCGTGGGCCAGCTTCGCGGATGAGAGTGAGCAGCCCGTGTTTTCCAAGACCGTGGGGCTGATCAACTTTGTCGTGCCGTTCTTCTACCTGTCGTTGACTGGGGTGCATGTGCAGCATGATGGGCCGTATGCTTGGAGCGGGGCGTTGACCTTTTGGGTCGCCGCTGTGGCCTTTGGCGTACAGATTGGGGCAGACACGAACTGTCTTTTTCGGAGGATTAGGGCCATGCCTGATGACGAATGAGCGTTTGCTAGTTTAGGGATGAGCAAGTACAGGCCCGGGGGCTATGTACCTAGGTAGGTATATGCATGTGCCTGTGGGCACCTGCACCTGGGTCCCCTAGGCCAACCAGGACGTGCCTAGGTTGGAGAATGGAGCGCGTATTTATATTACCTTTAGCCTCTTCATCGAGACACTTGCGACTGTATTACAGCTAGTGCTGTCTAAAAATGTAAGAGACAGCCTCATCTTCAGCTGCACCTAGCCGTCGACTCCGCCTCAGCCGCTGCAGGCGAGAGAATGTTGATACGTCTACATGTACATATAATCCATAGATGGCGGACCAAGGCACAGTCTAGGGGACAATGCAAAACCATCAAAAGTACAGTTTGATATCGACTTCTTCGACTGCCCCGCGAGCATCCATATCCATAGAGCCGTCCATGTAACCCACCTACGCCTCATCACTGGGCTTCCAAGCTGCCAGGAGCAGCGCTATCACAATTGAGGAGCCGACTACCGTCCAACCACTGCGGGACACCTGCGGGTTGGTGAGCATCCGCCCCGAATCCCAGACGAGGTGGCGGATGCCATTGAAGCTATGAAACACAAACGGGAGGGCGACCCCAAACTTCACTGCGAACTGAGCCACTGGGGGAAGACCGCTGAAAGCCGCCACCAACGACTGAGACCCGATATCCCATCCGGTAACGGGCGAGAGGAGATAGGCTGTCGCATAGAGATATAGTCCCCCGGAGAGCGCCAGGCCAGTGATCCGAGTTGTGACGCTGACGATCCACGTAATCTGCGGCCGGTAGATGGACAGGTGAGGGGAGACAGGACGCCTCAGGCGTTGCTGTGCAAGGAGGTTCGTCGGGTCGGTGCGAGGTTTCTTGAGGCTCGATGAATGTCTGAAGCTGGGACTGTAGTCGATAGGGAGGTCATTAGCGATGGATTACCAAGGTAGGCTGGTCGCTTACCCTCTTGGCCAGGCGAGCCTACTACCGGTAGTAGGTTGCACGAAGCGAGCGGTGGACAGGGTCGCCAAATCGGACAGGGGCGTCCACAGCGAGCGACAACGCGCACCGCCCCCATGAATAGGGCGGATTCCGATGGAAAACATGATGGACGTGATGGGTGACAAATGGAGGAGGGAGGAGGGAGTAGTCTATGGAGGAGGGAGAAGGGAGAAAGGAGAAAGCTGGCGGTCGGCGGGTGGCCCCTGCCCCTTGGCGGCTGGCGGTTTTATTGCCCGGCCACAGCTTTGGACAGGACACCGACTGGACACTCTCCTGTCAAACAGAGCTCTTTCCGTTTCGGGAGCTTTTTCCCGTTGTGGAGCTCCTTCCTATCGTGTCTAGAGAGTACGACCTACTCCGTAAGGCTACAGGCTGAGGCATTACCTAAGGGGTATTCGTATACTGCCGACACATTTAGTGTCGGAATGAGTTTTAGTGCCTCACGTGCCCGTGTAATTAAGCTGTTCTAGTTTGTATAGTAAATAATATATAAACGCGAACAAAGGCCTTTAGGGCGCACTTGCTTAAAAATTACTAAGTCCGCGCTAAGGTACGGGTACATTAATTTATATAAGCTCTCCCACACAAATTAATGTACCCGTACCTTATTGGCAAATTTAATAATAAAAACCTTTAAAAACTTATTTTTAAAGTTATTTTAAGGCGCAGTAAACGCGTTTTTTAACTATAAATTAATGTTAAAGGCCACCAACGCGCTGGTACCTGGTTTTTTATAAAGAATGGCATATAAATTAAAGTACCTGTATTTATAAAGCTATTCGGAGGGCTATCCGCGTGGTGTTTGGCTAGGAATAAGATTATTAGCGTGTTAGTAAGGCTATTAACGTGCTGGTACTTGGTTTTTTATAAAAAATGGCATATAAATTAAAGTACCTGTATTTATGAAGTTATTTGAAGGGCTATTTATGTGGTGTTTAGCTAAAAATAAAGCTGTTAACGTGCTGGTACTTGGTTTTCTATAAAAAATTGTATATAAATTAAAGTACCTGTATTTATAAAGCTATTTAGAGGTTTATTTGCGTGGTGTTTAGCTAGGAATAAGGCTATTAATACGTTGGCAAGGCTGTTAGCATGTTAGTAAGGCTATTAACGTGCTGGTACTTGGTTTTTTATAAAAAATTGCATATAAATTAAAGTACCTATATTTAAGCTATTTAGAGGTTTATTTGCGTGGTGTTTAGCTAGGAATAAGGCTATTAACGCGTTGGCAAGGCTATTAACGCGCTGGCAAGGTTGTGAAAGTGCAGGTACTTGGTTTTTTATAAAGAATTGCATATAAATTAATGTACCTGTATTTGCGAAGCTATTTGGAGGTTTATTAGTATAAAATTTAGCTTGGTAGGTGGTGGGCTTACCTGGTTGGGGTGTGTAGAGAAATACATGCCTAGTTTTATTATGGCTTTTATTTATATAGGGGTTTCCATATAAAGTATAGCTTTATTTAAATAAAGCGCTTGAACCTTACGTGCCGCTCCCTTTATAATTATACTCCTAAATTTACAGGCTTGTAGCGCCACAAAATTGCAATAAAATTTAAATATAAGTAATTTAACTTATAGGAAATATCTAGAATACTATACTATATTCTTTTAAATATTTAAATATGTGTTGTTGTTGAGATATTAGCGCGTAAATTAATAATTAATAATTTTATATAAAAATATATATATTTGTATTAGTTAACTGCGGAACTTTTTTAATAAATTTTTTTAAGTTTAAATTTTGCTAAATTAGCGCGAATACTTTTTTTTAATTGGCCGCGCCTGATTTTACCGCCCTTGTAACTTATTAATTTTTACTATTTTACCTTATAAAACTTAATATATTATGCGGTATATTAATTTATATATAGTTTGCTATATAATATAATGTACCTATATAATATATATACTTTTTTAAATTACTACCTTATTACTACGCGGCGCGCGCAGCGAACACAGTTTAAAAAGGCGTTTATTTTAAAATATATGGGATGTATTATACAAAGATAAACAAATTAATTACTTACAAATGGCGGGCCGTTTGTGTGGGGGGGTGTCGGCAGTATACGAATATCCTTACCTAAGGCATTGCTATAAAGTGGTATCCACTGCTAATAAAAACCTTCTTTCTTGTCCAATCCGGAGCCTCCGTTTCCGAGATCTCCCGGGATTCCCCGTCGCCAGATCCCGCCCACGGCCCCACCCGCCCAGATTCCGATGTTCGGCTCTACTCCGTACTCCTGCTGTATGGAGCCATGGGTAATCCAATGCCTAGGATTACTCCACTCTAGCCCATGACTCCTTCTTGTTATCATCCACACCGGACAGTGGCCGATTTCAGACAACATTACAAGAGACAACCACGGGATGATCCATGATGATGAGCAGGAATCAGCCGCAAAAGTACCTTCCATGCGCCTACCTTCTGGCCGATCCGGGGAAATGTAATACCACTTACCTGACAATTTATAGCTGATAAAAGGCAGCTAACGACCCGGAACCCTCACGCATCCGAGTGCCGACTCGGCCTGCCCTGAGCGAATCGCCATGGAATCGACAGCGGCCCCGGATGTATACTTCACCCTTGACGGCCGAGGAGCCGTGACTGCGATCACAATAAACGACAGAGAGGTGATAGAACGCAAAGTGCTGTTGGACTCCGAGCTATTGCCTTCATGGGTCATAGCTCTACATGAGATGCGAGCAAGTATAGTCCCGAATGCCATGGAGTCGTGCGATGTCTCTCCGCCGCCGCCTGGCGACCACCCCTCCGGCTTCGATGGGGTATGCTCCACCTCTGCAGATGTCGAACGTGCAGCAAACGCTTTGGACGTGCAAGGGCTGCTGCAGCCGCATCTAGAGTCATCTGCTTCGCTGGGAGCGGAAGCAAGAACCGTAGACTCTGGCGTGGACTTCCCGTTCGACATCCTTCCCGACTCTTCTGAAACCTGGGACGACCTCGCCCTCTTTAACCTGCCAGCCGTCCCCACGTCAGTTCCGGAGGTACCGGATACTTCCATTCCGGGGGCTAGTGAACCGCAAAATTCGCATACCGATCCGAGTCGGAATACACAAGCAATGGCAGGGGGGCTGAAGCGGGCTCAGAAGCTGCATCGGATGTTGCAGGCGCTCGAGAATCACGCGGTACTGGGCCGGGACGACCATAACCGAGAGGTTGAAAGCCTCTACAACGGGCCGCAACTCCCTGCATGCGAGTCGGATGGGACCATGGTGCACTTTGCCTCCGTGCTCGGAAGCCACAGCAGCATTTCGGCCGCGGTTGGGACAATATACGGGCTGCTCAGCTGGAATATCTATGGGTTGGAGGAGGATCGTTTGATACGAGAAGAGGGTCTATCCCCTTACATTGCAGCTAAGCAGGTCTGTCACCACTGCCTCACTCCCCTCACCTACACGGCACATTGCGGGAATTGACGACCTCAATCTTGAAACACAGATGAACCAGAAAATGACAAGTGCGCTGCGCTGTCGAGGCAAGTCCAATGATTGGGCTAGTGATGGACGGCGGGCGGCAAAGGCGGTTTTTGGCGCTTTGAAAGGGACCAGCATTTCGATGCAGTCGTTTGCCCTGATACTCCTCGCGGGTAAGCTCACATGTTGTTTTCCCCTCTACTTTCCGGCTGTCTGGTAGCACTCTTGCTCATGTATTCCCGTAGAGGTTTTCAGTCTCGACTATCTCTTGAAGATTGCCCATTTTCCTGCGTTGCGAGTGACGTTCCAAGAGCAGTTTGCGAGGATTGCACAATCTCGGAGTGCGGAATGGCGTGTCTACCTAGAACATGACTACAAGGTGTTTGATTATCACCTTTTCCTGAGTCTCAAGAGTCATTGTATACCAGTTTCCCAGTCAGCCGTTCAGGCAACATGACCCATCTTCATCATTTATTTTTTCCCCAAAAATTAAGGCAAGGGGTAATAAAGGTTCCCTCAGAGTATGCATACTTATGAATTGCAAATCTACTACTCGCTGCTCTACTTTTGAGTCAACATACACCCCTACCCAGGTGGACGGGCCTAGTTCGGCGATGCCAGAGCTCAATGGTACGATACCAAGCACCTGACGACATTCAGCGACTTTCCTGTCCAACTTGGTTACTCATCTAATTACCAGGGTATGTACATATTGTCAGGTTCTTGCTCTGCTTGCCCTGACAGTGGGTAGAACCTCGGTCCGTGCCTAGCACGTACCTAAACTACTGGGATTATTTGCACTCAGATATTCGAAGCAAGACTTGATAGACCATACTAAATTCCCCGTGTGTGCCCAACGGAACACCAGTCGCCTTCAAGCAAAACCCCCTACGGCTATCAATCATGGCATTGGCAACTGATCTTGATCTGTGGCATGTAGCCGCGGCGCTGGCTGTGCTCTATGCAGGAAAATGCCTCCGCGACATATACTGGCATCCATTGAGTCAATTCCCCGGGCCTATACTGGTCCTTCTGGGCCCGTTTTACGAGTTCTACTACGATGTGATCAAAGACGGCACATTCCTCTGGGAGATAGAGAAGATGCACCAGAAATACGGTACAGGCGCTTCAGTACCACCCTACGCATGTACATCGTCAGAGGATATCCGAACGCTGACTACACCACCAGGGCCTATCGTCCGAATCAACAAAAGGGAACTACATATCCGCGATTCTGATTTCTACTCTCAGATCTACGCGGGCAACAGCCGCAGGATCGACAAGGACGCACCCACCGTCCAGGCGTTTGCGGTGCCCACCTCCGTCGCAGCAACAGTCGACCACCACCACCACCGGGCCCGCCGCGGCTATCTGAACCCTTATTTCTCAAAACGCTCCATCGGCGATCTCGAGCCCATCATCCACGAGCGAGTCGACCGGCTGTGCGGCCGCTTCAATGAAGCCCTGCAGACACACGAAGTGGTTAACTTGGACTCGGCGTTTTCTGCTCTCACAGCGGACATCATCACCTCCCGGCTCTATGGGGCGCACTTTGACTACCTCGGCATCCCGGACTTCAAGTTTGCTGTTCGCGAGACGTTTGAAGGCATGTCGCTGGTTTTCCACCTCTCTCGTTTCATCCCGTTCATGATGGCTACGCTGAAGCTCCTCCCGCTCGCAGCCATCAGGCTGATCATGCCGAGTGCAGCTGACCTTCTACAAATCCGCGAGGGCATCAAGCGGAATATTCTCTCAACACTGGACTCATCGAACGGGGGGGGCGAGGGCGAGCGGCACTCACGCTCACGGGCAGTCATTGCAGCGGCACTCAGGGATCCGGAGATCCCGCTCGAGGAACGGCGGATTGAGCGGTTGATGGACGAGGGGACGACGATCATCTTCGCCGGCACGGAGACCTCTGCGCGCGCAATGAGCGTGGCGTTTTTCCACCTGCTGAGCAACCAAGCACACCTCGAGACATTGCGCGCCGAGTTGCGCTCCAGACTAGGGTCTCGGCCGGGCAATGGATGGGCTCTTGCCGACCTGGAGTCTCTTCCGTTTCTGGTATGCTTGACCTTCCACCTTGAAACATCCTTTCGGGCTCTGCCCTAATGCCGTCTACAGACCGGCGTCGTGAATGAATGCCTTCGTTTATCCTTCGGTGCCGTCGGACGGCTTCCACGAGTTGCTACTCATGACGCATTGCAGTACAAGGAGTACTCGATACCGGCAGGCGTGAGTCCATCCGTTCGCCCCATCTGATGTGCTCAATATCACATTGCGAACTCCATTCTAACACAGTTCATCTCCCACACCGACAGACGCCAGTCAGCCAATCCACGTATTTCGTGCACACCAATCCAGCGGTCTATCCCGACCCGTTTGCCTTTGACCCAGAGCGTTGGGTCCGAGCAGCAAAGGATGGTGTGCCACTGGGGAAACATCTGGTCAGCTTTACCAAGGGGACGCGGCAGTGTCTTGGGATGAAGTAAGTACCCTCTCCCACCATACATAGATGCCCTTGTGACCATCTCCCACGAAGGGGATTGGCATGAGCGCGCGCTGATTCGGTGTGCCCGCTTCGTGCAGTATGGCGCTGGCGGAGCTTTACATCGCGATTGCTCGCATCGCGCAGGCATTCGACATGCGGCTGCACAATACGACACAGGACGACATTGAGGTGCACCATGTGCGCCTGGTTGGGTACCCGAGGAAAATCCGCGGACAGGTGGCCGGGCGAGGTCAAGTTGAGGTTAAGGTGACAGTCAACCGAGATGTGGATATGGAAGCTGAAGCCTAGGGCTGGGCCTGGGCCTGGGCCTGGGCCCTGGGTAGGTTACCTAGGGCATCCGTGCCTCCTTCCATGTCATGGCATGATGTTAGATGGCGGGATAGATTGGTACCTCGTTTGCGGCTCTGTAGCACCTAGGAACTTGCTACGGTACCTCTGAAACGTGGTGCATAGGTAAAATATACATATATCGTCATTGAATTATAACGCGCATTTTATCGAGGACCGCGAGAGAAGAACGTTTGATACGTTGAAGGTAGGACTACAATGCATCGCCACGATCGAACAGCAACGATATACAAATTGATAATCCAATACCAACAGGCATGGCAGCTCGGTTAGGTAGGCTAGGTACATACACATGTGCATGACAACCCGTTGCATTCTGAGCCTTACTGGAGTCTAGATTCTGATCATCACTGTTCCCTCAGACGCGGGAAAAGTGCCGCAGCATTCTTCCAATATATCATAGCCCTTGTCTCATCCTCCATCGGATACTCGTCCAATTCCTTCGCAAGAGCCGCGGTTGCTGGCGGCGGCGCAAAGGGGAAGTCACTCCCGCACAGGATGTGATCCCGGGGAACATGCTTCAGCAGCAAGTCCAACGTGTAGGCCGAACTCGACAGCGCCAAGTCAAAGTAGAACGCCGTAAAGTCCTCGAGGATCTCGCTCGCCGGCTTCGGCGGGGGTCGAGATGCGCCGCGAACGCCGGGATGAGGGCCGCCGCGCGCCGGACCAGGAAGGGCAGCGTGCCGCCGGCGTGGGACAGGATGACCCTGCAGCGCGGGTACAGCCGCAGCGTGTTGTTCATGATCATGTCCAGCGCCGTGTTTGTCGTTTCGTGCGGGAACTCGGCGACCGTCGGGTCGACGTATTGGTTGCACCGCGGCCCGCTGAGGAAGCTGGACCCCGGATGCACCAGCACCACCGCCGACCGCTGGTGCAGCTCTTCCCAGATCGGCGTGAATGCGGAGTGCCCGAGGTATGCGTCGCCGTAGCGAGCGCACAGCATCACGCCGTCCGCTTGGAGGTGGTCCAGGGCGTGGCGGATTTCCAGCAGCGCGTGTTCGGTGTCGAGCAGGGAGGGGATTGCAGCTAGGAAGCCGAAACGCTTGGGGTCGCTGTCGCGTACCCCTGCTGCGTACTCGTTGACCTGTCTGGCTACCTTGCGGCCTGCCTCGCCCTCAAAGGCGAAGGTCAATGGAAAAGAGAGGATGGCGGTGCTTGCGCCAACGGTGCCCATGTACTGGCTGCTGGTGGCAGGTGACCAGCGCGGAATCGGCGGCCCATTTGTGGTCTTCTGTCCGATGAGCGATCGGGCGAGTGCTGCACTTTCTTAGAATGTTGCTTGTGGGTTGCTTGAGGAGATGGAACATACCCGCGACAATGTCTTCGGGGAGGTAGTGATGGTGGACGTCAACCTTTGCTTCCATCCTGGAATCTGACAATGATCGCCTGTAGCTGTGGTCGGAGGGACGACTACTAGAATGTGATTGTGTCTATATAGGAATTCCAGCCATGTACTATGGTAAGTATAGTATAGTACCCCAGTTTCTGCGGTCCGTGCTAGGCACGGAGCACGGGCATATGGATGTAGTCATCCCCTATATCAAGCGAGTCCCCTCGCAGGGCATGCACAACGATCAATACATGCTCGATCCACCCATTTGACAGCCCACCCATCGAATCCATTCGCCATGTCCGCCCCCAACAAGCCCACTAGGGCTAGTCCACCTCCGAGCCAGCAACCACTGCAAGGACTGGTCTCCTACCTGCCCAGTCCCCTGCTGCCGTACGCCCAGCTGATTCGACTCGACAAACCGATTGGCTTTGCCATTGTGTACCTGCCCTACCTCATCGGCATTGTCTACGCCGCCAGCGTCGCCCCCACCCCCCTGCCCATGTCCTTGCTTCTCAACCGCGCCCGCATCTTCCTCACAGGGAGCATCATCCTGCGCTCAGCAGGCTGCACCTGGGACGACATAGTGGACCAAGACCTCGACCGCCAAGTGCAGCGCAGCCGCTCGCGCCCGATCCCGCGCGGCGCCGTAACCACTCGCAACGCGTGCCTGTTCGCCCTCGCCATCGCCTGCGCTGGCGTCGCCAACCTCCGCCATCTGCCGCGCGAATGCACCCACGACGCCATATTCATTGTTACATTATCACTAATATACCCTTACCTGAAGCGCGTCACCCATTACCCGCAGCTCGTGCTTGGCCTGACAATCGGGTTTGCGGTGATAATGGCCGCGCATTCGCTGGCGGTCGATCCCTGGGCATATCCCACGAACATCGCGACAGGGAGTCTCTATTTCGCCGTCGTCCTGTTGATGATGCTGTACGACATCATATATGCGCGACAGGATACCACCGATGACATCAAGGCCGGGGTGAAGAGCATGGCCGTGCGCTTTCGCCATTCCATTCGGCTGCTCGCGGGGCTGCTTGCGCTTGTTATTACAGTGCTGCTGGCCGCCACGGGCATCAGCTCTTCATTCGGGCGGGTATATTTTGGTACAGCCGTTGGTGGCACTGGGGTGAGCTTGGGCACCGTGGTTCTGCGCATGAATTTGGAGAACCCGGACAGCTATCATTGCTATGTGGGCGCGGCGTACATGGTCACAAGTGTCTGTATTCTTGGGGGGCTGCTTGGAGAGTATGCCATAAAGGCTGGACTACTGCCATAATCATATCGTCCGCAGTATGAGCGTGTATATCTTTCATTTTCATGTTTTCCCGGTATCGCGCTGTTCGGAGGATTCTTGATGTTTGACTTCCAAAATACCTTGCTAGTTTTCCCAAGTTACCAGTTCACAATCCAGTAAGCCGTTCTGAGATTATTACAAAGTCCAGCAAAATTGGAAACGTGGTTGTGTGCCCTAAACAGGAAATCTCCGTAGGCCCTGTCTCGGCGTCGTGTTGCTTGGGCGACTTATGCTGCTTTCCTAGTGGCGCCCTGCCATTTGAATGACAGCATGAAGCCTTAGCCTGGGCCATCTCTGTTATATCCAACATGAGGGGTACGGTCTGCTCATCCAATAACATATAGAGTGCGTACGTGGGGGATAGTTAGGGGTTATATGACAAGCGTGACAAGGAAATAAATTCAAACGACTCGCCACTTGAATCAACCGTCACTCTTCTCAGTCCACCACCTCTCCTTTCGGTCCTATACCTACCAAGGCGCTCCTAGTCAACAGTCGTTATGGATGACCACTCCTTTGATGAGCAGCTAATCCGCGCCGTTGGCGGCGACAATACCCTGGTGACATTTCCCACCGATGCTACCAGCATCCCATCATTCAACCGCGACATCCCGGTGCTTCCAAAAGCAATCGCCGTCCCACAGTCCGTCGATCAAGTGGCCGAGATTGTGAAGTGTGCTGCCGCCGCTGGATACAAGGTCCAGCCCAGGAGCGGCGGGCATAGCTACGCAAACCACGGTATAGAGCCAGCCCACTGCCCTACCTACCAACTTGCGACTCTCGTCAGCTCACGCCACTCTATCTTATAGGATACGGAGGCGCCGACGGGGCAATCGTCGTTGATCTAGCAAAGCTCCAGTCCCTCTCCATCGACACCGTGACCCACAATGCCCGTATCGGCGCAGGCGCTCGCCTCGGAGACATTGCGCGATTCCTCTACACAAAGGGCAGGGCAATGGCGCATGGGACGTGTCCGGACGTCGGGCTCGGAGGACACGCCACGACCGGAGGCATGGGTCCAGCTTCACGGCAATGGGGGCTGGCGATTGACCAGGTGGTGGCGATGCAAGTTGTGCTGGCAGACGGGCGGGTCGTGCACGCATCTCACTCCGACAACGAGGATTTGTTCTTTGCGCTCCGAGGCGCGGGTCCCAGCTTCGGCATTGTGACCGAGTTTGTGATGCGCACGCAGCCGGCGCCGACGCAGGCCGTGCAGTACGAGTTCGTCTGCGAGTCCACGAGTCCCGTGGCTCGGGGCGCAGTGTTCAAGGCCTGGCAGCAGCTGGCTGGCGACTCGGCGCTCCCGTTGGAACTACACACCATGGTCGATATCTTTGAGCACAAGGTCGTTGTCTCGGGTACGTACTTCGGGTCTCGCGTCGCCTTCGACGCTCTCCGGCTGCCCGCCCGGTTTCCGGAGAGTCAGGGCGTCTGGAAGATCAGCGATGCCTTGGACTGGATGCAGCTGGTGGATGGCTGGGCGAACCATGTCCTTCGCGAGTTCGGCGGCGGCATGCCGCGAGCGTTTTACGCCAAGTCGCTGAGCTTTGCGCCGCGGACCCTCATGTCGGCGCACGCTGTCGACGCTCTGTTTCATTTCCTGGGGACGTGGTCTCGGACGCGTGGGAGGCTCTACCTGTCGTTTCATGTGGGCGGGGGCGCCATCACGGATGTGCCAGCGGGCGAGACGGCATATCCGCACCGGGACACTGTGTTCTGGGGCCAGTTTGCAGTGGCTGGAATGGGGTCTGTGTCTGCGAGTTCGAAAGACTTTGTCAGTTGCATGGTGAGTATCATCACCGCGGCTATGCCTGACGGCGAGTTTGGTGCATACGCTGGACATGTGGACCCTTCTTTGGCCAGTCCGCAGAAGGAGTACTGGGGATTGAACCTGCCCCAGCTGCGCCAGATCAAAGCAGCTGTCGACCCCCTAGATGTCTTTCATAACCCGCAAAGCGTGCCGGTGCTAGAGGGACCAGGCGCCCGAGTTGTTGCTACCGAAGGAGATTCTAGCTGTGTGGACAAGGCATAGACCCCTCCAACGCAAATGTAAGGGGAGGAAAGCGTGACTCGGTGGAGTAGGGCTAAAACAGAAATAAATCATTTTCCATTCTGGTAGAGCTAGAGCACAATGTAAGTAAGGCATCCGCTTATAGTCTGTCTGAAATCAAGAGAAGAATAAGAAAGTTAATCCAGTAACATGCACACTTGATCCTCAACACAGGCGCTCGCTTTGTCAATAAAGTACACAGGCAAGGGCTGCAGGATTCTGGCAGTCTCTGAGATATCTATGTCTTTGCCCCAGCACGTAGAAGTCCGCAAAACATAGAGAAGTCAATCCCTAATATGCTACATATGTAATCCAGCCACATGCTTGGTGAACAGTCAGCGTCTACTATGATAGTTAAGTGCCCATTGTGTAGCACAAGTAAGCCCGTTTGCCTATAGCTTTTGTAAGTGGCCTAACAATAGCCATTTGCAACGAATTACAAGGCGGGCAATACCATACTAACCACCAAGGCACGAATGGCACCAGGTTCAATACCGTCTGTTTCCAAAGGACATTGAGTGGCCGATTTGGGCAACGTTACGCCTTATGGAATATTCATATCCAGACGCCTTTGTGGCAGATTGTGGATATGACTGGAGGCAGGCAGCCTCAGTATGGTGGTCTCTTGTATGGTGTGAATATTGTACAGTTTTCGTGCCTTAGAAAGGGTTTGATTACTGTCTGGCATGGATCTTTTTATTAGTCGGGGTTGTCGTACAAGAATACGATCTATTTGTTTCGAATAACTGCTGAGTGACCTTTTGAATCAATGGGAAGTGAGCTTCTGCTTGCAGTTGAACAGCCTCATAGTAGAAGGTACCTCTCTGAATAGCATCCTGCACATCTGTCACTGTTCTGATTGGAGGTGAAAGAACTCTGTGTTCCCTTACTATAAGGCAGTCAGTTATACTGAATGCCCAGCCAGACGAGGTCAAGCTCGCATACTGCCACTTCGATGACTGCCAACGCTAAAGTGGCTCTACTTATTGTACGTGAGACACCATAGCTTCCTGTCACGCGCCTCAGGAACAAGCGTAACCAATACTTCGCTTTTCAGCACTGTGCGTGACGGTCTCACCTGACCGGAACTGTCGGGAAATGGCCCCCTTGTACACTCAAAACAACTGGAAGTTCCGGATCCTCAGTGTTACGGACGTTCTGCCACCTCAGAGATGCGGTTGTCCCCTATTCAGTCAAGCCCTGAGCGCCAAGACTGAGCTTGCCATTATGAATAATTGTTAATGAAAAATAAGGTGCTCGAATATTCCTGTGTGAACAGGAGTATGGGTCACCATAGGCCGAACTATTTGTACCTATACGTATTAGGATCCATGCTGGCTACAGCCGATCCATTCCGCGATTCTCGGCGTATATGCTGGTTATATAGAAGGGGCTTGGGAAGTCCTCACAGCGGGCGCTACATTTCTTTAAACAGCCTCCACAAGATATGTCGGGCCCTATCAGGGTGTAAGCTCGCAAGAGACACAGCCAGCAATAAGAAGGGAATAAATTTGTTCACCGGGGCCGCGAATATGCACTCTCAACCGTACAAGTCCCACCATTGAAAAGCTGCCTGAAATAGAGAATGCAACCAGGGTCATGGCCCCAAAGTTGAGGATATGCTGTGTCAGCAGTCGGTGCTCGGGGTTAAAATAGGGCCCGGAGAGCAAGTTAATGTCCTCCTTTATAGCCTTAGAGCGTGCATGCCTTCTTGTATTATATTAACCCTGCTAGCTAATAATTATAGTATTAGCTTTTTTTATACCTTTATCCTGCACCACTGTAACTATATTAAATTAATTATTATTATATACTTAAATTATAATACTATTATTAAAAATATACCTTTTTTTACTTTATTATATTATAAAAAATCCTTATTAATAAAAGCTAGGGTATTATAATTAATAGCAAGAATTATAAAAAGTATATATTTTATTTAAATTAAGGTATATTATTTCTTTTTTATTTATATATATTATATTTTAGTATATTAAAAATAAAAGTTATTTTTTTAACACCTATAAAAAGCATGTATAAATACTTATATATATATAGTACTTTGCACCCCTAAGTCCTTTTTATATTATAATTATATTATTTATATATATAAAGTTATTAACCCCCACGGCGTAATTTTCTTGCTTAACCTAGTAATTAATAAAAAAAGTATAATTATAATTTTATAAAATAGCATTAATAATAAAAACTTGTTTTAAAAAAAATAAGCTAGTATTATTATTATTTTAGGTATTATATATTTATATTTATATTTATATTTCCCTGGCTATAGTAAGCCCTTTATTTATAATTTATATTTAATTTATATTATTTATATTTAAATATAGTAATTAATATATAATATATATAGGTTTAGGTTAGCGCCTTTTAGCTATTTTTAGGAGTAATAATTTATATAGGCTTTAAATATATAAAACTTAATTTATTTATAAATAGCATGCTTAATTACGCGCTAAAAAAATTATGCTTAAATATATTTATATTTTTTTTAGTTATTAATAAAATATATTTATTTATATTTAAAAATATTTAGCCGCGGCGTTAAAAAAAGGTTATTTAAAATATTATATAAAATATTATTATAATACTTATAAATTAAAATATAAATTATTAACTAATATTATTACCTAATATAATTTTTTATATATATTAATTAATAAGTAAGGTTATTATTATTATAAGGGCTTATAATATGCATGTAAAAAATAAGTTAATTAATAATTTTATTATTAAGGTAAAAGGGCTAGGCAAGCTTAAAATAAGCATGTAAGTAAATTAAAAAATAAAAAAAAAAATTAAGGTTATTTTAAGCGTGCTAATAAAAAAAGGACAGGAATTAGGGGTTAATACGCTGTGTTTAAAGGGGCTTTATATATTGCTTAGGGCTGTGAATAGGCGGGTACGGAGGGGATGTAGGTAGCTCTCGGCTTTCAAGGAACCTGTTAAGAGAGGGCTTAGCAATGATTTACTTATTTATCCAAGCTAGTTTATATGTACATCGTGCGCTGCGGGGATGGATGGTTTATAGAGTTGTAGCGCCACCCGGGGCTCAGATCAGCCCCGAGCTGATTAAGTGCTGTTGGTATTGTGAAGAATCGGGAGAAATGGGTGTTGGGAACACGGGCTTACTTTCATTTCAATCTGGAGTTTAGCTATAGCTTCTAGACCGTATGTAGGACATGAAAACACACTCGAACCCCCTAAGATACCTGAGCGGGACAATTGCAGCTAGAGGTTTGTGTTCTTAGCAAAGTAAAAGCCTCACACGACGGTAGCGTATTTCTCATAAGGATTTCTCATAACAATATTGAAGCTACTGCGGATGTACCTACAAGCAAAATCAGTGTTCCCCGCTACATGAGCCTGCGCCCTACCTCGAGCCATTGACCTCTCATTAGAGAAATAGCAGGCCGAGTTTCCAACCTTACTAGCCAGTACGCTGGTAAGCCCAATTCCATCAGGATACACGGTCCCCTCTAATAGACCCCCGGAATCAGGCGATACTTCACCCGCTCCAGAATCTCCTTGTACGCATCACCATACTACAACCGCACGTCAGCATCCACTCCCCATCACACGCACACACAAGCCAAAAAGCAAAAGGAGATAGGATAGGGAATCATACCCTCCCAACCAAATACTGCTCTAAAACCGGCACCCCACGCACCGCGAAATCCCAGAAAAAGAAGCTAAACGTCACCGCGCCCCACGGCACGCCGCCGCAGACAAGCGCATACCCGCCGCGCCAGAGCGTATACCCGCCGTAGTTCACATTCGTCGCGAGCGAGAACAGCCCGCCGGCGTACGGCGCCCCTTTGTTGCGCGCGTCCTTTTTGAATGCGGTCCTCTGCACCTCGGAGATCGCCTCGGTGAGGATTCCGACCGTGTACGCTGCTGCGCCCAGTGCGATCGCGGGGCTGGAGAGGAGCCCGGTGGCGGGGGACTGGGAGGTCACACTCCACGCGGAGAGGAGGGTGTTCAGCGAGTTGAAGACGGTGTTGAAGAAGGCGATGGTAAGGGCTGACGCGATTGGGGTTTCCTGCTCGGAGACCAGGAGCATCGTTGCGATTTGCTTGGCGCTGCTGCCCAGGGCGAGCAGGGTGATCAGGCCGTAGTACGGCTGCAGGCCTGCACCTGCACCTGCACCTGCGGAGGAGAGGATCTGGGCTGTTGGGACGGGGTGGCCGTGCAGCTTTGCGATTGCGGCGCTGGCCCAGCCGCTGGTCAGGAGGCGGTACTGCCACCAGACGTCTAGGGCTCGGAGGCCCGTGAAGAGCGCTCGGCCCAGCGGGGAGGCGCTCTTTCTGCGCGACACGTTATCCTGCATTGACGGCATGGTGCTTACTTTCCAGGAATGTGCGAGGGAAAGGAGGAGGGGACGATCACTTATCCTGTTCTGTGCTGGCGTCGTGATTTCTAAGCTCGGGGCTGATGTCAGCCCCGAGGAGCGAGTCATGATGTAAGACCCTGTAAGGGGTCATGACCTGGCTGGAAAATTCTGATTTGCCGGAATATAAATAAAAGCCAGAGTGGCTCTTCCCTGCCAATTAGCCTATCCTATCACATCCACTTCTCCAGCATGTCCGCGTCCGCCGTCCTCATCACCGGCGCCACCGGCAAACAGGGGGGCTCTCTGATCCGCAGCCTCGTCAACCGCAGCGCCCCCTTTGAGATCCTCGCGGTGACCAGAAACCCTTCTTCGGCCTCCGCCCAGAAGCTCGCGAGTCTCTCGTCGCGCATCAAGCTCGTCCAAGGCGACCTGGATAATCCGAGCAGCATCTTCCGAAATGCCCAGCAGTTGACCAACACACCCATCTGGGGCGTCTACAGTGTGCAGGCCGCAATCAACAACGCCGCCGAAGAGCCGCAGGGCAAGGCGCTGATCGACGAAGCGCTCCGGCAAAACGTCAAGTTCTTCGTGTACAGCTCCGTCGACCGCGGCGGCGAAACCCGCTCGTTCAACAGCCCGACCACCATCCCCCATTTCGTCAAGAAACATAACATCGAGCACCACCTTGTCGAACGCAGTAAAGACACGAACATGGACTGGGTGATTCTGCGCCCGACGGCGTTCTATGAGAATCTCACCCCCGATTTCTTCGGCAAGGTCTTCGCGACGTGCTTTAAGATGGCGCTGCAGGGGAAGCCGCTGCAGCTTGTTGCGACCAGTGACATTGGCTTCTTTGGTGCTGATGCGTTCATGAAGCCGGAGGAGTACAAGGGGCGTGCGATTTCGCTGGCGGGTGACGAGCTGACGTTTGATGGGATGCAGGCCGTGTTTGAGCAGAAGATGGGGCGGCCGCTGCCGTTGACGTTCCGGCCGGTGTGCTCGCTGTTCATGGCCATGATGAAGGACATGGGGTACATGTTCAAGTGGTTCCGGGAGGAAGGGTACGGCGCGAATATTGAGCAGTTGAAGAAGGTCAATCCCGAGATGAAGACTTTTGCGACGTGGTTGGAGAAGGAGAGTGCGTTTCGGAAGTAGGGTTTGTGCAATATCCAGTTTCTTGCTTTTTGCCTGTATATCTTTCTGCTAGGAGTTATATGCTCGTACCTATACAATTACAACGACAATGTTTTGACCACCTGCAGTATACCCAGGGCTAACGCTCTGCACAGTCCCGGAAACCTTCAGTATCTGTACAAGTTGAAAGAGATACAAACCCATCCACCGGGTATCCTCCATCTCTCTACCTGCCCTAGCATCTACACCAGATCTTCCACATTCCTCCTCAAAGTCTCCTCAAGCCCCGACCACCCAGACCCCCCAATCTCCCTAAGGAGACCCTCCGCCCGTTCAGCAGGCTCGATCTCCAGCACCCCGTGCTCCCCTCCAGGCAAATCACCAGGTAACGAGCGGTGAGGGAACTCCCTCCGAAAGAACGCGATGATCCCATTCCACGTAAACGGCCCCCCAAACGCAAATAGCCGCTCGCTCTGTACGCCCGGGTGGATGAGCCCCGCTACGTGGAGGAGCGCGACGTCCGCAACGTCCACCCCGTATGCTCCTGCAAGACCAGGTACGGTCCGTCAGCCTTCATGCGGCGTCGTGGGGGGTGAAGTTGGCGCTTACCGGTAGGTATAACGTGCTGCAGGAAGCCCCAGAAGCGATCGAATTCGTTGCGGAGGATAGAGGCCGGCCAGGCGGACGACGAGGCGTGGCCCTGCGCCTTGGGGTCCAGGGACGCGCCGAAACACACGGAGGGGAGGACTAGCGGGTGGAAAGATCAGCGTCTGCCGTCTTCACACCGGCGGAGGAAGAGTGTGAGATGTGAGATGTGAGATACCTGTATTGACAACGAAACCCGGCTTCTGCTCCTCAGCCCATTCCCAGACAGCCTGCTCGCCGAGCGTCTTGCTCGCGGCGTACGTATCGAACCCAGCCTTAGGGCTGGGCTCCCGGATCCGCCGGAGGACCTCCTCGTTCCAGGTATCGACACCCACGCGTGTCTTGCTGTGCTTGTGCTCATGCAGCGACGAGAAGGTCGCGGCCTCGGAAGACGACGTGTAGACGAAGCGGCGGACTGTGCGTTCTCGCGACGCACTGGCGAGGAGGTTCCGGTTTGCGCTGACGACGCTCGAGATCAGATCGGCCGAGTGCCCGAAGACGGTCGCGACGTGCGTTATGCCGGATACGCCTGGGACATCAGTCTCGTCACTGGCGCAGGGTATGTAGGTAGTGTTAGGTGTAGGTACCCTTGACAGCATGGTCGAATGCACCCGGAACAGTCATGTCCTCGACCCTGACGAGCTCGAACGCCCCCTGGCCATATTTCTCGCGGAACAGCGTCTCGGTCCATTGGGCCTTCGATGGGTCGCGGACTGTCCCTCGGACTTTATAGCCGCGCTGGAGAAGTTGGTCGGCGACGTGCGAGGCGACGTAGCCGTTGACGCCGGTAACTAGGATCCAGGAGCCGGGAGGGCTGACTGGATTGAAGGGAAGTGTTTGTGGAGACATGGCTAGTAGGAATGGTGATTGTAGAATGCCCGGTATTATCCATACTCCAGCTTATCAAGTTCCGCTTTATACCTAGTGTAGGGCCGAAGGGCACAATGGAGTGAACCCCACTGGAGTGCTTAACAATGCCGGACACGATTTCAACCCCGAGCACCGACTGCTGACACATGGCCTCCACAGCATGAGCTCTCTTGCCTAAGGTGCGGTGGTCCCGGTCCACTTCCGAGTGCGGGCATAGGTAGCCCTGGAGTATTCCTGGCCCTGGGCTCGGCCGCGTCCCACGCCAATGAAGCGACCACTCAAAGCGCAGCTCCCTGTGCGGTTGGAGAGCCTAGAAAAAGAACCGTAAGTGAGTAGCAGCCTCAAAATGCGGCACCGAGACCTTCACGCGCGCTGTTGACTGGGTTGCGCATGAGGTACTGGTTAGTTTGGGTATGGGCAGTAGGCGCCTTCCCTTGTATCAAAAAATTTGAATCGGCGTGAACACCATGGCCAAGTGGGCGAGATGGGTGTGGTCGGAGCAGAGGGCAGCCTGTGACTGAGAAACAAATAAAAGGACAGCTGAAGGGAACCGATTTAGATGAGTTCGCTGGGATTGACGGCATTCCGTTAGAATATACGGACGGGCTATATAGCCAATTAACATGCTAACAGGATTTAGTAATCCCGGGGGGTTTTTGCAGCGTCTGTTTAATCTATGATATATAAACAAATACTTAATGGGTTTAACTCTTAATTAGTCCTGACATGTGCCTTTGGCCATGAGGCGTGTATATCGAGGGAAAATACTGGGTACCTACCATAGTGCGAGGGTGCTTGATCAATAGCCCAAGGGCAAAACAGTGCATTATGCCAACTCTCTAAGGATATATCGGAGTATAATGACCGGCTCGCTATGTCTCTCATTGGGTTTATAGTCTAGCGGAATATGCCCACAAAGTGGACAGATGGAACGTGCAGCCTCCAGTAGCTGTACCTGTGTCCAGGTATGGGACCTTACAGAGCGGCTATCAAGGATCAAGACAGGTGAGGTGAGGTAGACCTCGCTACACAGGCCAAGAGTGTACATTGCAGTTGCAGGTGGTCCAGCTAGATATCGAGTCCTCCGTACGTAGGTACAATCAAGCATGATGCGCACGACGCTTCTTATGCGAGCGCTTAGCCTTGCACCGGCCCGCTCCCTTTCCGCGCCCGTGGCCCTTTCCAGAGCCAGAGACCGTGCCAGAAGAAGCAGCCGTCTCGGTGGATGCAGCAGCAGCAGCCTCCGTCGAGCTGGACGCATCCGCATCCGCATCCGCATCCGCATCCGCATCCGCATCCGCAACAGCCGTCTGCGCAGCCGGACTCGTCGCAACAGCCTGCGCAGTCGAGCTGGCCGCTCCACTCTCCGAGCCAGAGCCCGAGCCCGAGCTGCTGCCGCTGCCGCTGCCGCTCTCAAAATCAACACTGCTCACGCCGCCCGAAAACGCGGCGGTACTCCCGTCAACGCTCTTGTACGTCGGCGTGAGCACCTTCCCGGCGTCAGGGGGCCCGTTGTAGTTCCCCGCCTTGCACTGGTCGTCGATGTTCGTGCACTTGTCCTGCCAGATCTGGCAGACTTTGTTGCCGGTCGCCAGGTACGTGCCCCAGCATTCGTCGGATTGGGTCCAGCATTCTTTGGAGGACTGCGGACTTGTCAGTACGTCGATGGAAAAAAGGTATTGGAAGGGGAGGAAGGGAAAGGAAGACATACCGCCCAGCATCCCGTCTCATCGCTATAACTCGACACCTCGAACCCGCACCAGTCGTCGCGGACGAGGATGCACCCTTCCGGCAGCAGTCCATCCTTCTGCGTCGCCTGCGCACCCGAGACTTTCGAGGTTGAAGAAGTCGTCGTGTTCGGCTCGTACACCTCCGGCCCGAAACTCGGGTACGGGAGCGACAGCGGCGTCGCATACAGGTTATACGTCAGCCCCGGGGTGTCGAGGCTATACGTGCTCGCATCGATAGTCACGCCCTCGGGCACATTGCCCGCCTCACTGCCGGAGAGGAAAAGCTGCGCACAGCCAACATAGAACTGCGGATCGGGCGGGCTATCCTGCGCCGCATGCAGGGCCAGCAGTTCCGTGCGCACGAGGTAATCGCCCCCTCTTAATCCCTCGGGGATCGTCACGCTCATGAACCCGTTGTTATCGATCAGCTTCTCCGTGCACCACTTTGCGTCGGACTCGTCGTAGTCCATCTCGTAGATCTTGAACCACCCGTCGCCGGCGGCGTTGTTGTCGGCTGTTGCGTTGGCCACGGGCTTCATGTATACGGCGCAGGGGCCCTTGTGGGAGATGTCGATCGAGCCGGGTTGGGATCCGTCGGCGTATTCGCGGAATTCGAAGGTTAGGGTTGAGGATTGCGAGGCGGCGCAGGTGCGGGTTGAGGCGATTTCGCCGGAGTAGCCTGGCTTCTTCGTTAGTTTGGTCTAAGAGAGGGGATGGGGAAGGGGTTGGGAGAGTGGCTTACCGCAGGCCATTGCATCGTTCGCCAGTGGCTCGATGGGGAAGGTGGCCTTGTCGGCGTCGCGGTTCATGCGGATGCAGACGCCGTCGCCTTGGTTCTCGCCGTCGACGTAGAGGGTTGTCATGATTGTGTGGCCGGCCACGAGGGGGATGAGCCCGGAGGCGAGGGCGAGGTTGGAGAAGCGCATTGTAAGTAAAAGCCTGTCAAAGGCTTGAAGTAAGGAATGAATGAAGAAAAGAATGTCAAAGGAACGACTAGAAGTGAAGTGAAAGTCAACAGCGCATAGAGAGAAAAGAGAAGAGTAGAGGGAAGTGAGGGGGAGGGCCGCACTTATACCCTAGCTTGATGGTGGAAATTGAAATTGGAATTGAAATTGAACAGGCGCCCAGGCCACGGACCACTAGGATCCAGCCTTATCTTGAAAGCAACTGGACGAGTCAGGACTCAGTCTCAATAATGAACCCTGCAAGCGGGTGTCCTGCCAATGCCGAAGGGGAATAAAGCGGTTTCAGGTTGGGCGAGCGCCAATCAATCGATCTCGATCGCCTGCTTGTTTCAGATGCCAGGGCCCTGGCGAGAATTCTCCGGCTGCACAAAGACCATATTGCTTGGACGGCTCAATTCTCCGACCGTCTTTATTTTATGCCCGCCTGCATTTGCCCACCAGCATTGAAATGAGGTCACAAGAGTTGCTTGCCGCCCATGCGGTGAGCTGAAACACGACACCCACAGACCCGATCCCGTATCCAGGCCCACTGCGCTGGTCCTTGGCGGTTGATCGCTGGATTGCGGTTCTGGGCGGTTAAGGGACAGCGAATCAGGGGGGAATACGTTGGAGGTGTTTGTTGGGCCGAGTCAGGAACGCCGCCAGGGACAAAAGGGCATTGGACGAGATGCTCAGGGCCAGGAACAAGCTGCAGGGTTTAATGAGTGGCGGTTTCGCCGGTTTCAGATTGAATAAGTTCAATTTGGGGGCGCTTGGACACTCCGTTATTATAGGTGACAAGTCACAAAATATACACTGAATCAAATGATCTCGTATCGATATTAAAGAGGATTATGGGCGCTGTCGAAGATGAAAGCCTTAAAGGAATCTAATCTAGTTGTCAAACACCTTGAACCCACCAGGCATCAAGCTCTGAAAGACCGCGTTGGGGTCGTACTTCTGCGCGATGGTGACAAGGCGCTGGTGGTTCTCGGCGCCGTAGCCGGGGAAAATGCTCTGGAAGCCGGCGGAGTCGCCGATGTAGTTGAAGGGGTCGTGGAGGCCGGCGCTCTTGGTCGCCGCGTTGATCGCGTCCGTCGTCTCCTCGACCCACTGCATCACGACGTCATCGTACTGGCTGTCCGTCCACTCGACGACCTCCGCGTAGGCAAGGTACACCTGCGAGCTGTCGAGGCCGAGGGCGTTGCCGCCGGCGGCTGCGGACGCCTCGAGCCAGAGCTTGCCGATGGGTTGCCAGTCGAGCTGGATGGTGGAGATGGCGGAGGCGGGGACCTGGGCGTAGAGCGCGGGCAGGCGCTCGAAGAAGGTGCTGTTGATGATGCTGATGCCTTGGTAGAGCTCGTCGTAGGTGGTTCCTTTGACGGTGCCGGCGACGAAGATGTCGCTGTTGGTTGTTAGGATTATTCGGGTGGAAAAGGGGGATGTGGCTTACTTGATGTCGTCGACGACCATCTGACCCAGTTCCTGGGCAAAGTCGGAGAGGGTCTTGAAGCCGAGCGTGCTGGCGTAGACAGGGATGTCGGTGAAGGGCTTGAACACCTCGGGGTAGGAGGTGTCGGCGCTGTCGTAGAAGAGGATGGCGGAGGCCAGGGTGGGCGAGTCGGGGGTGGGAACCAGAGCAGGGACGATATGTGTCTTGGGGTCGGTGATGTTGGCGGCGAATGTAGCAATGGCCTATCCACTTAATACGCGCCAACTATAGGAGGAGAGGGACATACCTTCAAGAAGTCATCCACGTACTCCTCCGAAACAGTGTACGAACCAGCCCACACAAGCGGCGCCTTGATGGTCTGGACGTCAAAGCGAGTAACGAGACCGAAGTTGCTGCTGCCGCCCTTGAGCGCCCAGAACAGATCGGGGTAGCTGTCCTTGTTGACCTCGACGACGGAGCCATCGGCCAGCACAACCTCGTAGTTGACGACGGTGTCGCAGCCCCAGCCGACCTGGTTCCCGAAGAAGTTGACTCCACCGGCCAAAAGCAGACCGGGGACACCAACAGGCGCGAGACGGCCCCCGGCGACAGCAAGCCCATAGGGCTGGAGGTAGGAGTAGACCTCGCCCCAGCTGCGCTCGTTAGTTATCTCTGCCAAAGATCGTCATGGGACGAAGACGAACCGGTGGGAGGGACCAAGGTGCAGGATGGACTGGTCGTCGTTCAGCTTGAGGGTGTTGAGCTTGGACATGACGATCAGGACGCCGCCGTCGATGTTGTTCGAGCCCTTGCTGGTTAGCCACATCTTTAAGTTTAAGCCTTTGGTATACACACCCTGATACCCATGTGGCCGCCACCGCGCACAGCAAACTGCGCATTCGACCCCCGCAGCAGCTTAATGGCCTGGCCAAGCTCGGTCGCCGACTCCGGGCGGAACACGCACTCGGGCGACATGATCTCCGTGTTGGACCAGAAGTTGTTCGACTCATCGTTGTAGACGGTCGAGTTGCGCTCGAAGACCGAGTTGGGGATGTTGTCCTTCAGCGCTGCGCAGCCGTACGTGCCATTGGGGTTCGTGGCGAGCGAGGAGCCGGCAAGGGACAGAAGGCCCGCGAGGGGCAGAGCGGTGCTGGCGATGCGCATGGCGATGGACTCGTGCGATGAACGGAATTAGCGAGAGCAGAGAAGAAGCGACAGAGACGAATACAAATACATCGTGCCACGGCAAGGGGGCGGCAGCCGTTGAGCCCGCAGCATCCGGGCAGGCCGTTGCGACTCAGCGAATATTCGAGTGGGTGGGTTGGCGGTGGATCGCAATAGACGCTATTCACGGTTTTTGTCAGCTTGTCGCCTAGCCTGGCCTAATGCGAGTAGCGCCGTGGGGATCGCCGACGGTCCTGACTGCTCCATCAGGCCGGACGTTGCTCCCGAACAGGCACAGCGTTGTCTGGATCGGATCAGGGGCTGCGCGAAGGATGCTGCTTCCACGCTGCTGGGATTCTGCACGTGGCGTGAAGTATATACAGATTGAATTACTATTATAACGATCGCTAATCAGAGTCCAAATCCATATCCATGTCCATATCCATAATCCGACATAACCCCGACTTCCAGCCGATGGTAGCTCGTGCGGGCGATCTCATTCATGATTCTCGCGTATCTCGAGAGTCGACCCCCGATTTCTTGATGTCGAACTCCACCGTTCGGACGATCCCGTCGAATTCCTTGCCTGTGCCTTGGGATGGCCCGGCACCGCCCGACAGGATATGTTCTTCGCTCGAGTTGTCCAGCGCCGACTTGTACGCCATCGAGTACTGGTGTCCGTGGTTCGAGAACTTCGGGTCGGTGCTGCGAGGGATCGAGTGGAGGGGGAGCGAGTTTCCGCGACTTTGCGAGGGGTATTTGTCGGTGTTGTAGGACGATAGGCCCAGCAGGCGGGGGAAGTAGCGGCGCATGAACGGTCGCATGGCTGTTACGCAGCCGCCGAAGATTCCTAAGTTGAGCTCGATCACACACCACATCAAGGCGTTCGTCGTAGCCCCTATTCTGTTAGCATAGTCAACTCAAGCGATAAGGGGTCGCATACAGGTTAGGTCAGTGGTGTGTTGGAGGATGTATAGACTAGATAGACGAACGCAGCTCACGATGCCGACACTGCTCGGTTAGAATTGTTATCAAGCGGGAAGAGTACACTCACAAGCAACCCGTGGCTAGAATACAGCCAACGGCAATCTTCTGCCGCGTCGGCATCTGCAGTCGTCGCAGCCAGGGTCTAGTCGGTCAGCAAGAGCGACCGCAGTTTCGTCGGCTATACATACACAGGAGCGAGAACCGTGGCAAAGTCGGTGAATATCCCCAGCCCGGCGTTCCAAAAGTAAAACGTCGGCCGGTCCATGCAAGAGCCGCGCTCGATGCGCATATCCCACGATTTCGCGATCGGGTTGCAACTAAACACGTTGGCCAACACGCTGGCGAGGCTGTACCCGGCCGCGATGAAGACGAGCACCCAGACCACGATGTGGAAGTTGCGGCTGGGGAAGATGCGCACGTAGAACAGCAGCACCGAGCATTTCAGGAAGCCGGTGCCTGCGCAGTAGATGATAGCGGCTACGACGTTGAGCTGTGGATGTCAGAATCAGCGTCGCAACGGGGGTCCTGTGGTCGCACCTTCATGAACCATGGCGAGAGGTGGGATAGAGGGACATCCCACATGTGGACGCCGAGTCCCCAGTTGAGCACTGTGATGTTAGGCAAGGATCTTGAAGTTGGGGCGTGGCAACTTACTCTCCAGCGTCACGCCACTTATAACGCACGAACATAGCTAGTCTGTTAGCAGGGTCAAAGTGCGCTCAGCTGGGCGAAGCGTACAAATGCAATTATCATAAAAGCTGCCATCGATCAGTAAAGAACAATGGGAAAGACGAAGCTACTTACCGTCATCCAACCGAAAGCCCCGGGCAATGAATATCCTCGTCCATAAGCGGACGAGAATGGAAGAAAATGATATGATCAAGAAGATGATATTGACAATGATGAACCTCCCACCATCATACGGATGGTTCACAAAATCAGTATGCTCGCCCTCTGGCGGCGCCAACGCCGGTGTGGTATCCCAGTCCAAACCGGACAGCGACATGGTGAGATGGAAAGTGGTCTCAAAGCAGACGCTCCAGCGTCCAGGCGTCGACGGGTCTTAATAGTGGAATTCCATCGACCGAGCCTGCGCCGAAGGTTTCAGGAGAGGGAGTTGGGTCTCGGATGTCAGATCGATTTAAACAACAACAGTGTCCCCAGAATTCCCTGACAGACATGCCCAATGAGTCTGCATCTAGAGCAGGCCCGGTCGATTTAGCCGTAAACCTTGGATACATTTTGGATTTCCGCGAACACCCCGATGCGGTTATGATGTGTCTATCGAAATCCCTGCCGCGCATCATTCGTCGGCGCAACCCCGGATCCAGAATCAATGACCAGCAGGCATCCTCTGTTCCGTGGTTCGCGTCTCCGTGACGGGCCCACTATTGATTTCAGGCTGTTTCAGCCTGGCAGCGTGGTTGCCACGGATGCAATCACGGAGGCCTCCACACTTATAACGGTCATCCAGCTCCACGGTACTGCTCGTACGGAGTAGGTGTAATAACTTCAAACAGTTGGATGCCGCATCGTGCTTCAAGTGCCGAATAAGCACGGCCAAGAGGCGAGGGATGAATAGCCCTGGGCCCACTGCAGTGAGGCGAGATTATTGTGAGATTCAGGTAAGTTCAGTCGTGCCGTTGCGCCTCCGCTAGTTGAAGTTTGTTCCCCAGCCGACGTCGGACCAAATTTACGAGGCAGGGCAGGATTCCAAATCGCTTGAGCGTCCTGTCACCTGCTCGAAATGGGATCATAGCTCCTTGGTTGTTGTTCGCCATGGCGGTCGATGAGAGGTCCCAGAAAATCGGAGTCCCCTGCGCGAAGCTCTTCAGCATCGCTAGCGGACAACGATGGAGTACAATCTGTATTGTCCCCACTCCTAGACGTCGCCAAGGCTAGCTCCAACGAGGCGTTCAATGGCGGCGCCGTGGCGGACAGCCACCAGAGTCTAACACTTCGGCAAGACTCGAGAGTACGTATTCCGGATAACCAGAGTGGCGGCTTGGTATAGCCCTCCTGTAACTCTCTTGGCAGGCGGGCAACACGAAAACGAGGAGCCGAGAAAGCAGTTCGTCCGTCCTCAGTCCTATCTAGGAAGTAGCCCATGAAAGCATATCAACATTCAAAGGCGGCGATCAGGGAGGCGACAATTTCCGACACCCGCGAAAGTCAACTGCAGTGCTAGCTTTGTATGGCTCCAAAGGTAATCGATGCGGCGATGATGATTGCTGCAGTCGAGGCCGAAGGAACCGATCTCCACTGTCGCGATTCGCACGGTTCTTTGACGACCCACTCCCAGCAGCGCGGACTTGGGAGGTTGGCTTGTCAGCTTGGACCTGCCTGGAGTTGAGCTCGAGTAAGTCGAGTCGAGTCGGGACTCGGGTCTGCATGGGATCTGCTAACATCCCCCTGGGCCATCACAGCCCACAGGCAAGAGATCAGAGCCGACTCTGGAGCGAGCTTTGAAGGTGTGCCAGTGTGGAGGGGATGATCGACAGGGCGGATTGCACATGGACAGTTTCACAGTCTAGTGATGCACAACACAATATAATTCCATTGTCCATTGTCCAGAGAGATGAAGACCAAAACAAAACAAACACAGGAAGAGGGGAAGTTGAGCCAGACGAGGTCACATGCCTGGCCTTGGCTGGCTACCTACCACGTGTGAGGCGCTTCTCCTTATGAAATGCCATTCAATTCAAGCTCACTGACAGATCGCGATACACGACCAATTAATTGGGCTGCGATAAGCTGCAATAGTACCTGACAATTTCAGATAGACGGTGCTTCATGAATATGACGCAGAATACTCGCAGATCGCAAGATCTCCTATGTTTTGACCCCGGCGCTCATCAAAATCTGGACTACGTCGTACATAGTATGCCTGATGAGATCTCACTAGTAGTTTTGGTTCTATCGCTTGCTGGCCTTAAGTGTATGTTTCAAAACAGCGAGAAACAATTCGCAGAAAGATGTTGATGCACACAGATATATATTGTCCTCGGGGCGGCGCACTGTAAAAGGAAATTCCAAGCGCACTTCATCCCAATATGTTCAGAAGTTTTTGCAGCTACTGTGGCACTGGAATTGCTTTCTGATCTCGAAGCTAGAGGACATTAAAGCTCATGAGGATCAGAGTGCTTCAGTCTAAGTCTCTTGAAACGCATATCACGCCATGCCGAAGAACACGCAAGGCCAATCGGCAAATCAACTGCCGAGCGCCACCGCTCCTGGATTGGGCCTAGCGCCGGCCACGAAGATCCGCATTTTTGAATAGCTTCATCTTAGCCAGCCCACACAACTCATCTTAAGAAACGGCCAAGGCAGATTGGTTCTGATTTGCATCCACACATTTAATTTCTCGCACTCGCCACAGACGGCTCGATATTGCACATAATATACATACATTCTCACATCATACGTTCTCGCCTTGGAATCGCCCAACGCACAGTGGCTGTCTTCGGCTCCGAATCGGCGGCATCTCGATCTTTTCTCCGTCCTCGTCAATCTGCCTTAGAAAATCGCCAACAAGCTTTGCCATGCCGCGCTCCACCGCGTGCTCAATCCAGGTCGCTATGCTCACCTCCTCAAACTGTCCGCCTTCCGCCTCTAAGTACGTTTTCAGAGCGCCGACCGCAAAAACGGTCTCGCCGGACTCATGGATATGCTCCACCCTTGGTTGACGCTCACACGCGGAGTCTGTGATGGCGCATTGTATTGAATGCAGTACGCTCTCAGTGATGTTCGATGCAGCGAGCTCGCACCGGACGAGGTCGAAATACCCCTTCCAGCCGTTTAGACGGGGGACCATCTTCATTCGACGCGAATAGTCAAGCAAGTTGTTGATGATGTCGGTTTCCGGGGCACTGCCGCTAGTGATGTTGGACGGACGATGAATGAAGATGGGGAGGTTAGTCTGGGCGTTGACGTTCTCCAGGAATGCCTCGCTGACCCATTTTGTCGCCGTGTAGCCATCTGCAGCTCCATCCTTGGGCGGGTTTGTGACTGCAACTTCCTCCAGGGCCGAGTTCTCTCCTTTCGGGTGCAAGACTCCAATTGTCGAGATAAAGTGGAATGGAATTGCTGCCTTGAGCGCAAGACGGGCAAGATGCTTGGTGGATTCGACGTTGAAAGCTCGCATGGTGGCATAGTCTTGCACGAAAGAAACCCGCGCACCGCAGTGGATGATGACACGACAACGCTCGAGGAGCATCGCTTCCTGCTCCTCAGTTAGGCCCAATCGTGGGAGCGAGAGATCGCCTGGGTAGACTGCTATCTTTTCATGAACCGGGAGGCGAGAGGGCGTTCGAACAGCAATGCAATGGACCGTGTCAACCTCAGGGTATTGGATGAGCTGCTGAACGAGCTCGCTTCCCAAGCAGCCGGTGGCACCGGTCAGCAAAACATCTCTCGGAGCATCCGCGGCTCCAGGAAGAGAGGAATAAGAAAGCAAGGGCAGCTGCACGTCGTCGGGGAGTTGGAAGGCGGCTTCTTGTTCCCAGTTGAGCGAACAGGCATCTTTACTTGACGTCTCCGCCGCTAAATTGCGAAGCGATTCATTCTGAAAGAGTTTGGGAATGGAGACCTGCAGACCTTCAGCCATAGCAAGCGCCGCCGCCCTCATTGCGGTAATGGAATCGCCGCCGAGTTGAAGGAAGCCATCTTCAACTCCGACGCTCGAGGCCTCCAAGCCAAGAGTCTGGGCCCAGATTGCCAGTAGCTTTCTCTCAGCCTCCGTTTCTGGAGCGCGCCGTTCTCTGGCGGCCGTGTAAGGCTCCAGACCGTCACGCAAGATGAAATCTGCCGCGGCCTGCTTCAGTCGGCGACGGCCCACCTTGCCCGAAGGAGCCCGCGGAAGGGCGCAAATGGGGAAGAAAGCAGTTGGAACCATGAACCCGGGCAACGCACTTCGTAGGATCTTCTCTGCCGTACGAATGAGGACTCGGAATTCAGCCGAGGATGGAATGTACACGTCGCTCGCTGTTTCGTCCGAATCTTCCATGAGAACAAACGCGACAAGGCGCTTCTTCGAGCTACTGTCGACCACGTCTGCAACAACATCGAGGGCAGAATCGAAAGCACGGCGAAGCTGATGTTCAACGTCGCCGAGTTCCAAGCGCTGACCATGCAGTTTGACCTGCTGATCCTTCCGACCAATGAATGTTAATGTTCCATCTGCGTTGTAGTGCGCAAGGTCTCCGGTCTTGTACATTCTGGCGTTCCCCTTTGCATGAGGGAATATTTGTCTCCAGGGTGGTTGCTCTCGGAGGAAGTTGGAAGCAGCTGGTCCTTGAACATTACCTAGGTAGCCGCGTCCAACGATGGAGCCTTCAATAACCAGTTCTCCGGTGGCACCGATTGGAAGAAGTCTCGTGTGGTCCGCAGGATCGACGACCCAGCAAAACCCACCACAACCCCGACCGATGTTGGATGGATTGGGGTCAGCCCGAGAAACAACACGGCCGGTGGCAACTGCACTGCACTCTGCGGGCCCGTATAGATTGCAGAGCTTGACCTTGTCAGCCCACTGGGCTATATCGTCTGCAGCCATAGCTTCGCCGCTCAGCGCGAATGTTTCGAGAGTGGGCACATCGTGCGGACTAAGCAAGCGCGCTACAGAGGGGACCAAGTCAGCATAAGTGATGCGCATATCGCGAGCGAACTGGCCCAAGTGCGCGTTTCGGTCAGACTCAGACGGGATGCAGACGCAACCGCCCGCTATGAAGGTGTCTAGGATATCCGTAACGAAGGCGTCGAACGCGCAAGACGAGAACTGCAGTACGCGAGAACCAGAGTGAAGGCCGGTGACCTGCTGGCGCGACAAGGATCCGGCGATGTAGCCCTCATGCTCAATGACCGCAGCTTTGGGCTTCCCTTCTGTCCCGGACGTGAAGATGGTGTAGAGCGCATTCTGACCTGTTACAGCAGGCATGCTTTCAAGACCATCTGTCGCAATCGAGGCAGTTTCTTCTGATAAAAGGATTGATTGGACTCCAGGAAATTGCGCGACAAGAGACGAGAAGGTCTCTGAGTTGATTGCGAATTTGGCTCCGACAGCCTCGACCATGTACTGCAATCGTTCCAATGGCTGAGATGACGGGTCCAACAGGACGAAGGCGGCGCCAGCTTTCAGGATTCCAAGCATGATCACCGCCAGCCACTTCGATTTCTCGAAGCACACGGGCACAATTGACTCGAGCCCGACACCGACATGTATCAGACGAACCGCAAAAGCAGATGACAGCCGGTCTACTTGTTCGTAGGAGAAGTCGCCATCCCATGCATTCACCGCTGGGGCTGCGGGCTGCGATTGACATTGGCGGGTGATGAGATCATGGACAACCACTGTATCCTCTACTGGCTGGCATTCGCGTGATTCGCAGTACCATTTTGTCAGTCGTGCGGCTGATTCAGTGCTGACGGGCGATATCTCCGCCACTGAGCGGGATGTGTCAGTTGCAATCTGCTCAAAGACGTGTGTGAAGTGTTCTAGAACACTGCGCATCATATTCGGCGAGATTATTTGACCGTCAAATATTGCTTCCACGTCGACACTGCTGTCAAGGATACTGCATTGGAGTGTAAGAGGATATGTGTCAAACCGGGCCGACGCTCCCTCGATATTGACGGGACGCAACAAGGGATTCTTCTTTCCATCATCGTTCGACGGCTGGACTAAAAGTAAGCTCTGGAACTGGCACTCCATCGACGCCGCCTCGCCCAGTGCACGAATGTTCTGCAATCCAAACTGCTCGAATGGCGCCGTACGGGTGGAAGCTTCTTGGATATTGGATAACATCTCGTCTATTGTCTGCGAAGGATCGATGAAGACTCGAACCGGCAGCGTCGCAATCGTTGGGCCGGTTATGTTCTCGATCCCTGCCATTGGAGCGCTTCGCCCACTAACAATCACGCCGAACCTAACCGTTGCGGATGCGGTGAAATGACTAGATGTCAGTGCCCATGCTAACCGCAAGTGGGATGAGAGTGTAAAGGGAGACGACATGTGTCCGGCTGTGAGCTTCATGCTGCGTGTTGCCGAGGCTGTTGGTATGGGCTGGCAATTCGACGAAGGGGCCGGTGGGAATGCAGTCGAAGTCACCGCCAAGCCTGCCAGCTTTCCCTGCCAAAACTCCTCGGCGAGATGATTCGTGTCCCGGATGTATTGGACGAAAGGCGCAAAGCGTCTTACCACGAGTGACTGCCCAGTATAGGCGGCCTCCAGCTGTTCCAGAAGCAACCCTTCGGACCAGCCGTCGTAGAGAGCGTGATGAATGGTGACCACTACATAGCTGCAGCCATTGTCATGGACCATGGCCAAACGGAGAAGGGAATCCATCATGCCCATAGGTCTCTGTTGGTCCGCCTTGAGATATGACTCAAGATCGTCACCCTCACACCAATCGAGCTGGCTGGAGTGCAGAACAACCTGCAATGCCCCTTGCGAGGAACTCGTTTGAACAATCCGAGTTCGCAGGATTGAGTTGGCCTGGATAAGTTGTTCCCATGCCTTCTTCACTCGAGCCAAGTCACAGCCGACCGGCAGCGCATATGTGTTTTGGGCTACGTATGCGCTCGGGCTTCGCAAGCTCAATGATAGCATGCCTTCCTGCAACGGCGTGCAAGGGTATATATCCTCGATGCCTTCGCGATCAACATCAACCTTTTCAGCGACCTCGCGGATGATGCGGACCCTATACTCCGGACTGAGCAAGGAAAAGGGAGCGACATCTGGTGTTGTCGAGGCAGCAGGCTGGGGCTTGTTCTCTTCCTTTTCCGGAATTTGCACCGAAGAAGCTAATGCCGATATTTGGGGACTCTGGAAGATGTCACGAACGGTCAGGTTGATATTCCGGGATCGCGCCAACTGCACCAATTTCATTGCCACCAGAGAATCACCGCCAATCCGGAAGAAGTTCTCCTCGACACCGAGAGTCGCAGGTGGGCGGCCAAGAACTTCCGCTACCAAGGCACGCATTTCCCGCTCGGCAGGTGTAACATCGACCGTGTCCCTCGCTGGAGGCGAAGCACTCTCCAACGCACCACCTTCAATAAGAGTTGCGGCCTCGCTGCGAAGTCTCTTTCTGTCCGCTTTGCCTCCAGCACTGAGAGGAAGCTGCTCGACAGCAAGGAAGAATTCCGGAATCATGTAATAGGGCAGCCGTTCCGACAACTGATATCTGGCATCATCGAGCTGGGTCTGGAGTTTCCCTGAAAGCGGCTGCAACAAGCCATCAAACTCAGGGAAGCAGGAAGAGTTTTGCACATGTCCGCTAAGAAAAGCAACTAGCGCCGCAGGCCGAGCTGAACCAGCATCGGGCGTAACCATCTCAACAACGATATCGGAACACTCGGGGAATAACTCATTGAGCACACATTCAATCTCGCCCAGCTCAATTCGCTGGCCGCGCAGTTTCACCTGGGTGCCTATTCGTCCGGTGATTCGGATAGTGCCGCCTTTTGTGTACTGGACCAAGTCGCCTGTGCGGTATAACCGGCCTGAACGGTGGCAAGAGAAGTTATCGCGCCAGGCAGGTGGATCGATGAATGCGGCTCCTGTTTGCTCGGGATTGTTCAGGTACCCGCGGGCGACCGAGGGGCCCTCGAGGACCAACTCGCCGACAGCGCCGATGGGGGCCAGGACATGTGGGTTGCGCGGGTCGACAACCCATGCCCTTGATCCGAGGACACGTCCAATTTCCCGTACATCGCTTGTGCTGCGCAACGGTTCGGTTCCCGAGCTGTATACGGCAGCTTCTGATGGGCCGTACATTTGAATCAGGGAAGGGCCAGCGTCACACCACTGCTGCAACTCTTTCAGAGAGAGGGCCTCCCCGCCGACAAGCACAGTCTTCAGAGAGGGGAATTGGCGTGGATCCAGGCTGCGGAGCGTTGAAGGGGTTAAAATGACATGGTTTGCCTGAAGCCTGGCGACTGCGCCAGCCATGTCATTCCATCGATCTTTTTCGCTGGGGATACAGATACAACCTCCAACGATCAAAGTTGTTAGGATTTCCGCCATACAAGCATCGAATGCGTACGAGGCAAAATGAAAGACTCGAGATCTGCTGTTGTAACGCGCAGCGGGCGCGTGGGCAAAGCAGCTGCTGGCGTATGAACAGTGCTCGATAACAATACCTTTCGGCTTTCCCGTCGATCCTGAGCTGAACACCGCATACAACGCATCTCGAGAAGTCGGAGCAGGCGAACGAGCAGAAGCGGAATCTGGCACAGTACAGCCCAAGGGCCCCGATTCCATCACATCGAGCGCGATGGCTTTTTGCCGGACTGTTCTCGCTCGGTCCATCATATTTTGAACGGTAAGAATGACGCTGGCGTCTGTGTCATCGGCGATCTGGCAGAGTCGCGCAAGCGGGAAAGACGATTCCATCATCACAAAAGCCGCGCCGGATTTGAGTACTCCTAGAATGGCAATTGGAACCCAGCGTGACCTTTCCAAGAACAGAGGTACCCAATCGCCAACCCCAATACCCGTGGAACGAAGGACCTCCGCGATGCGCGACGAGGCCTCGTCAAGCTCGCGATAAGACAAACTGCCGTCCCAGGCACATACTGCGCTAGCGTCAGGTGCACTTAAAGCCTGCCTGCGAAACAGTTCATGGACACATTCGTCAATAGCCATTGGTGTCCTCAGATTCTGCGCCTCTAGGGCCCTACGCTGCTCGCTGCCCAGCAGGCTGATATTTGTAATCACTTCTTCTGGCAAGGTAACAATCTGCGACACAATGTGTGCAAGAGTGTCTGCGACATTGTTTGCTTGCCACGGAGAAATCTTCGAGGTCCAGCAGGACAAGTATGCTCTGACCTCGGCCCCGGTGAAATGCACATTGAGGGCAATATCATACTGTAATCGATCTTTTAGCACGACTTCCATCCATTTCATTTTGTAACCTTGATACTCACCTCGGTGGGATCCACTTCTTCAACCTCTTCCACGACCAGTCCTCCTACTCTGGTTTCCGGTGACTCCCTAGGAATCGAACCCTGGACGGAAAGCACAGTATTGAAGAGGGCTTGTCCACGCAACCCCAGATTGGCCATCACCTTCGTCAAAGACACGTGCTGGTGTGAGAGGCCCTGAGCCAGAGCATCTTGGCAGTTCCGTAGGAGTGAATAGGGGGTGTCTCCGTTCGAAAACACAATGCGATAGGGTAGAAGGTTAGCAAATAAGCCGACTGCTGCTTCCACGCCCGGGATAGGCACGTCGCGGCCGGAGGTGAGGTGGCCGAAGCAGACGTCGTTGTTGCCGGTATAGCTCCTAAGCAGCAGACCCCAGGCGACGTGGAAAACACTGGTCACGGTTGCACTGTGGCGCTTCAGAAAGTCGCTGAGATTGTTTGGCTCGCTGAGAACGACGTCGACGTTGTATAGCTCATTTTTGGTGGGCTCACCATGGTCGACAAGGGAAGGGAAGTGACAGCATTCTGCCTGTGCGAGATACTCCTGCCAATACTCCAGACTCGTGGTCATGTCTTTGCCCTGGATGTGCGAGACGTAGTCGCCATACTTGGAAGCGTCTCCGACGGGCAGCTGACCGTTGTACGCTTCAACCCATTCTCGAATCAGTACGGAAGAAGACCAGCCGTCCATAATCGCGTGATTGAATTCGATGTCGCAGAAGACCGAGCTTGGACTGGGACCCGAGGGCGCAAAGAATTTGATCTGCCAGGGGAGATGCTGCTGTGGGTGAGCTCCCTCTCGTTGTTCTCGAAGCATCGTCACGACACTCAGTCTTTCCGCCTCTTTGTCTCCATACGGCTGGTACCTGATTATGGATAAGGATGAGGACAATAGAGTCGAGCCAGGCTTGAGTATGAAGCTGTTGTAGGCATGGCCAGTCGAGTCGCTGGGCAACAAGACTGTGCGCAAAGCGGAATGGCGGCCGACAACCTGCTCCCAAGCACGATGAAGACCCTCGATGCCTAGACCAAGATGGGGATCGCTATAATCCGAGTTCAATTTGAACTCTAACACAGAGCCGGTGCGGTACAGCCCGGGCGTCGCGTTACGTGCCTGGCTGAGCATAATCCCCTCTTGCATAGGCAGAGCCGGATAGATATCCTCCAGATCCGAGAAGGAGATCCCTGAGTCGAAGAGCTTTTGTTCTAGCTGATCAAGGTCGCTATAGCTCAAGGACAACTGTGGAAGATCAGTTAACGTTACTGCACAGGCTGAAGAAGAAAGCAGCTCTGCAATCTTGCCCAGGGACTCTGCGCACTGCTGAATCCACTGCATGATCTCAGGCTGATGGGCCAGCGCCTTGCCATAGATGAACTCGAATTGGAGGCGGCTGTGGACGACAGCACAGGTGATCTCAAACAAACCAGGAAGGAGCGTCTCTGGGCCGTAGTCTTGTGAGCGTTTGTACTCCCAAGCGACATGCTGAAAGAGACTATCGCCCCGCTCGAATTGCTGAAATTGTCCATGGAAGTTGAAAACAATCTCCATTTTCTGCTTCCCAAGCATCTCTCTCCCGTGACTGTTCAGATACCGAGAAGCGAAATAAGGGTGACCCTTTCCAGGAACACTTCGCCTGGCGTCCTTGACACGTCTGACAAGGTCCGAAATATCATTAGCTCTGAAACCGTTGAAGTCGACCGGCGCAGGCCATATTGTTGTGAACCAGCCCACTGTCCTTGATGGGTCGATGCTCGAGTGCCAGGGCTCGCGACCGTGGCCTTCGCTGAAAATGGTGGGCGGAGGACGGTCAGAGAAGACCGTCAAGAACGAGTGCAGCACTGCTGCATGCAGCAGCTCAACAGGCTGCGTGCGGAAGGTTTGGTTTGCGGTCGTCAGGATTAATCCGGTGGTCGCTTCATCAATCAGGAGCGGCGTCGTCTGCGCATTGCCGTAGTTATTTGCAACCCCTTCCAAGGCCCAGTACTTGTCTATGACACCGGCATCAAGAGTCATGGACATTGAAAGAGCAGCATCAGGATGCAATGTGGTCTCAGCATACTCTGCTTGCAAGCGACACCACCATTGGAAAGGCATAGGGGAACTCTGTGCTGATAGTTCTCCCGTGTCCAAGAAATCTTCCAAGTCCTCTAAGAGGATACGGTATGAGACCAGGTCAATGACAGCATGATGGGTATTGACAAACAAGAATGGGTACGGCTCGCCGTCGATCCTGATCAGGTCCAGGGAGAAGATAGGCCCACTCTCCAAATCAAACATTGCCTGCGACTGGTTCATTATGTCCGTTACCTGGCCCTTGTGGCCAAGCAAGTGTTCCTTGCATCGGAAGGACTCTCTTCTGTCACCAGTGATTCTTTGCGTCCACACTCCGTTCTCAGAGCGACTAAATCGGGCCCTCAGCATGGAGTGTCTGTCCACCACCGCGTGCGCCGCGAGACTAAGATTGTGAAGATCGATGTCGCGCGACATGGCCACGAAGAAGCTCTGGTTGAAATAGTTGGCGTCGTCAGGCGAGTCTTCGAATAACATTGCTTGTATGGGAGAGAGGTCGAACGCCACGTCTTCCGGGTCTTCGATGGGAATGGGAATGCTATTGGGACAGGAATCGGGAACTGAGACCGCCGCCAGCTTTGCGATAGTTCGATGTCTCAGAACGTCGCCGGTTTCTAGAACAAGTCCCTCTTGTCGGTATTGAGCAACGACCCGCATGGCCGTGATCGAGTCGCCGCCGAGCGCGAAAAAATCATCATGCAGACAAACAGAATCCGGCTCAATATTAAGGACTCGTGCGACCACCGCTATCAGTTTCAGCTCGGAGTGTGTTTGTGCTGTGCGCTTTGCGTCGTGCTTGGTGTTGGCGGCGTACTCTCTCACTTGGTCTCTAGAGAGATCCGAAGCCTCCTTGCGCAGCCGTCGTCGATCTATCTTGCCACTGGGGGTCAAAGGGATTTGAGAGACGGCAAGGAACAGACTTGGTATCATATAGTCTGGAACAGAAGCGTCTAGCATCTGTCGTGCTGCGTGGACCTGCTCAACAAGTTGAGCGTCAGGTGGCTGTATCAATGATGACGTGGATTTGTCAGAAAGGGCGCTGGGTTTCGCGGCAAATGCTACCAAAGCACTTGGGCCATGATCAAAGGCGACGACCTCCGCTATTACCGTCGGACCATGAGAGAAAGCGGCTCGAACGTGATGCTCAACCTCGCCCAGCTCCACGCGCTGGCCTCGAAGCTTGACCTGGGTGTCCTTGCGGCCGACGTACCGCAGTGAGCCGTCTGGTTGATACTGCACAAGGTCGCCCGTGCAGTAAAGCCGCTGGTCACCAGAGAACTCCTGCCCAAAGTGACCTTGCAACCAAGAGGGTGCAGAAATGAAGGCGGCGTGCGTCTTGGCCGGATGGTTGAGGTATCCTCGCCCGAGATGCGGGCCCTCGATCAGGAGCTCGCCTATAGCTCCAACTGGTCGAAGTTTCTCATGGTGAGCCGGGTCAACCACCCAAGTCGATCCGACAAATGCGGTCCCAATATCTGACGCGTTCTCCGCAGAGACCGCCATACACAGGGTTGATGAAACCGAACATTCCGCGGGTCCGTAAACATTGATCAGACGGACATGACTTTGCCACATCTCGACCACGTCGCGCGTCATAGCTTCGCCGCTGACGACGACTGTCTGGATGGTATGCATATCCTCCGGTGACATATGTCGCAGTAGAGATGGTGTCAAGTCCGCCCATGTGGGTTTCAGGCGGCGGATGCCCTCTGCGACTTTGCTCAATCTTTCTTCGTTTGACGGGATGCAGATGCATGCGCCGACAAGCAGAGCATTGAGCGTGTCTGAAATACTGACGTCGAATGCGTACGAAGCGAATTGAAAACATCGCGTCTGCTGGTTCAGTCTTGTCTTGCGGACATAGGCGCGTGCGCATGAGAGAAAGGCGCGGCGATTGATGACGATGCCTTTCGGCTTGCCCGTGGTACCTGATGTGAAAACAGCGTACAGGGGGGAGTCGGTTTCCTTGATCCTTTTTGAGATTGGGGACAGTGGGTGCAAGGAGGCAGGTGGGAGTGGGCTGTAGAGGCTGTCGTCAAGAGGAAGGAACGCTGGTGCCAACAATGCGGCGGTTTCGGAACACCCCGCGGAGCAAACCACCACCGACGGGTTGACTTCTTCGCAAATGGACTGCAATCGCTGGAATGGCTGCGAGGGGTCCAGCAAGACAAAGGCACAACCAGTCCTCATCACGGCGACCATGGCAACAACGGTCCAGAGAGACTTTTCGAAAAGCAGCGGCACATAAACCGACTTTCCTGGACCGAGGCTCAATCTCATTTCCAGCAAGCGCTCGGCCAGTGTGCAAGACAGGGCTTCCAGCGCCGCGTACGAAAGCCGTCCATCCCATGACTCCACCGCCAACACTGCCGGTTCTGATGACGCATATTTTGATATACAGTCCAAGATATCCTACTCATCGGCAACGGTCGAGTTATTTGCCCGATTCCACAGTGCTATTTGTGCTACATCGTGGGGACCGCAGCAATCCAATTCCCTGGGGAGTATGCTGGGGTTAGACGCAACTTGGCCAAGAACGTGTTCGAATGTTGCTATCATGTTCGATGCCTGTGCGGCATGGGTACTCGGGATCGAGAACTCAAGCAAGTGCTCCTCTGGGCCACAAGGGCCGATGATCTCCACCGACAACCGCAAATTCGGATCGTGCATCACCTTCTTAAGGCATCAACAAGGGTTCTTCATAAAGTTACGACATATGATAGGGATGACATACCATGTGCGGAACGGACGGCGACGAAACTCTGCTCTCCTCATCTGCCACTGAGCCGCTCTGGGTAGATACAACCGACCAGCTGTCTTCCGACCCGGATGCACTGCTAGGTACTCGCAGGCGCCGGACACAAGACATTGCACTTCCGGGAGCTTTGTCAACCTCACCCTCGCCCATGCCCACCAGCACTGTCTGCCAGATGGTCTCTATGGCCAACATCTCTGGACTGACAGCTGCATGGGCACGCAGCATGCCTTTTCCCTCATATATAGACAGATAGTGGAACTCGACATTTTCAGAAGATGTATAGACAGAGAGGGTAACTGCCCACGAGGCTTGGAACAGTCGATCGGGATAAGCCATTGCAAGATCGCCCTCGCTGTCAATGTCAACGTGAGTGCAGTTCATTCTCGCTTGACAATATCTTATGCGTATCGAATGCAACTTCGAAAGGGATGGAAGTGTCAGAACGTGCAGAGGGACACACACGATCAATGGAAGACACGCCCAGCAGCCCCCTATTTGAAATAATCAAGCTTGCACGCCACTCTACACACCCGAGCCAGCCAGCCTGTCCTCTCATAGTTCGTGCTGTTCCACCCCAAGATCGTGGCCTGCATACAATGAACCGTAACATGCATGACTGGAGGCTATTGATGTCCATTCTTCTTGCCAGTGGAACAAGCTGCATGGGATGAGACTTTTCTGCACTCCGCACAGGGACCGCACAGCTAATGAATTGACCCTATTCGCAGCCACGCGCATAGGATGGTTTTTCGGGGAGTCGGGGAACATGATCTGCGAACTGGCGTATACTACGGCTGAAGAATTTCGAGTCATGCGGGAAGACCGTGCAGCAGCACGATCGAGAATGGAACGTGCCATCTCAGCGCCGCCTGCCCTTGAGTGGCCCCGTTGCGATGACCATCGACGCCATGGTCTGCATGGCCAGATTCGAAGCTCCACCGGTCAGCTCCTTTCCCTCAAGCCATTTGAAATCCTTGAGGCCGCTAGCAGCGATCTTATGTGATTCGAGTGCGTAACCCTGTGTGTTCTACTCTTTTGATCCTTCAAATTCTCACTGCTGGTCATCTTGCACAGGTCCATTCATCAGCGAATTTTCACCTTTTCTTGCATCTTCAGCAATATCACTCTTACAATGGTTTCTTCCGTCTCGAGTGACAACTCCTCAACCTTGGCGTCTCCGGTGGCCCATGAATTTCGGGCGTCGACGGGGTTCATTACGTTTGTGGTGACCCTCGCTGCGTTTACGGTACGCCTCTCCGCGCGATGACTATGCGAGTAGAGAACTGACTACTTCCAGGATAGCTTCCTTTACGGCCTGGTATGGACCTGCGGGAAATTCTCTAATTGACTCTAATCCTTTGCAGATTGTACCGGTAACTCCCACAGCACTGGAACAACGAGTTGGAATTGCCCCAGAAGATGGTAAGTGCAGCTTCTCGCGAGACTGTGACCAGCGCTGACCAACATGACTTCAATCCAGTGCAGCGGTGGGTGGCAATATTGCTGGCGCTTGATGGACTTGCCTGGCTGATGACAAGTCGTATGTTTCATTTTTCTTCTTCGCAGTCTACCTACACCAGCTGAGCTAATTCGCCACCCAGCGATTACTGGGTACCTAGCTGATCGCGTTCAATCCCGCCAATCTGTGCTTCTCGCCGGACTGCCGGCCCTCGTTGTATCCACTGGCTTGCTCTGGGTGGGCAACTCGGTGATGCTCTGGGCTCTGGGGCGAATCCTGCAGGGAGCATCCGCGGCGGTCACCTGGACAGTTGGGTTGGCTCTCCTCACGGATACCGTGGATAAAGAGCGCCTGGGAGAGTCCCTCGGATACATGTCTATGGGGACGATGGCAGGAACGACTGCCGGCCCACTTCTGGGAGGGATCATCTACCAGCTGGGCGGTTACCATGCTGTCTTTGGGGCGGTGATTGCCCTCATCGCGGTGGATGCTATCCTTCGGCTAGCGATGGTTGAGAAGCGCGAGACAGGGACGCACAAGGACCGATCCGGCGATGATGAGCAGCGCCAGGCCAGGGCCGAGGCGTCGGACTCGGACCCACTGTTACGAGGTGCAGGATCGTCTTCCTCCAACTATGGGGCTTTGAGATCTCCAGCTGTGGACGATGGCGAGGACTTCGACCCCCCTCCCCAGCGCGCAGCAATGCTTGTCCTGCTCTCCACTCCTAAGATTCTGCTCAGCTTGTGGGCATACCTCGCCGTCTCCATGACCTTCACATCCTTGGACAGCGTGTTGCAACACTGTTGCCCCTGTTCGTGCACGATACTTTTTCGTGGACACAGGTGGGGCAGGGCCTGGTCTTCCTTCCCCTCTCGATCACCCAGATCATCGATCCTCTTGTTGGGCGTATCTGCGACAAGTACCCGAGAGCCCGGCGCGGCATTGCATCCGCTGCATTCCTCTGCGCTGCGGGCGCATGCAATGCCCTCCGCATTGTCACCCATGACTCGTCAGCGCAAAAGGTCGCCCTTTGCGTCCTTTTGGCGGCTCTCGGTGTGTCCCTTTCCTTTGCAGTCTCTCCCATTCTATTGAGCATCGATGAGACCCTGGACGCTATCGAGCAGAAAGACCCGGGGAGCTTGGGAGCGGGAGGCGCAGTTGCGCAGGCGTACGGCTTGGTCAACTGTGCGTTCGCCGGCGGTGCGCTGGTTGGGCCCATGCTTGGGGGACTGGTGAGGTCCATGGCTGGATGGGGGACTTTGGGGGGTGTTGTTGGACTGATCCACGCGGTCACAGCGGTGGGGCTGTGGGTGCTAGACCAGGACCAGCAGGTGGTAGTAGTAGTAGTAGTGATATTTAACGCCCCGGGGATCGCTAGGCGTACGCCTATTGTTCCGGACCTTCCTTAGGGTATAGGGGCGTGCCGCCGCTAGGTAAGTAGCTTATTTAAATAATTTATATATAAAAAGGCTTTTTATTTTAAAGGGTAACTTTTACTAAAGCTTATGGGCCAGCGCTTATTTTTTATATATTATTTTTATATATAGCTATTAGCAGGTATTATTTATCATGTGTTTAGGGTTTTAGTTATAAAGGGTTTTAGGGACCTGCCCTATTATAAAAAAAATATATTAGCTAAAACTAGTTATATTAAAAAAAGGTATTCTAAATAAAAAAAAGAAAAAAAGTGTAATAAAATAAAAAAAAAAACTATTTAATATTAAGCTAAGTAATTTTAATAATACTAGGGCGCGGGGTGCCCTAGCAGGGGTAAATAAACTTATAAAAGTTTATAATTTTAAGTAATAATATAAAGCCCTTAGGCTTTAGTTTATAAAGGTACTTTAAAACCTTAATCTTAATTATTAATAATATTATAAAATACTAGGGCTATTATAAAAAGTATTATTTAAAGTAATAATAAAAAACTAAGTATTTAGGGCTTTTACTTATCCTGCAGGAGTAAGTAAGCTTAATATTTTTATACTAAAAATACTTATAATATTACTTAAAGTTCCCATGCAAGGACCTAAGCACAAGCTAGTAGTATAAAACTAATTATTTTAATACTAGCTTTAATAATAGCTTAACCTAGTAAGGCTTTAACTTTATAGTAAGCTATTACTTATATTATATAAATAGCTTTATAAAGGCACTTTCCTATTATTTAGCCTAGGTGGTATAATATATTTACTTATATAAGTTATATACTTTACTTACTATAGGCTATGTTTTTAAAAAATTAAGTTTTAAAGGTTAGGCTTTTGCAAAGGCTACTTTATTAACAAGCTTATTAGCTAGCTTATTACCTTTAATGCCCATGTGGCTAAGGGATTACTTTAGGTAAATAATATATTAGTTTATAAACTAGTATAGTACCTGGAAAGCCTAATTAAAAAATAGCAAGAATTACCCGCGCGTGTATTAAATTATTAAAATATTATTTATATAAAGCTAGTAAATAAAAGCCCTAAAAAGTTTTTTAATTATTATTTTTAGTTTTTAAAGTATATTAATAGCCTTAGTATTATAAATATAAAACTAAATATTAATAGCTAATAGTTCCTGTGCTTAAAGGTATTATTTATAATATATTATATAACTATAACTTATATAGTGCATGCCTTAGTATATTTATTTAAATTTATTATTAAAAATTATTATTTTTATTATTAGTAGCACTTGCTATTATTACTTAAACTTTTTTATAATTAATTTTTTAACCTTACCTTTAGTAAGGTTTTTTAGGTATTTTTAAAAGTAGTAAAAATATGCTAAAACTAGCCTTAGGGTGTTTAAAAAAAGTACCCTTATAATTTATACTTTAATTTTAGGTCTTTAGCATGTGCTAGCGCCCTGGCCTTATAAAATTTTTAGTAATATTACCCATGCTACTAGCGGATTTTAGCTATTTACTAGCTAAAGTTTTAAAGTAAAATATAGTTATATTTTTTTTAGTATTATTATAGTAAAAAAAAGCCTAGTATTCCTAAAAAGGGTTATTATAAATATTATTTAAAAAACTAAAAGCACACCGCGAGCAGCTAAAGCCAGGGTTTTTTTAACCATTTTAACATGCCAGCCTAATTAGGCGCTAACCTTTAGGTTTTAGGCGTGTTTTTTAAGCTTAGTTTTATTATTATACTACGCCTTCGTGCTGTATAAAAGGCTAGGAATAATATAAATAATAATTATTTTATAAAAAAAGTTTATAGATAAACTATATACTATGTATATAAAATTATAAATATATTATATTATTATATGGGCTTTAGCCACTTATTTAATAATATAATAATATTAAAAAAGCTATTTATTAAAAAAGATTTTTAGCTATTAAAGCGCTAGTTACTTTTAGCCTAGTGCTATAGTAACTAAAGTAATTATTAATTAATTATTAACTATTAATAAGGGGGATTTACCATGCTATTTTTAGGTAATATATAGTATTTTTAGCTTTTTAAGCATAAAAGTTATTTTATTTTATTTTTTTTAGGCTAGCATGCCATAAATATTTTTTACTAGGTATTTATAATTAATATAAAGGGAGTTACTCGCGCGGCTAAAATAAAAGTTATTTATATAGCTAAAGCGCAGGATTAGGTCTGCTAGTAGTAATTTAGTAATATATAATAAAAATAATATTAAAAAAAGGGGCAAGCCTTATAATATACCGTAGTATATTAAGTATATTATTATTATAATAAACTTTAGGCGTATTTTTATGCTTTATTTATTAAAAAAACTTATAATTAAGGCTAAAAGCATATAAGGCTAGCCTTGCTTTATTATTTATTAAAATAGGTATTATAATAAAATAATATTAAAAATACTTAAAATATTTATAGTAACCATGGTAACCTCCTAGTTTTATAAAAATATTATTTTTATATTATAAATAAAAAAGGTTATTAAATTTATAGTTAAGTACTTAGGTAAAGCATTATATTATTATAAGCTTAGTATCCCTTATATTAATATAGTAAAGGCAACACGGCGCGCTATAATTTATTTAAGTTTTTTTTTTAATACTAAAAGTAGCGCTATAAGGTGCCAGGATTAAGGTAAGAACTTATTTTTTTTATTACCCTTTAAAAGTATTACCACCTTTATAAGCTTTTATAATAAGGGGAAGTGTTTTAGCTATAGGTATTAATTATATAGCCTATATATAGCCTGCTTAATATATTTTTAATAGGCCTTTAAAATATAAATTATTACCTAGTTTACTTTAAAAAAGGTACTACTTATACTAATAATATTTTTTTTAACCTTTTTTAATAAAATCTTTTTTAATTAATAAAAATACTTATTTTTTTATTAGTGCTTTGGTGCTAGGGAATTAAAGTTTAAATTATTATTTATATTAAAATACTTTAATATTACTTTTTATAAAATATTAGCTTTTTCCCGCGTGTTTTTAATTACTTTACTATTTATTAATAATAAGGGAGCCTTAAGCCTGGGCTTTAGCTTATATTATATTATTATTTAATATAGTTTTTAATTATTTTTAATACTATTAATTATTTTTATTTAGTACACTTACTTAATTTTATAAACTATAGCCAGGAACTACCTTTTTTATTTTAGGGTGGGATTTACCACCCAGGCTTAGTAATTTTTTATATATTTAGTTAATTATTAAGGGGCGCTACGGCTTTTTAGGTTAAAATATTTATTAATTACTTATATAGCCTCCGCGATAGTATTACTAAAAAATTTAATATATTAATTTAGTGTTTTTATGTCCCTAAGTTCCCCGGGCTAAAAAAAAAAAGTTATTTTATTTTTTATAAGTCTAGCCAGGCGCTTAAGCTTATAATTTAGTATATTAAATTAATATTATTTTAGTATTTTTTTCCCGCGCCCTAGTATTATAATAACTAAAGTTTAATAATTAAAGTTATTATATAATTTAAATATTACTAGTATATAAGTAAATAAAATATTTAAAAAAATTAAGTTAAAAATATAGCTAGCTTTATACGTGGCCACGCCTAGCTTGCTAATATAATTAATATTATTATTACTAGCCTACCTAGTAATTTTACCACCGTGGTGTAGGTTATTTACTTTAGGCTTAAAAGTATTATATATAATATTTAAATCCCTGTTTATTATATAATTTAGGGTAGGGACTAGTATAACTAAATAGTTAATTATTTTATAAGTAGTTAATTTTTAATATATATTTAGGACTTTAATATTATTTATTATAAGCTATAACATGTCCTAGCTTTATACTAAATAATATTATTTAATATATAGTACTTTCTTTTTATAAATATAAGTAAGTATTTTAAGGTGTTTTTTTAGCTAGTTTTTATAATTATTTTAGGTATTTACTAGCGCGTAGTACTTATATACTAAGTAATTTTATATTTTTATACTTACAGCGGTTTAGGGCTTTTAAATATAAGTAATATTATAGCCTTACTTATAAGCTAGTTATAAAATTATAATATAACTAGGCATAAATTTACCTATATTTATTTAATAAATAATAAAATCCTGCTATTACTAGGTATTATTATAGTAATAATTACCATAATTTCTTTTTTAATACTTTATTATTAAAGCTTAAAAAGGGTTTTAGCATTAACCTTTATTACCTAAAATAAAAAAGGTGTGTTTATATTAGCTAGGGCAGGCAGGATTAATTTAGTAAAAAACTACTTAAAATTTTAATTACTAGTAAAGGTGTTAAACCGCGGGGTATAATAATTAGTAATTATTATAAAGCCTTGCTTATTTACCTTTAGCTTTTTTATAGCGTGCTTTTAGGGGTTTTTTTAAGGTAAAAATTACTTAATTTTAGCCTAAAGCTAGGTATTAGTATTAGCCTGGGTATGCATGTTTTAGTACTAATAAGTATTATAATAACACATGTTATTAAGTTTTTTTTTAAATAAGTAAACTAGTTTCCTATTCTTGCGCCTAGGGGCTATTAAATAATTATTATATTTTATTAACTAGGGGCCTAGGTAGTTCGCGCAGCACGTGGGATTTTTATAATTTAGGTTAATAAGGCCTAGGTAGTTTATAATTATTATACTATATTATATATAATATATTATGCAGTTATATTATACCAGGTAATAATATTTTTAATAGCTAGGGTTATACTAGGATACTAGCTAGTATTTTTTAATAAACTAGTAATACTTACTTTAGTTAAATAAAGTAAAGGCCTTAAGCTACTTTAAAAAAAATACTATTTAAATAATACACCTAGTATTAAAATTAGGCCTGTATTTTAAAAAAGCAAGTTTAACTAGCTTTAATTTAGTTTAGGCCATAACTTTATTTTAAATTAGCTTAATAATATTTATTTTATTATTATTATACACTAGGATAGTACTAGGCACTTTTTATATTATATAATTATACCACTTTTAAAAAACATGTATATTAATAACGCTTAAGGTATAATAAATTATATTAATTACTTTATTAATTACCAAAAAATTTCTAGTAAAAAAATTATTAGGGATAATAGCCTAGCCTATATAAATAATATTAATTTTAAAAATAGTTACTATTATAGTTAGTTTTAATATATACTTAATAAGGGCTTATTAAATAGTATATACCTTAGGGCGTGCTATTAACTTATTATTAAAAAAAATAATTAATATCCTATGGTTATTTTACATGGTTAAGGTTATAATAAAGCTACTACATGCTAATTAAGCTATTAAGGTACTTAATAAAGGCACCTTGCCTAAAATAGTATTAGTTAAGGTAAAAAAACTTGCTTTAAAAGGGGTAGGTTAAGCTTTTAAGTTTTTAAAAATTAAACTTATTTCCCCCTAGGTAATAATTTTATTAAAGGTTATTATAATAGCAGGCTAACTATATATATATAAAAAAATATAATTAATATTATTAATATTAGTATAGCCCTTTAAAAAAATAAAATATATAAATTTATTATAAATATTATAAGTAAAGGCTTTTTAATTTTAAGTTTTTTACCTAGTTATAAAGCTATTAATAATAATTATAAAGTTTATAAAAACTTTATGCTTAATATATACTTAATATTTTTACTTATTAAGCTAATTATAAAGGGCCTTTATAACCAGGCTAGGTTAAAAAATTAGCACGCTATTATTTTTAATAATAAAAGGGGAAAAATAGGCTTGCTAGGGCCCTTTTTTCTTTTATTTTTTTATAATATAAAGGTTAAAAGGGAATAAAAAATTTTATAATTAAATAAAATTAGCTAAATTAAGGCTTATAAGCTAGTTAAAAATACACACCTTAATTTTAATTATTATACCACGGGAAGTAGTAAAAAAAAAAAAAAAAGATTAAAAATAAAATTAAAATAATAAAAATATATATTTATAATAATTTTAAAGCATCCGGAGCCCTTATTTAAAGGTACCCCTAGATCACTGAGAGTTGTAAAGGTGGGACCAGCAGGTGGGAGATCTCTGAAAGTTGAAGAAACTTCCGGCTTCCCTTGTTGGGTGATCGCCCAGAGTTGTGGCGTTGAGTAGCGGCGGGTCGGTGCCTGTGATTGGGATGCAGGCTCATGCAGCATGTGGCTGGCTGAAGTATGAGGTTCAAAGTATCAACTCAAGATTCTATTACGTACGAGGACGAATAAGCTCTCAGATTAAGTGCGCGATTATCGGCCTTCACGCCCTACACCTATTTTTCCTCACGGCCGAACTAGAGCTCTTTAGCTTGAGCGAGACCGAGACGGACCTTGGAGACCAGGCCGTGCCTTTTCTCGGCCCAGCCGAGCCACCTCCTCCCCAATGGACCATCCTGGGCCTCACCCTCGTCGTCTCAATTCTCTACGTCTTCATTGACATTTCCCGCTACCTCTCTTCCCTACGCCTCCTCAGCCACGGGATCTGCCGTGAGCACTACCTGCACACAGACCCCGGAGCAATCAAACCCGGACCCTCAGAAATCATCCCAGAGGAGCTATGCACCGACCCAGCAATTCAGCAGCGCGTCGCCCGCCTGAGCAGCTACCTCCTAGCCCTAGATGCCTTCCTTGCATTCCTGTTCACCATCCCCTATGGATTGACGCTCAACCGTCTTAGCGAGCGGTTCCTTGCTGCCCTGAACCTGTGCGGCTCTCTCCTAACAAATGCCTGGCTGCTGACGGTGACCTACAACTGGTCCGTCTTCCCGATCTGGGCGGCTGTCCTGGCACCCTTGTCTAGTGTTGTTGGCGGCGGCGCCTCGATCTTCGACTCCGTCATCTCGGTCATTGTTGCTAGGCGTGTTCCTGAGGCGCAGCGGTTAGTTGCTCACCGGCCCTCTAGAAGAATCTAGTTATTCATACCACGAGCAGCTCCGTCGTTCTCGGCCTCTTCTCCGCTGCCGGGCTAGCTACGCAGATTCTCAGCCTCGCAGCAACGACTTCGCTCTTAGATCATGGCCGGCTATTCACGCCGCTTGTGCTCAACTTTCCCATCGGCCTTGTAGCGCTGCTCGTGCTCTCGCGTATCCGGCCAATATCCAACAAAGAGGACGCCGACAGGCAAGATGAAGCAAAGGACCCGAATCACATTATTCCAGCGCTGCGCCATGAGATCCGAGCCGCCGTGATGGCGCTCTCTCGCCTCCTCCGTCGCCCCCGTGGACTATCCCTCCTCATCGCCGTCCCACTTGCAAAACTGGCTGATCCCCTCGCGGAAGTGACACTGCTCTTCGTGCAGCGCAAGTTCAACACCGACTTCGCTCATGTATGTTGCGCTCTACCTGTCTTCGCTCTTCCTAACCTTTACCACGTCAGGCAAGCCGCCTCCTAACCTACCAAACACTCGAAGGCCTCGTCCTCCTCGCGGCCGTTCTCCCACTCACAAAGCACATCACACAGAATATCTTCCATATCACACCGTCCTGCGTCGATATCTCCATCGCCCGCGCGGGATTCGCTCTTAGCACCCTCGGCTGTCTATCCTTGGGTCTAGCACAGACATGGGCGCCTTACCTCTTCGGTAAGCCTGCCACCAGCCCCTTGTCCCCCTGCCTAATACGACCAGGTCTTTCCATCTTAACACTGGGCTGGTGCATACCGCCGGCCCTGAAATCGTTGCTCACGGGCATGATGCCGGAGAAAGACATTGCGGCGCTATATACAGCGCTCGCGCTTTGTGATAGTGCGGGACTGGGGGTTGGCTCATTGCTGCTGAATCGTGCTTATGCGGGGGCGCTTGCGTGGGGTGAAGCCGCTGACGCTGGG